TTACACCTGACACAAGTAATACAGATTGACTAATGTAATAAAACATCAAGTTAGATTTATTTTGTGAGGAAGAAGACACTCAACTGTAACTGCAGTCGAGATTTGCACTACCTACATATCTGTTTATGGTAATACACATAATAATAATAATGCATATAACCACCATTCTACATAAAACACATTCGACTGGTCAGTCAAAAAACTTTAAAGCCATTTTTCTCAGTTTCACTCTCAGTGTAGTTACTGTGGTTATGCTTTTTTAGGGCAGAATACATTAATCAAACTAAGGTCCTAACTTGAAAATCGGGCTGAGGGTGGTGTTTCAAAATAAAAGTCTACACCGTTCATTGTATGTTAACAGGTAGGGGGTCTGGTGGACACTTTTCTAAAACTTTAAAAAACCTACACTGCCTATGACTGCACATTAAGAATAGTTTTCTTTCTTAATTATGTATTACTTATTAATATAAATATTGTTATTCACGTTATTGATAGCATTACTTATTATTGTTATTATTATTATTATTATTATTACTACTACATACTTATTATTCCCATAATTGTTAATAACTTATTTAGTTACTTTAGCAATTTTAATTAAACCATCACGCTTCCTGCATAATCGGAGGACAATATTATGCCAAGCTCCATTTAAGAAATACCATATATTAACAATTATTTGCGTTTACATAAAAGCACATAACTGTAGAAACACAAGAAAAAAACTCATCATATTTCAACAGTCTTCTTGTTAATTCGGCATCAATATAATACATAAATACCAACTTTTTGGCCGACTTTGTCGCATCAACTCGTTATCAGCCTTACTATTTCAGTGGGAGAAGATCGCGGGAATAGATGGAAAAAACACTATTCGTTATTAAAATACGTGGTGGTTGGTGGATTACGTGTACGCCCAATAAAACACAGGTAAGAATGCTGATTAACCGTGTATTATGTGTGTGTCATGGTGAAGGACAGAGAAGAGAGGACATGATAAACAGAAAATATAGTAAAATATAGACGCACCCTCTCTGGTCTCTGCCCTCTCAAATCAGCCCTTCGTACGTCATCACCGTAACAACAAGCTGCTATTTCTATTTGTTCTCTCATATGAACACACACACGTTGAAAGCTTGATCTGTCACATACCTAAGCAATGGTAGAGGTCACATACTGTAAACTACTCGGCAGTGTCAGTAATGTATGGGCCAGAGTCACGGGCCAGAGCAAGGCACAATCAAAATTTCTTTAGGAATTTTCTAGTTTCTAATATTATACAGTAACACAAAAATGACTTACTCTAAATCTAGTAGCTTAAAGTCTTCATCATCTAACTCTTCATTTGAGCTGTAACACACACACACACACACACACACACACACACACACACACACACACAGGTTTTATTGATTCCTTTAAAGATTGAGGGCAGTCACCAGGTCTGTAGACAGGATGTTAGAAATAGTGAGGTTGTGAGTGTGTGAGTCCACTAGGGGGTTCAGCATGCTCCCCAAAGGAAAACTGTGAGGACTATAGAAGGAACAATAATCACTGAGGAAATAAAGTCAGTGTAACACACAGAGGTAAATTCTACCACAGTCCACAGCCCACTGAGTACTAATGGGTGTGGGGTAGCCAGACAGGGACAGGTTTTATATTTGGTGGTTGATACATCCACTGAAATGGTGTTTTTATTTGATTTATTACTCTTGAAGGACACATTGGATATAAGGGACTCTTTACTGAAACTGGTTCTGGTTCTGGTGGACAAGAGACAAAGACCACCAGGGTGGTAAATTAGATTGTGATCCATCAGCCACAGCAACTGCTGATACACAGAAACTACCAAGTAGACATCAGAAAAGTTCAGTAAAAGTTGATTCTGTTCCCACTGAATGATTTCTCTCCTCTTTTTAAAGTAGTTTCCTCTACTTCTCACTTTAACATGAATTATTATTAGATTATTCTAGGACAACAGGAACATTATGAGGGTTATATATTATAATATTTACTGTTGTTGATCTTCAATAAAATAAAGTTGATTGAACTTCAGTGTCAGTGTGGATACAACAGATACAAGAGACAGAAAAGATGAATGTAACTAAACTAAAGAGGTTTTAATGATGTTCACAACTTCATCAATATATTATGTGTGAAAGAATCTTTATGAGTTTAACAGATTATACTCACAGTGCTTTCAGTAACTCCTCCACGCTGCAGAAAGTAATAAACAGTGTTATGAAACTCATAATACTTTATCAGTATGAAAATAAACAGTAAAAACTAAAGAAACAGGATTTCAAATATGAGAACAGTGAGTGGAAAAAGACAAAAGAGCTTCTACATGTAATGTGTGTCTGTACTAAATTATAAAATGTACAGTTGTTGATCTTCAATAAAAGGAAGTTGATTTGACTTTAGTGTCTGTCAGTGTGGATACCAGTGAAATTAAATTAGTGTCAAACACTGACAAACAGCAAGTATTTGTCTAAACAGATCACACAGCAATAGCAGAGTGTTAGCTAACATAGATATTAAAGTGATAAAGTAACACAATGATGACTTACTGTGGAGAAAGAACGCTGTCTGATAATCCATGACTGAATGTTGACCTGTAGCTCTCCATAGTTATACTGACTCCTGGCCAGTCTGGGCTGTAACACACACACACACACACACACACACACACACACACACACACACACAATAAATAAATACAGTCTCAGGTTTTATTGATTCCTTTAAAGATTGAGGGCAGTCACCAGGTCTGTAGACAGGATGTTAGAAATAGTGAGGTTGTGAGTGTGTGAGCCCACTAGGGGGTTCAGCATGCTCCCCAAAGGAAAACTTTGAGGACTATAGAAGGAACAATAATCACTGAGGAAATAAAGTCAGTGTAACACACAGAGGTAAATTCTACCACAGTCCACAGCCCACTGAGTACTAATGGGTGTAGAGGGCTCTTCACTGTTACTATTACTGGTTCTGATTCTGTTGGACAAGAGACAAAGACCACCAGGGTAGTAAATTAGATTGTGATCCATCAGCCACAGCACCAACTGTGTGTGTGTGTGTGTGTGTGTGTGTGTGTGTGTGTGTGTGTGTGTGTGTGTGTGTGGAATGTTAATAAATGCAGATCATTGATCATCAAATCTGACCTGGGAGGAGAGAGTGTTTCTCTGAAAGTGATGATGTCTTTTTTGACTGATCACTCTTAAAGGACACATTGGATGTGGTCGACTCGTTACTGTCACTGTCACTGTCACTGGTTCTGGTTCTGGTGGACGAGAGAGAGAAAGACCACAGGGTGGTAAATTAGATTGTGATCCATCAGCCACAGCAACTGCTGGATACACAGAAACTACCAAGTAGACATCAGAAAAGTTCAGTAAAAGTTGATTCTGTTCCCACTGAATGATTTCTCTCCTCTTTTTAAAGTAGTTTCCTCTACTTCTCACTTTAACATGAATTATTATTAGATTATTCTAGGACAACAGGAACATTATGAGGGTTATATATTATAATATTTACTGTAGTTTTGATCTGTGACTCTGATGTAGTTCACACAGAGAGGTTTCAGAAGGAGAACCTCCTCCTCTGTGTCCTCACACTGACTCACTGCAGTAACTGCAGGTACATTAGACACAGTGAGAACAACCTACAGCGACTGTATGAGCACTCTGACTGCATCCCTTTGTGCAATAATATCTACATTTTATATGACAACTCATTTATCACTTATACTGAGAGACCATCTGAATGTGAGATGTTACATTGTGATTTATTCTTATGACAAACTGATATTTAATTCCAATAGCGCCCTCTGTTGGTCCACAAGGCAAACTACTTCAACCTGCGTGTTTCCCTCACAGACTGTAAATGTTGAATTCAAACAGGTCATTACAGTCAGTATCACATTATTTTCAACCATTTGAACTAAAGTCCTCATTTCCAATAAAAGTCAGAGCCCTAAAATCAAATAATAGTCAACCCTGAACATTAAGATAATTCACTGAAGCATTTAGTTCTTATGGATCTGAACAATAGTATGTGACACCTTATGGTCAAACAGTGAGCAGCTGACTGTTAGATAACTGCTCTGACCTTTCCTCATTTATTCTAAAGAGTGTGAAGAATCAAACACTCAGATATGTTTCACAATAGAAGAGGATATTAAAACTTCATTAGACAAAATCCTGCTGTTGCATTTATGTTTTTGTGAGTCTGAAAATGATCCTGATAATAAACAGTAAACTACAGTGAGTCTGATTTATATGGCTCTATATCACATAGTAATAACAAGTAGTTGATTTCACACCAACTGTGTCTGTGTATGTGTGTGTGTGTGCGTGTGTGTGTGTGTGTGTGTGTGTGTGTGTGTGTGTGTGTGTGTGTGTGTGTGTGTGTGTGTGTAAAATGTTAATAAATGCAGATCATTGATCATAAAATCTGACCTGAGAGGAGAGCGTCTTTCTCTGAAAGTGATGATTTCTTCTTTTGACTGATCACTCTTGAAGGACACATTGGATGTAGTCGACTCGTTGCTGTCACTGTCACTGTCGCTGGTTCTGGTGGACGAGAGAGAAAGACCACCAGGGTGGTAAATTAGATTGTGATCCATCAGCCACAGCAACTGCTGATACACAGAAACTACCAAGTAGACATCAGAAAAGTTCAGTAAAAGTTGATTCTGTTCCCACTGAATGATTTCTCTCCTCTTTTAAAGTAGTTTCCTCTGCTTCTCACTTTAACATGAATTATTATTAGATTATTCTAGGACAACAGGAACATTATGAGGGTTATATATTATAATATTTACAGTTGTTGATCTTCAATAAAATAAAGTTGATTGAACTTCAGTGTCAGTGTGGATACAACAGATACAAGTGACAGAAAAGATGAATGTAACTTAACTAAAGAGGTTTTAATGATGTTCACAGCTTCATCAATATATTATGTGTGAAAGAATCTTTATGAGGTTAACAGATTATACTCACAGTGCTTTCTTCATCTCCTCCCTGCAGAAAGTAATAAACAGTGTTATGAAACTCCTTCATCAGTATGAAAATAAACATTAAAAACTAAAGAAACAGGATTTCAAATATGAGAACAGTGAGTGGAAAAAGACAAAAGAGCTTCTACATGTAATGTGTGTCTGTACTAAATGTTGATAAATGAATCAACATTTTAATGTCAGTAAACTCTTCTTTTTAGGAGAGGAGTGTCTTTCTTTAAAATGTTTACCTCCGGTCCTACCAGCCTGTTCACCACCTACTATAATCTCATTATGTGTCTAATTACAGTGATTGGAGCTTCAAATACAGGAGATGGTTACCAATATGACACATTTCATAGAGAAAGTTTTACTAACTAATAATCATTGTTTATTGTCCCAGACTGGATAATCAGACTGATTTCTCTCCTCTTTTTAAAGTAGTTTCCTCTACTTCTCACTTTAACATGAATTATTATTAGATTATTCTAGGACAACAGGAACATTATGAGGGTTATATATTATAATATTTACAGTTGTTGATCTTCAATAAAATAAAGTTGATTGAACTTCAGTGTCAGTGTGGATACAACAGATACAAGTGACAGAAAAGATGAATGTAACTAAACTAAAGAGGTTTTAATGATGTTCACAGCTTCATCAATATATTATGTGTGAAAGAATCTTTATGAAGTTAACAGATTATACTCACAGTTCTTTCTTCATCTCCTCCCTGCAGAAAGTAATAAACAGTGTTATGAAACTCCTTCATCAGTATGAAAATAAACATTAAAAACTAAAGAAACAGGATTTCAAATATGAGAACAGTGAGTGGAAAAAGACAAAAGAGCTTCTACATGTAATGTGTGTCTGTACTAAATGTTGATAAATGAATCAACATTTTAATGTCAGTAAACTCTCAATATTTGGAAGAATTTCTCCTCCAAAAGTTTTACTAACTAATAATCATTGTTTATTGTCCCTGTTACAAACTGTAAGTGTATTTTCCCTCCTCGCCACAATGAGACAACTGGTGGTTCAATGCAGTTGTGAGTCGCTCTCACATTATAAAGAGAGGGATGGACTCGAGTTGTCTTCCTTTGTCTCCAAACATTTCACCTGGATGATGTGTAGATGATGGAGATGTTTGCTGTGTGACTTTTAATGAACCTTCAATGTGAGTAGCAATTACTTTATATTAATTTACATCATATTATGGTATATAAGAGACAGGAAGGTTAGATTTGTTCAATAATATTATGTTGACTTATATGTCAGTCTAATCTTTATTTGAGAGATTTATGATACTTAAATGTGTAAATGTTGAACATGATTTAAAGACTGGATTAATGACTGGTTTTTAGAAATATTGTAATTTGTTCTTTCTTTATTTAGAACCATGGTTATCATCATCCTAGAAAGGCAACATTGGATTGGTTAATAAATAGTTGACTGATGGCAATCCTTGTTTCTTGGTGTTCTGTGGCTCCAGTTAGAAACTTAAATCCACAACAGTCCCAGACTGGATAATCAGACTGATTTCTCTCCTCTTTTAAAGTAATTTCCTCTATTTCTCACTTTAACATGAATTATTATTAGATTATTCTAGGACAACAGGAACATTATGAGGGTTATATATTATAATATTTACTGTTGTTGATCTTCAATAAAATAAAGTTGATTGAACTTCAGTGTCAGTGTGGATACAACAGATACAAGTGACAGAAAAGATGAATGTAACTAAACTAAAGAGGTTTTAATGATGTTCACAGCTTCATCAATATATTATGTGTGAAAGAATCTTTCTGAAGTTAACAGATTATACTCACCGTTCTTTCTTCATCTTCTCCCTGCAGAAAGTAATAAACAGTGTTATGAAACTCCTTCATCAGTATGAAAATAAACATTAAAAACTAAAGAAACAGGATTTCAAATATGAGAACAGTGAGTGGAAAAAGACAAAAGAGCTTCTACATGTAATGTGTGTCTGTACTAAATGTTGATAAATGAATCAACATTTTAATGTCAGTAAACTCTTCTTTTTAGGAGAGGAGTGTCTTTCTTTAAAATGTTTACCTCCGGTCCTACCAGCCTGTTCACCACCTACTATAATGTAAATGTATTCAGTTTGTTTAGGGTGAGAGTTTCATGGTAGGAGGACGTCTGGTAAGAATGTGTTTACAGTCACAGGGTCAGATCACAGAACCATTTGTGTTGAAGACCTAAAACCTTCACATGAGATTTACAGTGGTTCTGTTAATATGGCACCAGGGGTTCTTGGATGTACTGGATGGTATATAAGAGAGATCATTCTGGAAGTGGAGAGAGAGAACATCCATGCTGAGGTCTTCTCTCCATGCTGCATGTAATAAAGGGACTTGATTCATCACACTGGCTTCATAATTCTTCAGAGAACTAACAACTCTCAATATTTGGAAGAATTTCTCCTCCAAAAGTTTTACTAACTAATAATCATTGTTTATTGTCCCAGACTGGATAATCAGACTGATTTCTCTCCTCTTTTTAAAGTAGTTTCCTCTACTTCTCACTTTAACATGAATTATTATTAGATTATTCTAGGACAACAGGAACATTATGAGGGTTATATATTATAATATTTATAGTTGTTGATTCAGATTCATGCATTGAGGTTGTTATCTACTGGTAGTCATTAATAACTCTGTGTCTGTTACAACACACATTTCTGTGTAATAACATTTTAACAAAGGAAGTTGGTTTGACTTTAGTGTCTGTCAGTGTGGATACCAGTGAAATTAAATTAGTGTCAAACACTGACAAACAGCAAGTATTTGTCTAAACACATCACACAGCAATAGCAGCGTGTTAGCTAACATAGATATTAAAGTGATAAAGTAACACAATGATGACTTACAATGGAGAACGGACGTTGGCTGATAATCCATGACTGAATGTTGAGTTGATATACGGAGGCATAATGGGTACTGGCCTGGCTGGGCTGTACCACAAACAAACAAACAAACAAACACACACACACACACACACACACACACACACACACACACACACACACACACACACACAAGAGGTTTGAGTAAAGATGGTGGAGAGCTGAGTGCTGATCTGTGACTCTGTGATGTAGTTCACACAGAGAGGTTTCAGAAGGAGAACCTCCTCCTCTGTGTCCTCACACTGACTCACTGCAGTAACTGCAGGTACATTAGACACAGTGAGAACAACCTACAGCGACTGTATGAGCACTCTGACTGAGATTGAGATTATTCTCGGACAACAGGAACATTATGAGGGTTATATATTATAATATTTACAGTTGTTGATCTTTAATAAAATAAAGTTGATTGAACTTCAGTGTCAGTGTGGATACAACAGATACAAGTGACAGAAAAAATGAATGTAACTAAACTAAAGAGGTTTTAATGATGTTCACAGCTTCATCAATATATTATGTGTGAAAGAATCTTTATGAAGTTAACAGATTATACTTACTGTTTTCTCTTCATCTTCTTCCTGCAGAAAGTAATAAACAGTGTTATGAAACTCCTTCATCAGTATGAAAATAAACATTAAAAACTAAAGAAACAGGATTTCAAATATGAGAACAGTGAGTGGAAAAAGACAAAAGAGCTTCTACATGTAATGTGTGTCTGTACTAAATGTTGATAAATGAATCAACATTTTAATGTCAGTAAACTCTTCTTTTTAGGAGAGGAGTGTCTTTCTTTAAAATGTTTACCTCCGGTCCTACCAGCCTGTTCACCACCTACTATAATCTCATTATGTGTCTAATTACAGTGATTGGAGCTTCAAATACAGGAGATGGTTACCAATATGACACATTTCATAGAGAAAGTTTTACTAACTAATAATCATTGTTTATTGTCCCAGACTGGATAATCAGACTGATTTCTCTCCTCTTTTTAAAGTAGTTTCCTCTACTTCTCACTTTAACATGAATTATTATTATTTATTATTTTTGTCTTTCTTCAACCCTGGGTAAATTATTAATTGTTGCGCCTCTTTTACCCTGGATCTTACAACTGAAGTCGTAACAGTTTTATGTTGGGATCCAAGGATACCTTTAAATATGAACTTGTTCATTTGAAGTATTTAACTGGAACGAAAAAGGATGTTGGGTGTGACCATGTGCTCAGAAACAAAGCAATAAATGTTTGTGTTTCCATATGCTGGCTTATTTAATTTCGTACAAGAGTGAGTGATACCAACCTCTTCTACGTAGAACTCCAAAGCTCCCACTCTAGCTATTATTAATGATTTTGGTTGTAATTATTAATTTAATTATTAATCTGATTTCTGAATTGATAGTTTAGTGTAATATTTTTGAGACTGATCAATCGATTATTGGTTATCGTTCCCTTATTTAGGGATAGTGCCCCGAGGAACTTTCATATTAATTAAAGTAATTTTCTATTATCTTTTGATAATTGTAATTTTTGATAACCATTAATTGATTAAACAAATACAGTTAGACCACTCTAACACCCTATGTCGTGGAGCCCGACATTTATATTATAATATTTACTGTTGTTGATCTTCAATAAAATAAAGTTGATTGAACTTCAGTGTCAGTGTGGATACAACAGATACAATGACAGAAAAGATGAATGTAACTAAACTAAAGAGGTTTTAATGATGTTCACAGCTTCATCAATATATTATGTGTGAAAGAATCTTCATGAAGTTAACAGATTATACTTACAGTACGTCCTCCACCTCCAACTCCCTGCAGAAAGTAATAAACAGTGTTATGAAACTCCTTCATCAGTATGAAAATAAACATTAAAAACTAAAGAAACAGGATTTCAAATATGAGAACAGTGAGTGGAAAAAGACAAAAGAGCTTCTACATGTAATGTGTGTCTGTACTAAATGTTGATAAATGAATCAACATTTTAATGTCAGTAAACTCTCAATATTTGGAAGAATTTCTCCTCCAAAAGTTTTACTAACTAATAATCATTGTTTATTGTCCCTGTTACAAACTGTAAGTGTATTTTCCCTCCTCGTCACAATGAAACAACTGGTGGTTCAATGCAGTTGTGAGTCGCTCTCACATTATAAAGAGAGGGATGGACTCGACTTGTCTTCCTTTGTCTCCAAACATTTCACCTGGATGATGTGTAGATGATGGAGATGTTTGCTGTGTGACTTTTAATGAACCTTTAATGTGAGTAGCAATTACTTTATACTAATTTACATCATATTATGGTATATAAGAGACAGGAAGGTTAGATTTGTTCAATAATATTATGTTGACTTATATGTCAGTCTAATCTTTATTTGAGAGATTTATGATACTTAAATGTGTAAATGTTGAACATGATTTAAAGACTGGATTAATGACTGGTTTTTAGAAATATTGTAATTTGTTCTTTCTTTGTTTAGAACCATGGTTATCATCATCCTAGAAAGGCAACATTGGATTGGTTAATAAATGGATGACTGATGGCAATCCTTGTTTCTTGGTGGTCTGTGGCTCCAGTTAGAAACTTAAACCCACAACAGTTCCAGACTGGATAATCAGACTGATTTCTCTCCTCTTTTTAAAGTAGTTTTCTCTACTTCTCACTTTAACATGAATTATTATTATTTACTATTTTTGTCTTTCTTCAACCCTGGGTAAATTATTAATTGTTGCGCCTCTTTTCCCTTTGATCTTACAACTGAAGTCGTAACAGTTTTATGTTGGGATCCAAGGATACCTTTAAATATGAACTTGTTCATTTGAAGTATTTAACTGGAACAGAAAGGATGTTGGGTGTGACCATGTGCTCAGAAACAAAGCAATAAATGTTTGTGTTTCCATATGCTGGCTTATTTAATTTCGTACAAGAGTGAGTGATACCGACCTCTTCTACGTAGAACTCCAAAGCTCCCACTCTAGCTATTATTAATGATTTTGGTTGTAATTATTAATTTAATTATTAATCTGATTTCTGAATTGATAGTTTAGTGTAATATTTTTGAGACTAATCAATCGATTATTGGTTATCGTCCCTTATTTAGGGATAGTGCCCCGAGGAACTTTCATATTAATTAAAGTAATTTTCTATTATCTTTTTATAATTATAATTTTTGATAACCATTAATTGATTAAACCAATAAAGTTAGACCACTCTAACCTTCAATGTGAGTAGCAATTACTTTATATTAATTTACATCATATTATGGTACATAAGAGACAGGAAGGTTATATTTGTTCAATAATATTATGTTGACTTATATGTCAGTCTAATCTTTATTTGAGAGATTTATGATACTTAAATGTGTAAATGTTGAACATGATTTAAAGACTGGATTAATGACTGGTTTTTAGAAATATTGTAATTTGTTCTTTCTTTGTTTAGAACCATGGTTATCATCATCCTAGAAAGGCAACATTGGATTGGTTAATAAATAGATGACTGATGGCAATCCTTGTTTCTTGGTGGTCTGTGGCTCCAGTTAGAAAATTAAATCCACAACAGTCCCAGACTGGATAATCAGACTGGTTTCTCTCCTCTTTTTAAAGTAATTTCCTCTATTTCTCACTTTAACATGAATTATTATTAGATTATTCTAGGACAACAGGAACATTATGAGGGTTATATATTATAATATTTACTGTTGTTGATCTTCAATAAAATAAAGTTGATTGAACTTCAGTGTCAGTGTGGATACAACAGATACAAGTGACAGAAAAGATTAATGTAACTAAACTAAAGAGGTTTTAATGATGTTCACAGCTTCATCAATATATTATGTGTGAAAGAATCTTCATGAAGTTAACAGATTATACTCACGGTACTTCCTCCTCCTCCCTGCAGAAAGTAATAAACAGTGTTATGAAACTCCTTCATCAGTATGAAAATAAACATTAAAAACTAAAGAAACAGGATTTCAAATATGAGAACAGTGAGTGGAAAAAGACAAAAGAGCTTCTACACTAAATGTTGATAAATGAATCAACATTTTAATGTCAGTAAACTCTCAATATTTGGAAGAATTTCTCCTACAAAAGTTTTACTAACTAATAATCATTGTTTATTGTCCCTGTTACAAACTGTAAGTGTATTTTCCCTCCTCGTCACAATGAAACAACTGGTGGTTCAATGCAGTTGTGAGTCGCTCTCACATTATAAAGAGAGGGATGGACTCGACTTGTCTTCCTTTGTCTCCAAACATTTCACCTGGATGATGTGTAGATGATGGAGATGTTTGCTGTGTGACTTTTAATGAACCTTTAATGTGTTTAGCAATTACTTTATATTAATTTACATCATATTATGGTATATAAGAGACAGGAAGGTAAGATTTGTTCAATAATATTATGTTGACTTATATGTCAGTCTAATCTTTATTTGAGAGATTTATGATACTTAAATGTGTAAATGTTGAACATGATTTAAAGACTGGATTAATGACTGGTTTTTAGAAATATTGTAATTTGTTCTTTCTTTGTTTAGAACCATGGTTATCATCATCCTAGAAAGGCAACATTGGATTGGTTAATAAATGGATGACTGATGGCAATCCTTGTTTCTTGGTGGTCTGTGGCTCCAGTTAGAAACTTAAACCCACAACAGTTCCAGACTGGATAATCAGACTGATTTCTCTCCTCTTTTTAAAGTAGTTTCCTCTACTTCTCACTTTAACATGAATTATTATTATTTATTATTTTTGTCTTTCTTCAACCCTGGGTAAATTATTAATTGTTGCGCCTCTTTTCCCTTTGATCTTACAACTGAAGTCGTAACAGTTTTATGTTGGGATCCAAGGATACCTTTAAATATGAACTTGTTCATTTGAAGTATTTAACTGGAACGAAAAAGGATGTTGGGTGTGACCATGTGCTCAGAAACAAAGCAATAAATGTTTGTGTTTCCATATGCTGGCTTATTTAATTTCGTACAAGAGTGAGTGATACCAACCTCTTCTACGTAGAACTCCAAAGCTCCCACTCTAGCTATTATTAATGATTTTGGTTGTAATTATTAATTTAATTATTAATCTGATTTCTGAATTGATAGTTTAGTGTAATATTTTTGAGACTGATCAATCGATTATTGGTTATCGTCCCTTATTTAGGGATGGTGCCCCGAGGAACTTTCATATTAATTAAAGTAATTTTCTATTATCTTTTGATAATTGTAATTTTTGATAACCATTAATTGATTAAACAAATACAGTTAGACCACTCTAACACCCTATGTCGTGGAGCCCGACATTTATATTATAATATTTACTGTTGTTGATCTTCAATAAAATAAAGTTGATTGAACTTCAGTGTCAGTGTGGATACAACAGATACAAGTGACAGAAAAGATGAATGTAACTAAACTAAAGAGGTTTTAATGATGTTCACAGCTTCATCAATATATTATGTGTGAAAGAATCTTCATGAAGTTAACAGATTATACTTACAGTACGTCCTCCTCCTCCCTGCAGAAAGTAATAAACACTGTTATGAAACTCCTTCATCAGTATGAAAATAAACATTAAAAACTAAAGAAACAGGATTTCAAATATGAGAACAGTGAGTGGAAAAAGACAAAAGAGCTTCTACATGTAATGTGTGTCTGTACTAAATGTTGATAAATGAATCAACATTTTAATGTCAGTAAACTCTCAATATTTGGAAGAATTTCTCCTACAAAAGTTTTACTAACTAATAATCATTGTTTATTGTCCAAGACTGGATAATCAGACTGATTTCTCTCCTCTTTTAAAGTAGTTTCCTCTACTTCTCACTTTAACATGAATTATTATTAGATTATTCTAGGACAACAGGAACATTATGAGGGTTATATATTATAATATTTACAGTTGTTGATCTTCAATAAAATAAAGTTCATTGAACTTCAGTGTCAGTGTGGATACAACAGATACAAGTGACAGAAAAGATGAATGTAACTAAACTAAAGAGGTTCTAATGATGTTCACAGCTTCATCAATATATTATGTGTGAAAGAATCTTTATCAAGTTAACAGATTATACTCACCGTTCTTTCTTCATCTCCTCCCTGCAGAAAGTAATAAACAGTGTTATGAAACTCCTTCATCAGTATGAAAATAAACATTAAAAACTAAAGAAACAGGATTTCAAATATGAGAACAGTGAGTGGAAAAAGACAAAAGAGCTTCTACATGTAATGTGTGTCTGTACTAAATGTTGATAAATGAATCAACATTTTAATGTCAGTAAACTCTCAATATTTGGAAGAATTTCTCCTACAAAAGTTTTACTAACTAATAATCATTGTTTATTGTCCCTGTTACAAACTGTAAGTGTATTTTCCCTCCTCGTCACAATGAGACAACTGGTGGTTCAATGCAGTTGTGAGTCGCTCTCACATTATAAAGAGAGGGATGGACTTGACTTGTCTTTCTTTGTCTCCAAACATTTCACCTGGATAATGTGTAGATGATGGAGATGTGTGCTGTGTGACTTTTAATGAACCTTTAATGTGAGTAGCAATTACTTTATATTAATTTACATCATATTATGGTACATAAGAGACAGGAAGGTTAGATTTGTTCAATAATATTATGTTGACTTATATGTCAGTCTAATCTTTATTTGAGAGATTTATGATACTTAAATGTGTAAATGTTGAACATGATTTAAAGACTGGATTAATGACTGGTTTTTAGAAATATTGTAATTTGTTCTTTCTTTGTTTAGAACCATGGTTATCATCATCCTAGAAAGGCAACATTGGATTGGTTAATAAATGGATGACTGATGGCAATCCTTGTTTCTTGGTGGTCTGTGGCTGCAGTTAGAAACTTAAACCCACAACAGTTCCAGACTGGATAATCAGACTGATTTCTCTCCTCTTTTTGAAGTAGTTTCCTCTACTTCTCACTTTAACATGAATTATTATTATTTACTATTTTTGTCTTTCTTCAACCCTGGGTAAATTATTAATTGTTGCGCCTCTTTTCCCTTTGATCTTACAACTGAAGTCGTAACAGTTTTATGTTGGGATCCAAGGATACCTTTAAATATGAACTTGTTCATTTGAAGTATTTAACTGGAACGAAAAAGGATGTTGGGTGTGACCATGTGCTCAGAAACAAAGCAATAAATGTTTGTGTTTCCATATGCTGGCTTATTTAATTTCGTACAAGAGTGAGTGATACCAACCTCTTCTACGTAGAACTCCAAAGCTCCCACTCTAGCTATTATTAATGATTTTGGTTGTAATTATTAATTTAATTATTAATCTGATTTCTGAATTGATAGTTTAGTGTAATATTTTTGAGACTGATCAATCGATTATTGGTTATCGTTCCCTTATTTAGGGATGGTGCCCCGAGGAACTTTCATATTAATTAAAGTAATTTTCTATTATCTTTTGATAATTGTAATTTTTGATAACCATTAATTGATTAAACAAATACAGTTAGACCACTCTAACACCCTATGTCGTGGAGCCCGACATTTATATTATAATATTTACTGTTGTTGATCTTCAATAAAATAAAGTTGATTGAACTTCAGTGTCAGTGTGGATACAACAGATACAATGACAGAAAAGATGAATGTAACTAAACTAAAGAGGTTTTAATGATGTTCACAGCTTCATCAATATATTATGTGTGAAAGAATCTTTCTGAAGTTAACAGATTATACTCACAGTTCTTTCTCCACCTCCAACCTGCAGAAAGTAATAAACAGTGTTATGAAACTCCTTCATCAGTATGAAAATAAACATTAAAAACTAAAGAAACAGGATTTCAAATATGAGAACAGTGAGTGGAAAAAGACAAAAGAGCTTCTACATGTAATGTGTGTCTGTACTAAATGTTGATAAATGAATCAACATTTTAATGTCAGTAAACTCTTCTTTTTAGGAGAGGAGTGTCTTTCTTTAAAATGTTTACCTCCGGTCCTACCAGCCTGTTCACCACCTACTATAATCTCATTATGTGTCTAATTACAGTGATTGGAGCTTCAAATACAGGAGATGGTTACCAATATGACACATTTCATAGAGAGAGCTGAGTGCTGATCTGTGACTCTGTGATGTAGTTCACACAGAGAGGTTTCAGAAGGAGAACCTCCTCCTCTGTGTCCTCACACTGACTCACTGCAGTAACTGCAGGTACATTAGACACAGTGAGAACAACCTACAGCGACTGTATGAGCACTCTGACTGCATCCCTTTGTGCAATAATATCTACATTTTATATGACAACTCATTTATCACTTATACTGAGAGACCATCTGAATGTGAGATGTTACATTCTGATTTATTCTTATGACAAACTGATATTTAATTCCAGTAGCGCCCTCTGTTGGTCCACAAGGCAAACTACTTCAACCTGTGTGTTTCCCTCACAGACTGTAAATGTTGAATTCAAACAGGTCATTACAGTCAGTATCACATTATTTTCAACCATTTGAACTAAAGTCCTCATTTCCAATAAAAGTCAGAGCCCTAAAATCAAATAATAGTCAACCCTGAACATTAAGATAATTCACTGAAGCATTTAGTTCTTATGGATCTGAACAATAGTGTGTGACACCTTATGGTCAAACAGTGAGCAGCTGACTGTTAGATAACTGCTCTGACCTTTCCTCATTTATTCTAAAGAGTGTGAAGAATCAAACACTCAGATATGTTTCACAATAAAAGAGGATATTAAAACTTCATTAGACAAAATCCTGCTGTTGCATTTATGTTTTTGTGAGTCTGAAAATGATCCTGATAATAAACAGTAAACTACAGTAAGTCTGATTTATATGGCTCTATATCACATAGTAATAACAAGTAGTTTATTTAACACTGACTGTGTGTGTGTGTGTGTGTGTGTGTGTGTGTGTGTGTGTGTGTGTGTGTGTGTGTGTGTAAAATGTTAATAAATGCAGATCATTGATCATAAAATCTGACCTGAGAGGAGAGAGTGTTTCTCTGAAATTGATGTCGTCATCTTTTGACTGATCACTCCTGAAGGACACATTGGATGTAGTCGACTCATCACTGTCACTGTCACTGGTTCTGGTTCTGGTTCTGGTTATGTTGGACGAGAGACAAAGACCACCAGAGTGGTAAATTAGATTGTGATCCATCAGCCACAACAACTACTGATACACAGAAACTACCAAGTAGACATCAGAAAAGTTCAGTAAAAGTTGATTCTGTTCCCACTGAATGATTTCTCTCCTCTTTTTAAAGTAGTTTCCTCTACTTCTCACTTTAACATTAATTATTATTAGATTATTCTAGGACAACAGGAACATTATGAGGGTTATATATTATAATATTTACTGTTGTTGATCTTCAATAAAATAAAGTTGATTGAACTTCAGTGTCAGTGTGGATACAACAGATACAAGTGACAGAAAAGATGAATGTAACTAAACTAAAGAGGTTTTAATGATGTTCACAGCTTCATCAATATATTATGTGTGAAAGAATCTTTATGAGGTTAACAGATTATACTCACAGTACTTTCAGTATCTCCTCCCTGCAGAAAGTAATAAACAGTGTTATGAAACTCCTTCATCAGTATGAAAATAAACATCAAAAACTAAAGAAACAGGATTTCAAATAACGTGTGTCTGTACTAAATGTTGATAAATGAATCAACAGTAAACTCTTCTTTATTGTAATATATAATATATAATATTCACAATCATTTTGATCTTCCAGAAAATGAAGTTGATTTGACTTCAGTGTCTGTCAGTGTGGATACAAGTGAAATTAAATTAGTGTCAATATGCTATACTTAGAAAACTGGATGTTCAAACTAGAAATAAATTCATGAACAATAAGTAACTGTAACAGAAAAATATAGTAAAATTATACAGTAACACAATAATGACTTACATGATACTTTGCCGTATTGTGAGCTAGTGTGAGCTGTAACACACAAACACACACAATGTTTAATTCCAATATATAATATATAATTTCCCAGGCAAACTTGAGCTTAAGTATTACATTATTTCAAATAAAGCCCTAAAATCAAATAATAGGTAACACTGAATTCACCACTAATATTCTAACACTCAGATATGTGATAAATGATCCTGATATAAAATAATAAACTACAATAACTAAGAAGGCAATAACAAAACAAAGCTACAGACAAAGCTCTGATGTTCTCAGTCACATCTAACTATTGTTTTACTTTGTAATACTGAGCAGGTGGAACCACAGAGAATGAGCAGGAATAGAAATATGACCCATAAGCACTTTAGCTTTTCATCTCAGTATCATGTTCACAGGACAATGACAAAAATACTTTATGTAATATGTGAGGAAGAGCTGCAGCAGACAGTCAAAGTGCTCCCAGGTTGTATTACACTGTAAACATGTTCAGAGCTGAAAGAAAACTACAGGAAACTTACAGCAAAGCTAATGAACTACTAAAATATAATAATTTATATCGTCTTTAAAATGAAGAGAATAGAGTAAAATAATGACAGTGTCAGGTTTCACTGATTATTCTGAAGATTAGAGAAACTTTATGTCTCTTCCTCATTAATGTAAAGTTAGTTCAAGTTAAACTAGCGCTGTTTGTTATCTTGGAGGTTTTAACATTCAGTCGAGTTTCATCTTCTGTTAACTTTATTATTCTTTAATAATCGTCAACTGAAGCAGATCAAACTGTAGAAGTTCAACAAAATAACAGAAAACACATAGAAAACTTTATTGATTAGCATTAGCTCACTAGGCCTCACTTTACCTCCGACCTTCAAACGGACAACAACCTTTATTTTTACTTATTTAAACGCCAACAATAAACAGAATTCAGACCTGTTTTTACTGTTTTATAGATTAAGTAACGGAATAAACGGATGATACAATAAGATTAATTAAAGTATAAAAAACACGTAGTTACAAACCTTTAGATGGTGGAAAATAACTGCGTCACAAGTCAGAAAACTAAAGTGAAACTACTTCTTTAGTTCCTTATTTACAATGTACTGTAGTCTGTGGGGAGGTTCTACTGCGCATGACTGGGACACTCAAAGCTGATGTGTCAGAAGAAGGAGAATCAGTAGATACTCGATTGGTTTTAAGTATTATTGATTCTTCAGTGAATTTGATCATTATAATATTATTATATTTTAATTTAAGTTAATAATTTCCTTACAGTACACAGTTAAGATTATTGTATAACTGTAACTGTAATTATCTGGATCTATATATATTCTATAAATAGCCTATAAATTACCTTTGATTACATTTACTCTGTATATTTTTGTCCTGTGCAGTTATATTTACTTTTACACTCCCACTGCAGTCTTTGTGCATTGGTTATCGATGTGTATTCAACATTGGACTTATATTGAACTTGTTTTATATGTTGGTGACCTGCACAACAAACCAAAGTCTCCCTGCCTCGGTCTTCATGTTTATAATATAGCAGAGGGAGATGTTTCTGGATTATATTCAACAAATGCTTCCTATTATAACTAATCATCTCATTATTCTGTTTTACATTAATTGGCAAAAGAAAGAAAGAAAAAGAAATCTGCTAAATGTTTTGAAGTTATATTAGAAATTTGATAATTTAATACAAATTCTGTATATTACATAGAAGACCATCAGAGTTCATAAGTTCAGTGACTAATAAGATGTTATTTTTTAATGATCTGATGAATAATGAACCTGAATCACATTCCTCTTGTGTTTGTCTCTTAATGGATGAATCTCTGTTCCAAATGACACAAACGACAGCACAAATGTACAAACAGTTGATTTTATTCTCACAGAATAATCCAACAGAGGGTGCAGTGGAGCATCTTCAGCGTAATAAATGAAGCGGAGGGATAAAAAGGATGTAATCAGGGTGGGAATAAAGTGCAGGTACAAACACTGACTGAGTCACGGTGACGTTACATCAAAAACTCATCATGAACTTCTAACTGAGGACAGAGTGAGAGGGCTGCACAGTGAATCCAACACTGTCTTTTCTCACATCAACTCACTGATAGGATCAGTTTATTAGAATTAATGAACAGTTACAAATATTGAAAAACTGCACTGTAACTTACATTTTCTGTGTATTTTGGATAAAAACCCTAGAAGGACGGTGCATTCTGGCAGTAAGTTATTATTATTATTGATTTCTAAATCAAACACAACTGCTAACGTCACCGGTCTGATTTAGATTTTTAGATTTAAACCTGAAGGGACGATGCACCTTTATTGGTGTTAAATATTTGGTGCAGTGGGCAGCCAAAAGGGACTTAAAGAAGGAAACAACGGTGCAGCTCTCACATCCATCTTCATAACAAATGTCTCTACAATGGAAGAACAGCGTTGTTGGAGAAACCTTGTGGAAGTACATTGAACACCTCCTCGTCTTCCTCCGTCTCTGATCTCAACGCCTCGGACCGAACGACAACTTGTGATTTTAATTCTTAGGTGAAGCAGCGTATATAAAAATAAACTTTATGTGGAGGATGTTGTTTTCATTGGATACAGATTTTAATGACGAAAGGTAAAAAGGCCAACACGCAGTTCTGTGCTCCATTAAACAACTTTTAAGTTCTTTCTTTTGAGGTTATAAAAACAGGGAAGACGCACAGATGCCAGCGAGATTTAAAAAAAAAAAAAAGCATGAAGCAAACGATACTTGGTGAGCTAAATATAGCACATAGTGTCAGCAACTGCAATCTAACTGTGCATTTATAGTTTCATGTGTTTACTCGGGTGTCTCAAGGTCCACTTACAGCTCTTTCTGGAGCTTGCATCACGTATACGTCTCACATACGATGTTACCAAAGACTGCGAGGCGTGGTTGAAAGCGCCAGAATAAAAGCTATTAAGAGGACGGTGAGTTCAGGCTTTTGTGTCACACTTAGTTCACACTCCTTCGATCTTAAATTCACAAGTACACTTCATGCTTTACTTAAACAATAAATGTGTTTAGGATACAACATTTTACATTACAGGAAATCTTCTAACGTAAATGCTGTGTCTCTGGACGATGGCGATAATAGAAAATAAAAAGAGGAGAAGCCGACTCTGTTCAGAGGAAGGATAAAATACAAATGTTACAAAAACTACGGTCATACTTCAGCTTTGAAAATTATGTGAGTACGTACACGCTTTGTGTTAAAGTAGGAATAGATAACAAAATAGCTTATACAAAAACTTCAATACATGAAACTACATTTAAAGCATTTATTTATGTCTGTGTGTGTTAATGCTTCACTAGAATCAGTGAATAGTCTGTAGTCTCCTTAGACGGCGAGGCCTAAAGATTTAAATCTGTAAATACTTGTAGCAGAGAGAAGAAATATAAACGGAAGGAATAAAGGAAAAATCTGTTTAAACTGTCAATAAATCTGTGATGTTCTTTGCATTTCAGGGAGTAAGTCTGTTTCCTCAACCTGCCTCTTCCTACATTTCCCACAATGCCCCTCACTCATGCTCAAAACTCGACCTCCCACTTCATTCTGATCCATTTCCTGCTCCTGCTCCTGTATTAAATGCCCTCTAACACACACACAGCGAGCTATAATGGAAGTCAGGACCACAGGGACACAATCTGGGCTTCGGTCTGTTGTCCAAGGACACTTTCACATGCCAACCCCTGCAATCAGCTGACAACCTGCTCCTGAGCCATAGCTGCCCAAAGCATCTGCAACCATCGAGCTGTAGCTAATATGTTTGTAAGACCTGAAAACAACTTATGTTTTGTATCAGCTATACAGAACACAAACCTAAACCCAACTCTCTGTTTTAAAGGCTGCAACATAATCTTTTGGGGACGAACAAGCACGTCAAAGTACATCCACTGAAAGTGTTTTTGCAACTGACCGGCTCAGATTGCTACTGTAAGTGTCTGATGACGTTACAGAAAGGATCCCTACAGAGAGGTTTGTTTAAGAGTGAAATCCTTTTTGTTTAACCTCAAACAGCCTTGATATCGCTCTGTTCAAATACACCAGACTCCATTAACAAAAAGAGTCATTTTACCTCACAGAACACAGGATAGTTTGTTTCGTAGTGATTAAATTACTCATGTTGAATGTTCTAGTGTTACTACAATGCGGCATTAAGTAGAATTGATAAAAAAAACTATTTATAAAGACACCTTTTAGTTTGTTTACTTGGTTATTTTGATAAGAAAACCAATGTTGAACTGTGAAAAGCCATACAAAATATTTTTAGCTTGTCTTTTATAAGCAAAAAGTAAAAATATATAAAGCCTGGATGCAGACATCCTTTCTTAATGCATTGCTGAGCTATTAAACTGTCAAGCATTTACTAATTTTAAAACTTTAATGTACTTTAAGTGTGCAGTGTGCAACTGTAATATCTAGAAAAATGCATGTATCTGATCGGGACTCGGGCAGATGCTCAATATTAAATAAATCAGATCCATAAAAAATGTCAGCAAAACAATTTCAGCAATATTAAACTGTGGCAGCTGAAGAAGAAGAAACAAAATCCTCTGAAGCAAACATCTTTGTCATCAGTGAGATTAACACAAACCAAACAAAGTGGGCCCTGAAATGCAAAGTACATTACGTACAGCTGCTTTTCTATGTGTGTTAAAGGGTTTTATGGTGGATTCGTCCTTCAACCTGCTTCATCTGAAGGATCTGGGCTCAAACTGCTTCAACCATCGAGCATCCGACCTGCTGAAGGTCTCTCGAGCGAGACGTTCGCTCCTTACTTGGCGCTGTTCAGCTGACCTCTGTGGGGAGGAGGCTCAGCAAAAGGAAAAGTAAAAATATCCCAACAGGGATCCATAAAGTGTTCTGATCACTTCTTCCAGGAAATCAAATCCTCATTGACACAAAAACTAATTTAACGGCAGCGTATAAAACTGTTGTGTTTTCCAACTGTGCCTCTATCTGAAGTTTTACTGCATCTCTGAAGTTATGAAAAATGGTTTATGACTAGTACGGTGTCAAATTTTATGGATGTTATGTCAACTTCTGTGTGAAAACACAAACTGTAAGTATCAGAGGATCACATGGCGGACAAACACAAAGTCCAGTTCTCAAATATGAGAAAGTAAAAGAAGACTTAAAAACCTATGGACTCTAACTTGTGTTGAAAAAGCTTCTTCTCCTGCGCTCTCACTGTAGAAACATTACTGCTGCATGCCCTGATTCATGTGTTAAATCAAAGAGGATTAAAGAACTCCGAGAGATGTAAAATGTAGAAAAATAGGAAGAAGAACAATCAGCCTACTTGTGGTAAACATGATGTACAAAGTTATAGAGGTAATAAAGTGTTTGTTTTTGTTATAGAAACATTTCTCGCAGAAATTACCATGATAAGAACTGGTATCAAGAACTGATGAGGAATCAGACGGATAAGCGGAATCAGAACTGGCGTTAATAAAATCCAAACGATACCAAACCCCCCCCCCTCCCGCTGAGACGGGGTATAAACACTTGGGTGTGTGCTGCCTGGAGTCTTACAGGCTGCCTGCACGTCACTGGTCCCGAGCTTCATACAGCAGTTTGGCCGCCTGTGAGGAAGACAGACATAAAATGATAACATGTAAATGCAGGATGAGAATATGGACAGCAGCCACGTTAAAACAAATGACCATAGAGGAAGATTAAAGCTATAAAATGTTCCACATTAAAGTGTCTGTAAGCTCTGGCTCTATGTTCTATATGTAGCTGTGTTCTTACATTATCCCAAATGTTTCCAACAATGTTCAAACTCAGAGAAATTTAAAAAAGTCAGTGCTGTGCTCGTCATAAACTGAAGTTTTATCCAGTCTGAAGCCACATTTCTACCATCCACTGTTTGGATCTTTGGTGGTTTTTAACTCTAGATTTGAACCGGACGAAGGATTTTAGTCATCAGACGTCTGGATCTTAAGTTATCAGAGAAACAAGCTGATCCCATCATCCCACATTACTTCACTAAGGCATCAAACTTCATCTTCTGTTATTGTTTTTAATGTTGGAGACCGCCGTAGCGGCAGCATGTGCACACTGTAGGTTTAACACTACTTCATTACATATCAGAATACTGAATTATGAAATTAAAAATGGAAATTAAAAAAAGATTAAAATACCAAAAACAACTTCTTCAATCTCAGATCTTTCTGACTGCTGAGGAGAATGTAAACTTTGGCCTGACGGTGGCGCCAGAGGACACGCCATGTTGTAACCTCTGTACACTGTCAGTCTGGGTTTGTCTTCATGCTATTAAATGTTTGCATTAAGTACAGATGAGCCATGGTAATGTCTCCATGTAGCATTAACCATATAGCACGCCGTGCCTTAACCCTGCATATTAGGAGTTTAGACCCTAAAAGATAAAACTATAAAGCCGATATCTATAATATCTAATCAAGTGGTTCCTCTAACAGTCCCACATGTTGAATCAGCAGGACTATAAGACTTTAATTACATGTTTCAGCGACAGTACGAGTTCCGTTTGTCGTACTGTACCTTGTGCATTGCAGCCAACCATAACGAGGCCACCTTCTTGTCGTCCGCTGCCTCCATGCGGAGCTGCTGGGCGTCCTGGGAGCCCATTGGCTTGTAGTGAAGCAGCATGCCGCTGGCCCGCGACGTCCCTCCTACACACACACACACACACACACACACACACACACACACACACACACACACACACACACACACACACACACACACACACACACACACACACACACACACACACACACACACACACACACATATAAGACATGGACTAAAAAAAACATGACTGACGGACTAAACTGTATAATCTGTCGTTGGTTTTGTTCCTCTTTTGTCTTTCAAAACTATCAGGCAGCCAGAAAAAGACTGAAGACTTCAGCTCAGACTGGATGACATTCTGAATAAAAGTTATCTTGACATTTCAAAGTCTGTGACGAGGCATCACTAACACTTTGAAGAAGAAGAGGTTTTGACACTTTGTAAATACTGTAAGAAGTCTATTATCTAGTCCTAAAACTGACGTCAGTGAACAGGAAAAACCTTCTTTGTGTCTCTTCTGGCTCATTAAAAACAGCTGCAGCTTATTTAACAATATAAAAACGAGGTTTAAATGAGAAAGAAAAAGGGGACGCTGTGGTACAGTTATATGTCTAGTCATCAAATAACAAATTGAAACTAAAAATGAACAAATATCCCTTTACAAGGAACATTTCTCATGAGATGATTTTCCTGCTGCTGCTTCTGATCACAAAGTTTGTTCACTCTCAACAACATCAATAACAAACCCTTAAAGGTTCCATATGTACGATCTGAAGCATTTTACACATTATCTTTGTGTATTAATCACTTTTTTAATGCCAAAATGAAACCTTCCCCAACTTTCTCTGTTGCCTGTGGACAGATTTATATGAAGGGATGAGGGTCAGATTATCCCCAAAGAATCCAAATGATGTGACGTTTATGTCCAAAGTCAAAGCTAACATTACTGCAAAGTTTGTGGAAGATTATTGTGATATTGCCGGCCGGCTGTGACTTGGCTGTGCAGCTAGTTAACAGCATGGCATAAAAAATAGGCGCCTTGCAGATAGTAACGTTAGTCTAAATATGATTGTAATTTATGTCACTATAAACAACCGTTTTCTGAAAGTTACATAGGGAACCTTTAAAACAAGGCGAATGCATGCACACACAAACAGATGCAACGATGGAGAGATGTCAGTGATCTCAGTGAGGCGTAAACTTAAAGCAGGACAGAATCACTGGTTTCTTTTTCAGGCGAGCTTCATGCACACAGATGAAAACCCGAAGAAACCGGATCTGGAAAAAAAAACAAAAGACGGACATATGGAGTGACGATAATGAGCGACTCAACAGCACCGGAGTGAACCGAAGCTGACCTTCAGAGATATACTGACTGTCCAGGAGACTGGTGTAAGTGTGAATGTCATTCTCTGAGGCCGGAAGAGGAAGAAGGAGAAGAGCCGGGCCGCCAGAGTCAAAGCAGCAGAGGAGGAAGAGTTCGTTAGTGTGCCATTAGGAAAAAAGAAGAAGTGTTATTTAAGACATTTCTCAGCTGGTTAGTGGATCCATCTCAAGACACAAAACATGATACAGAAAAGAATTTCCTGTAGCAGAGAGTTCCTGGGTCTTCATTTATACAACAGAAAACAACAAGTAAGTTATATTTTTCCTTTTCATAGCAAACCTAACAGCTGTATCAGACTTAATCATGAGATTTTTGGGGGTTTTTAACACCTCTTCATATCAGAGTCTCACCTCCTGGACTCGTCCCGTCTGTCAAAATCTGCATGCTGGAGATCCGAGACAACTCCACCTCGAAGTGACTTTCACCGTCGAGGAACAGATACCTGATGTTTGGAATAAAGAGGACAAAAAAAAAAGAGACACATTTATGCCGATTATACATCCGCTCACATATCTGTTAACATCAGACCTGAAAGTAGAAAACTCTTTGGTCCTGTTTATATCCATTATCTTGTATCTTGACACACAATACGTCCGGACATTTACCACTAATGAGGTCAACAACATGCGAAATATTCAGAGTGATAAATGTAATGTGCTAAACTTTGGCTCACCTGTGGTTGTTGGAGAGGCGACACGTCATAGTTTCAGACTTCTCCGACGTTCCCAAAGTGACGACGAAGGTGCCACCTGGAAACACAAGAACATCAGTCCACATGAGATAAACATAAAAAGACGACTGTAAACATCTGGACTTTAAAGTAGAACGTGTTTTAATCCCAAAGATGGCTTAAAGATAAAAACTAGAGTTAGATTTCAGTTAATAAAGTTTTAACTGATTAATGAAGGATTATCACAGATTTATTGGCTGAGCAAGAAACTCTCTCCTCCTTCTCTGTTCCCGGGTTATGGTGTTGAATAATGGCAAAGAAAAGTGTTTTTCCAAGAGGTTTTGATGAACCTAACCTAACTGAAATGTCATCACTTCCTCGTTGTATCCCATTAAACCTCTAAGTGACATGTTGTGATAATTAACACATCAGTTCTTGAATTATAACCAAAAACGTGTTTGTCGAGGTTATTTTTAAGGTCAAAAGTGGTCAGAAAATGTGAAATATGGTCATCAATTCTTAAGTTATGGCCCAAAATGTGATTCATGATGTTCTCTGACCACCAAATACTTCAATCAAGCGGGTGTTTGTGTCGCGGTCACAACAACGGGATGGACAGAAAAACTGAAAACATAAAAGGTTGTGGTCATCGCCAGCGCAGAGGCATAAAAAAATACTTAGATTAGTCCATAAACAAAGTAATTGCTAGTTATTTTCCTATATTGTTCATGTTTTAATGCAATAGTTCCTAATTTAAATACAAATCTTTTATTATTGAACAGCTGCTTCACTACATTTAATATTTGAGGCTTCTTCTGTTAAATGAAACAGACACATATTTCATCTAAAAGAAAGTCACATTTTCTTCCTTTCTCCATAAAGACTAGTTGCTTGTGCTGAAACTGATGATTGATTTGAGGTTTTAATTATCAAATAATACAAAAAAAATGAGATTTAAACTTTAAACAACAAGGTTAAACTAAAACCTTTCAGCTCTACTGAAGCTTTAATGAAGCAGCCCAACAGAAACTCGTGTAGATTTACTGTTTGTATCTTTTGTGTCTATTTTCTGCTGAGCGATTGATAATGCCATCATCAATAAAGCATGAGGCCCCAACGCGCTGCAGGCTTTACATCGCAGGCATTCAGCCGGGTCGTCGCCCTGCAGCTCGAGGCTGCTGATGGATTTTACATAAAGAGCCCGACTGCTGCTGCTGCGTATTTATAGCTACACACTGACCCACACTCAACAACAACACAATGGATTATCAGGGCAGGAGGAAGAGGAGGAGGAGGAAGAGGAGGAGGGAACTCTATTGGATTATTTCAGAGATCATTTTTATAGTATTTCTGCTTCCTGTATACAGTGACAGATAACAGTGTGTCATGAAGTCAAACTCTGAGAGAGAAAACAGCACGTAGGCTGCGAGAGTGAAATCTTCCACTATTATTAAAGTTTAAACAACATATTGCTAATTATTCCGAATGGAGCATTTTGTGATTAAAACATGGCAGATATGCTGATATTATTCTGTTGGTATACAGCGCATTCAGAATAGAGGAGGAACAGGAGGAGGAACTCCCTTTTAAACATCATGAGGGACGTGGATATCAACAGGTTTCTGGATATGTGCAAATATCCCGACGTCGACCTTTTCGAGAAGTAATTTAAGTATTTATATCCTGCTGTTACTCGTTCTGATGATTTTCTTCACTAAAGCAGGTTCGGAATTAAGTTGGACCTTTTAACAAGTTAAGAAGAGCTTTTAGATTAATAAATTAGTCGATAGAAACTAATAATTAAATATTTTGATGATGTATTTGGTCACTTTTCAAGCTGAATTTGCAAAACATTTTCTGGGTTCAGCTTCTCAAATGAGCAGATTTGACGCTTTTCTTTGTCATTTATCAGTTAATGTTAATATTTGTTTGTTTTTTTTAGATTGTTGCTCAAATAAAACAAGAAATGTGAATATCAGAATGTCATTTTAGACTGTATAATTAATCAAGAAGCTCATTTATATAATTATGATTTGCAGCCTTTTTGCAAAGCACCCAGTTGAGTTGAGAGTCGTCATTAAAGGAAGGAAAATGGTACTCTGAAATTGTGTTTTTAGCACAAAGAGATGAGATCAGGAGGACAGTTTTAAAGACTCCTGATAGCTGCTACGTGTAGCTAACAACTTCACCACAGTGGTTTTCTGGATGCTCACACATGTATTCTCAATCTCCAATGTCTGGAAACAGCATTTATAACATATGTGCAGGAAAGAAGTTTGGAAACGAGGAACTCGAGGTAGAAATTGGGAAACAATAACGACACAGACATTGCATTTTATATTAAAACCCAGTTTAAAATGCTACGAACTCCTCACCTCCCAGAAGCACTTTGAGCTGCTTGTCGTAGAACTCCATCTCTTTCTGGGAGACCAGGCCGCACTCGGCGCACTGCCGCACCGGATCCACGAAACACATGCGGGGCAGCACCACCTTCTTACTGCAGCACTTATCGCAGAAACACCGACCGCACCGCCGACAGTGATGCTGCAGGGAAACACGAGTTACAGTCAGATTCACCGGCAGTCAGCGTGGATCACATTAAATTAACTTTATGGAATAAATCTGTTTAATTAAAAAGTGTGTAGGTGGTATTTTAAAAGAAGCACCTGTTTGATGAGTTAATTAGCGTTTTTTTTCTGCATCAACACACTTCAGTCAGGTATTATTAGGCCGTATAAATATGTCATATATTCACATGTATTTAAATCAAAGAGTTACAGGGAAAGAACATAAATCCTGGACAGTGTACGCAGGATTTCTACTGCAGTCTGATGTAGAGTTCACACAGTTTCATAAGAAGATACTTTTAAAAGCACTTTTTAAGGCGCCTAAAGTGAACGTTTCCTGACTCTCGACGGCTTAATCATCACAACAAATAACAAATGCTTTATGTTGCTGTTCACTTTACCTTTGATTGTTTTGATCATAATTATTTAATGCTTGCTAAGAGGATCAACAGAGAACTAATGTACGAGGAGTGAATGAGACAACAAACAAATATCAATATTAAAAGAGTTTCAGGGTTCCCGCTCTTTAAGAAATCATTTTCAAGAGTTTTTCTTGACAATACAAAAAGGATCAACAACATTTCTACAAATCTTGTTTTCAGATGTAAGAAAAACACATTTGTTTGGTACAACAAACGTCACATTGTTTTCTCATCTGTCGTCTCTCTTTCAATTCATCCTTCCCTCTTGTTTTATCTTCCCGATGTTTGTTTGATCGGGTATGATCTTTATTCGCAGGTCTGGAAAAATTAGACTACGCAGCTCCTCCTACAACAGACGAGGTTCAAACAAAAAACACACTCAGGTTTTACGAGGCTGATCTGAGTGACTGGATTAAAGGCAATTAAAAATTTCCAGGATATTTAATCAATTTCCAGATGTTCCCGTGACTGGAAAACAAGCCTTTCCAGGACATGTGGAAACCCTGTTTTTTGGTTTATATTCAAATTGAAGCATATTTCATATCTTACAAACAACAACTGTTGAATTTAAGCATTTTCTAAGCTGTCAACACTTTGTGTGAACCCTGCAGGAAGTCTGTCAGCGGAAAGTTTAACCAGGAATCTGCGAATCAGGTGGAGAAAATCTGAATCACTGAGGTCCTCTGGGGTCACAGGGCACTAAAAAACAACCAGTACAGCACTTTTTAAACAGGAAATTACTTTCAGCTGTTACTCCAAAAAAAACCCTCTCTGGCCTACATTTACTGGATAAACTGTATTAAATGCAGAACAACACTCAAACTGGTCGAGAGAACTGAGACGTGAGTGATTCAGAGGATCCGAATTGTGCAATTCAACATTGAGAAAGAGGCCTAAACATTTAGTGGACACTGTGTATGTACACGTCTCAGTCCTTTAAGCTTCTTATTTGTGTTGAAGATACACACAGCTGGAGAGTGCAGTGCTGTGGCCAGTGGACAAAACATTTCCTGTGCTGGTTTTTTACTGGAAACAGTAAGAGTACGGCTCTGGGAAATATGCACAGAAAACGAGCAGAGCCGCTGATTTCATTATGTCAGTGGTGGCTGGAAAGAAACGTCACCACGGAGACTTCAGCGTGCCAAAATAAACAGACAGAAGCAAAGAGGGGAGAAAACAACATCTCTTATTTCACAACACAGACGAAAGGAAAACCTCAAATTCTTCCAGTTTCTACGTGCATGCGTGTCCCTCGTCTGGTTTTTATTCAGAGTCGGATAAAGCTGAGATTTGTCGTCAGGATAAAAAAAACAAACCTTTCTTCTGATGAAGTCGAATTTGGTGTCACACTGCATACATCTCGGGCACTGGAGGAGGGAAAAACAGGATGTTACTCAACACGCTGAGCTGGGCCGATTCACGTTAAACAGCAGCTTAAAAAAAGACACTAGTTACTTTTAGCTTTCCTACCATTAAGTCATCAACACAAGTATTTTACTACCAGCTGCCTGCATGTTGTTGTTGTTGTTGTAAGATAATTATGCACACTAAAGAAACCAACAAATACTCACATTTAGAGGTTAAAACTGACAAATTCCCATCAAAAATAGTTATTTTCTGGCAGAATCGCCAAAGCTTCACTGGGGGGGTTGTGAGGACTTCTTGATTGTAAGAAAACTACACATATACATAATAATAATTTAGATTATTATTTAAGATATAAACTTTAAGTTATATTCACAGAGCTTTCAGTCTCTGATAAACAGCCTCGTCCAACAACCAAACAGCTGAAAGAACAATGAGAAGAAAACACTGAATTTTTCAAAAAGAAGCTCATTAAGTCTGTAAATTATATTAAAATATATATATAGACAGTGAATTGCATAAAAAGTTCCTAAAAAAATCAGGTAAACTCTTCTGATCAACAATCACAAGAAATAATCTGCTCAAAATTCATCCAAATCTCGAATTGTACACAAACTTCCAGCAGTTATTGTGTTAAATATCTGGATTCATACAGTTTAATGCATTAACAATAACATATTAATATTAATAAAACATGTCTCTAATTAAGGGGTCGTCAGTTTAAATGATAGAAAAGTTGCCCCTTAAACTTCCCATGTACATAAACTTCAATTTTAGCCCAAGATGAACTTTATATCTTGAACTTTACACGTGTCTCGGACCAAAATAATTCCCGATGCCTCAAAGTCAGCTGCACAATTAATCCCAATATTATCAATATTACAATAAGCTGCAATGTTAAAGGTAAAATGTCTGACAAACAGCATTATAGTTAAAGTACTGTAGTGCTGCAGAGAGTCCCTGCTCCATGAATCCTGTTCCCCAGATGTAAGGAAACGTTATTTGTTTGGAATATCGTAATATTTCTGAGATAATAAATCACAATATGTTGTTTTTAACATGTCGTGCATGTGTAAATTTCAGTTATTTGTATCCCTTACGTCTAACAATACGTTCATAATGTTCATATCTGAGGCGAGGAACGTGAAAAGTGAATCTTAAAGTGGAAAAACAAAAGTTTTTATAAACACTATTCAATATATTTCTGTTTACATGCACAGATAATCAATAAAGTTACACAAACAACCAACAGATGGGAAATTATTTACTTTACTGGCTGTCAGTCCGGTCAAAGGGCCTCAGCAGACAGACAGCTGGTGTCTGCCTGTCTGTCTGTCTGCCAGGCAGACAGACAGACAGACAGACAGAGGAGCGAGCGTTAGACACACAGACGGATGTTATTTCCACTTTAACAACATCCGGTGAAGTTTAACGTCATAACTGCGTCTGATTGGGCTGTTAACTAGCTGGTTAAGTAGCTGGTTAACTAGCTGGTTAACTAGCTGGTTAACTAGCTGGTTAAGTAGCTGGTTATCTAACGGGGCTCCGGTGGTTGTCAGGCCGACCGCGGCCGCCTGCACCGCCCAGTCCGGCGACCAACGGCCATCGAGTCCGGAGCGAGTTAGCAACGGTTAGCACGGAAACACCGGAAGTTACAACAATAAAAGCACTTTACCCAGAACACCAGTCAGTGGTGGAAAGTAGATTTATATTTACTTTATTCTATCTATTCTATTTATTTCTATGCTGTTCTTTTTATTGTATTTTGGTATTCATGATGTTTTTATTTAATTATGTTTTGTGTATCAACAGCTATTATGTTGCTTTGTCTGTCAAAGCACTTTATAAACTTTAAAAAGATGCTAAATTATTATTATTATTACTGTTATTATGAGGTATTTATTATTTATTTTCACTCCAGTTCAGAGGAATATTACTTATATAACTTTTTTACTACATATATTTTACAACTGCAGTTACTAATAAGACTAAAACTTTTTATAAATGTATTATTTTATTATTATTATTATTATTATTAATTATTACCCAGGTACATGTACAGGTAAATTATTATTATTTTTACTTCATTTCAGAGAAATATTTTTCTCTTTATATATAATATTATAATAATAATATTATAATATTTTTTTCTACATACATTTTACAGTTGCAGTTACTAGTAAGACAAATCAAGCATTAAGTTTTTATTATTATTATTATTATTATTATTATTATTAAATGACTATTTATGTAATCTGAGGTACTTTATTTCCATTTTGTGCTATTTTATTATTTATTTTTACTCCATTTCAGCAGGAGAAATATAAGATATAATACTTTTTAATTCATAAATGTTACAGTTTCTGTTACAAATAAGACAAAATAACTTTTATTAAAGTTATTATCATTATTATTATTATTATTACTGTACTTTTATTTAGGTACAATTCTGAGGTTCTTTGCTTTAGTATTTCCATTTTGTGCTATTTTATTATTTATTTTAATCCACTTCAGAGAAATATTGTACTTTTTACTTCATAAATTTTACAGTTGCAGTTTCTAGTTAAATAAAACAAACAGTAATGTCTCTTTTATAAAGTATTTGGTTGAATAAACAGAAGATGTATTAGAAACAGATTTAATATGCAACAAAAGTATTTTATTGAAGCAAAACACCAAAACTGAAATTTGGATTCATAAATGTGTAAATTTGCTGTTTTTGTTGAGTTTTATTTTCCTGCTTTAGGTTTTATGTTGTTTGTTTGTCATGGCTAAACTATGAAATTCTTCAATAAAACATATTTTGTAAATAAATGACTGACTCTGAAACCTGTAACAGGAGTTTAATGAAACATTAGAGTTGTAATTTTATATTTTAATGGTTTAAGGGCTACAAGGGGGTCTAAAAGGAGTAATTCTGTAACTTTTAGTAACTTTTAGTAAGTTAAATGGTAAAGTGTAACATCTTAAAACCTCCAACCACCTCCAAAGACAAACAGAAACCATATAAAAGTGTATTTAAGATAACCTCTCTATTATAATCTTATAAATATTATTAAAGTCGTTCCAAACAGCGCACTTTATTTTGAAAAACCCCAACCGGAACAGCGCCGTCGAGCATTCTCGCTAACTTCCCGCTGGGTGTTTGTGTCACTGTTAGCTTCCCGCTGTCAAACAAAATCCCCCCCCACACACCCCGCCGGGCCTCACCTCTTTATCCGGGACCCACTGCGGCTCGTCCAGGGAGAAGGGGCTGTTGAAGGCGCCGTTTTCCGGCACCATGCGAAGGCCGCTGGGGCTCCGGACGAGTTTCTTTCCGTCAGGCACTGAAGACATTTCTCCCTCCGCGGTGTCTGAACAGTTACTGACTCCTGCAGACAGCGACCCCGGGCTGAACACGCCCTCCGCGGTGATTGACAGGCCGTTCAACCAATCGGAGCACAGAGAGCGGCTAACGCCCGTCTAAACACGCCCCTTGAAATGACTGACATGTCGTTTAGCCAATCGGAGCTCAGAGTTGAAATCACGTGATGCGCTGGGGGGGGTATTGTTTTGATTTTTACAACCTCTATTGTTTTTATTTGTTATTGAAATGATCCAGAAGATGGAGCTCTTTAATATCTGATTCTGTTTTATTATTGTTAAAGGTTTGTTTTTTAACAAACAAAAAAATATTATAACTTATTTTTCCTTAAGGGACCTTTTTTCTATAATTTATTAAACTAAGTGACATATTTTATGAATATTTAATATTATATTTTATTCTCTTTACTGTCAAAGTCTACAAACAAATATTGGTTGTAAAAACAAAAAGCAACAAGTGATAGAAAACTGCTCATTTCTATGTATCTGTAAACATAAACTCTGAACTTTAACAGTGTTTAATAGTTTTATATTTTCTCCGTCAGTCTTTGTATGAGACCCTCGAATGAAGACAGAAACACTTTGTTTATGTTTATTTTATTCATTAAGTCAACCTGAAGCTTGTTTACATATAACATCAGTAAAGTCTGTTAAATGACTCTTATTCAATGATTTCATGTATCTGCGATCAAACCCAAAATAAACACATTTCAATACATACATTCATCTTATTTCTATATGTTTTGGTTATTATTGTACTGTAAAATGCACGGATACTATTATATATGAGCCAGACTTGTTAACAGTGTAAGTAAACATCTACCAATGTGTACAATTAAAACAGTTTCATCACAATTCAAACATATTACAACATGCCAAACTACAAAGTTAGCGTCTTATACTGAACATGCTCATTAACACCTACTGTCGGAAAAACTGCAGGTTAATTCTTTGGATTATTACTCATATAAACAGCAAATAAAGTCCCTTTCAAAGGAGGAAGAATACAGATATAATCTCAAATTATAAACAGCATAAAATCTGCTTTAAGTTGAATTGTATGTAAGCCTTTACAAATGCTATCATAATCTTAATTTCTGTGACGTTAATGTTTAACTTTAATATTCAGAGTCTGTCTGACATCAGCTGTCCACTAGAATAAAGGTGGTGGTGGTGGACTGAGAATGACTGAGAAACTGTCAGATTTGGGCGTAAATCAGGGCAGAAGAAGCATTTGCACTCAAACTTCTTCTATTCTTTGTTTATAATAGAAAATAATTGTTCCCCTATCTTATTAAATATATAAATTGATACGATACGCGCAGCAGACACATCTCCCATTCGTTACCATCCATTATAACATCAGATTCTGTATAAAAGCGCATTCCTAATAAAAGGTATATAACATTACTCACACTTTAAATGCACTTTTTCTTACTTGTTAACTATTAATACACACCTAATAACTAAATAATACTACAAACTATACTACTAATGAAATAGAAACCTGCAATCAATACCAAAAAATGAGAAGAAAAAAAATTTATATTGTCTATTAAATGAGTTATTAGTCATCAAAATCAGAATAATAAGGTTCAAAGTGCCAAGCTCGGACTGGCGGAGGCAAAGAGGGTGGCTGGACGATGGGTTCCTGCTCTAGTTCTGGGCTTGGTTGAGACAGTAAAACATCCACTTTAGTCACTGTCAGTGAGACGTTTGTCCATTTGTCCCTCAGAACGTCCTGTAGTTTATCTCTGAGCTCTGACACAGCCGCTGTCACATCCTCAAAGTACCTCAGAGGACGGATATTGATGCTGGATGTAGATTCACTGAGTGCTGACAGTGAGGGGTAGTTGTGTAGAAACTGGTTGTGGTCCTCTGTGTGTGACAGCTTCTTCATCTCAGCGTCTTTCCTCTTCAGCTCAGTGATCTCCTGCTCCAGCTTCTCCTGAAGCTCTTTGACTCGACTCACTTCAGTTTCCTGCTGGGATCTGACCTGCTGCTTCACATCAGAGCTTCTTTCCTCCATGAGACGGATCAGCTCAGTGAAGATCTTCTCACTGTCCTCCACTGCTTCATCAGCAGAGCGATTGATAGCCTCCACCTCCTGTTGAAGCTCCTTCACATCTTTCTCTCTGTCCTGGATTCTCTGCTGGATGTTTTGTCGACTCACCTCGAGCTCTCTCTGCCTCTCAGTCCTTTCTGCTGCAGCTGAGACTGTGTCGTGGCCTTTATGTTCATCCATGGAGCAGAGATAACAGATACACTGCTGATCAGTACGGCAGAACATCTTCATCACCTCATCATGACGAGAGCAGATGTTCTCCTGGAGTTTCTTGGAGGGGTCCACCAGCTTGTGTTTCTTAAAGGTAAGTGAGTCAAAGTGAGGCTGGAGGTGTTTCTCACAGTAAGAGGCCAGACAGACCAGACAGGACTTTATAGCTTTCAGTTTTCTCCCAATGCAGAAATCACAGGACACATCTTCAGGTCCAGCAGAGCAGAGATCAGCAGGAGCAGCTTGGAGTCCAGTCTTCTTCAGTTCCTCCACTAAATCTGCTAACATGGTGCTTCTCACCAGGACAGGCCTCTGTGTGAAGGTCTGCCTACACTGAGGGCAGCTGTGGATTTTCTTCTCATCCTCTTCACCCCAGAAGCTTTTAATACAGTTCATGCAGTAGCTGTGTCCACAGAGAATAGTCACCGGATCCTTCAGTAGATCCAGACAGATCGAACAGGAGAAGGTTTCCCGGTTGAGCTGAATTCCTTTCTGCGCCATTTCACCTCTCTGTGGCAACGACTATCTGAGTTTCTCTTCCTCAGAAATGAAACTTATCTGAGCTCTCAAGGGCTCTGCAGTGAACGGGGCCGGTCTGCTCTCGTACGTCACCACATCTTGGTTACACCCATCTTCAAACTGTAGATATAAAGGGGAGGGAACGAGGAAATATGTGGACAGACAGGAGCCGGCTTTGTTTGAGAGCAAGAACAACAGGGAGGGGTTATCAAGCTTTTATTTATTCCAGAAAGAGGAGCAGCGCTGTGTATTTATCTTTGTGTACAAGGAAGCCTCATTTAAAACCTGCTCCACATCTGAAAAACACTGAAGTTTGTAGTTGTTAAGTAAAAATACAGAAGTACAATCAGGAACCCAAGAACTCAAAGCAGAAAAATGTCCCCTGTGACTGTTATATGACATCTTTAGATCAGAATGCATTTATATAAAAGAAGCATTTTACTGTTGTAGTCGGTTGAGGTGAAGCTCATTTTCAACTGTTTGTGTCCAACTGTGACTAAAATGGATCAATCTTCTTATTAGTTTCTCTATTAATCGATTGTTTGGTTTGTAAAAGAGTATCACACTTACAGGGGGAGCTTGTTTTGTCCATCCAACAGTACAAATCTCATTAAAAATACTTTCAAATTAATAAAAGGAAAAGCAGCAAATTCTCACATTTATTTACATATTGTGCTGATTAATTTTCTGTCAAGTGATTATTTGATTTTATTGATCATTTCAGCTGTACTTCAGCATCAAATTGATTTGTAAAGTAGCTCAAATAAAGGATAAATATTCTATATAAGTACAAAGTGGCTTGAGAAGAAAACTACAAATACCTAAAATGTGTACTAACTGTAAATATAATAGTTATATTCAACCACTGAACCAATAAAGTGAAATCTAGAATCTAAAATCTAAAGGTGCTTCATGTTATCAGGTGCAGGCTGACAGCTGTTTCACTGTTCACTGTCTCACCTGTGTTACAGTGCATCCACATTATGTTACAGCTTTATTCCAAAATGGATTGAATTAATTTTTTCCCTCAAAACTCTACACACAATATCCCCACAATGACAATGTGAATAAAGTACATAAGTATTCACAGCCTTGCCATGACACTCAGAATTGAGCTCAGGTACATCCTGTTTCCACTCATCATCCTTGAGATGTTTCTACAACTTGATTGGAGTCCACCTGTGGTAAATTCAGTTGATTGGACCTGATTTGGAAAGGCACACACGTGTTTATATAAGGTCCCACAGTTGACGGAGCACAAACCAAAGCCATGAAGTCCAAGGAATTGTCTGTAGACCTCTGAGACAGGATTGTATTGAGATACAGATCTGGGGAAGGGTACAGTAAACAGTGGCCTCCATCATCTGTAAATGGAAGAAGTTTGAAACCACCTGGACTCTTCCTAGAGCCGCCCGGCCAAACTGAGTGATCAGGGGAGAGAAGAGCTTTAGTCAGGGAGGTGACCAAGATCCTGATGGTCACTCTGACGGTGCTCCAGTGTTGCTCTGTGGAGAGAGGAGAACCTTCCAGAAGGACGACCATCTCTGCAGCACTCCACCAATCAGGCCTGTAATGGTAGAGTGGACAGATAAAAAGGGACATGACAGCCCACCTGGAGTTTTTCAAAAGGCACCTGAAGGACTCTCAGACCATGAGAAATAAAATTCTCTGGTCTGATGAAACAAAGATTGAATTCTTTGGCCTGAATACCAAACATCATGTCTGGAGCAAACCAGGCTTTAACCCGACTGAACATCCCTGGAGAGAAAGTAGCTGTGCACCGATTCTCCCCATCAAACCTGAGGGAGCTTGAGAGAAGACTGGGAGAAACTGCCCAAAAATAGGTGTGCTGAGCTTGTAGCATCATACTCAAAAAGACTCAAAAAGCAGCTGTAACTGCTGCAAACAGTGCTTTTAACAAAGTATTGAGCAAAGACTGTGAATACTTAAATACATGTCAGTTATCTTTACATTGAAACTTTAATTTACATAAACATTTAGCAGAGTAAATGTACTCGAGTACATCAGACTTTGTTTAAGTAAGTCACTATAGTTCTTGGTTGTATTTTTGCTCCACATCAGGACAAATCACAGCACAAGAGTCAGAGAGTTTGACCATTTTATTCAAATACAGTTGAGCTGGACAATAATCAGCTGCTCGCTTTAAAAAGATGGACGCAGTAAAACATCAGACAAAACAAAAAGCCTGCAGCAGTTACGGAGGACGAGAAGTATCACGGAAAGCCAGTCTCATCCAGGAACAAACAACAACAACAAACAACAACAACACACAGCGGACGGGTTCTGTCTCATATTCAACACGGAGGGATTCAACGCTGCCTCGTAGGAAGCATCGACGTCCTTAAAATAATAATAATAATAATAATAATAATAATAATAATAATAATATAAAAACAATGGAGGACAAGTGCAACAATAACATTCAATCTTGTATTCTTTTAATAATTGTGCCCATTAAAACGAGAGACCGGACGCACTGTGTGGAGCGGTGCCTGAAGGGAGGTGTGCAGCATCCAGTGGGTTGCCATGGTAACCGCGTTGATGAATTAAACACCCAGTGGTGGAAAGAACAGTTTTTTTTAAGTTAAATGTACATTTATATATATATATATAATAAGTATAAATAAAAATACTCTATTGCAGGTTAAAAGGCCTGCTTTCAGAATTATATTTAAAGGTTGAGCGACTGAAGCTGAAAGTTGTTGTTGTTGACAGAAGAAAGACAAATAAAGACGGAGTTACGATGAGCTACGATCTAATAAAATCTCTGGTGCTCTAGTGGCAGTGGATTTTATATTTATAACCTTTTAAGTGACAAAAGTACAGTACTGACAGATAAATGTACTAAAAGTATCAAAGTAAAACGTGTTTGTTCTGTTTTTATTATTTTATCTGCTGATTATTAAGCTACTGTTTGCTCTGGATGAGGTTGAGCTCATTTGAATTATATTTCTTTCATATAATTTATGTACGTTGCTATATAATAATTGTTGTTTATTTATCCAGAAAAAGCAAAAGAAGAAATAAGAAAAGAGGAAAATAAAAACATCAGGAGTCAAAAACTCTACAAACTACAAAAACAGCAACTTTATGATAAATATAATAATTACAGCATTATATCAAAATTCATATTGTAAGCTCATTAATATCACACTGTGTGTTTTTATATGTTAAATCTCACATTGTAAAGTAACTGTAACTATACAATATTTCCCTCTGAGTGCAGAAGAAATGTAATAAATGTGCTTCCACCACTGGAAAAATAAACAGAATATAACTTTATTTATTCTGATCAGATTAGTTGGTGTAAGAAGGGGAAACATTATATTGCTGCAACTTCCACTGACAAAGGGAGATAAAAGTTATTTATATAGTTAATATATTTATATAAAAACCATGTTTGAGAATATTAAACCATCCCTGTATCACTGCTCCACACAAACACAGACACCAATACAATCAAAGAGCAGAAATAAAACTGCAACCAAAGGACGGACTGAGACTTTTAACCTTCACTGCTTTTAATAAGAAAACATAAAGTCAACTAAAACCTTTTTAAATTGTTGCCTGCGCTTCCATAAATCCATAAATTTACATTCACGTCATCATAATATGAATAAAAATTGTGTCTTATGATCTGAAACCTGGTTAGAAGTCGTAGTTTCTGGTGAGTTTTCCTTTGTGTAATAATCAGCATCAGGTTGCTGCAGTTTGTCCTCTTCAACTGGAGCAACAGGGGGGCAACTTTTACAGGATTACAGGGGCAACAAAGAGTCTGAGACATCAACATTGCTGCTTTATACACACAGAATACGTATAAACACACAAATACACACCAATGAATGTTAACAGACATGTTGAATTTTGGTTAAAATACTTGAAATTGTTATTAAAATGTAAAAATAATTACCCCAAATAGTGAATTGCATCAAATAATCATCTATGGAAGCAAGAAAAGGCCAAAAGGATATAAATCTTAAGAGCAACTGAATGTGTAAATTTAAAAACCAAAGAATTTTAAAGCACTAAAATATATATATATATATATATATATATATATATATATAACATATATATATATTTAACATTTCTTTGTATTTATATTTATAACCTTCTATATGAGCTTTGAACTTCAAAAAACACGACTTAACTCACAAATTCAGATAGAAATTGTGTCCAAAAACTAAATTCAAGTTGCTTAAATTCTAGTTTGTCAAGATTTCAAGATGATAAATTCAAACTTTAACAATCAGGCTGTGTTCAACGTCGGTTACAGTACGTTTTATGATTTAAAAATAAGGTTTTTAACTGTTTCTTAATGCAAAACTTAAAAATAATTCACATTTTTATTTATTTTTGGCCTTTCTTTGCTTCCGTATAATCGTGCTTTTGCATTTTATTTAGTGTAAAAACACTTAAAAACATTAAATTACAGCTCCTTTGTTGCCGGTTTAAAGTTGCCCAACTGTCGCCCAGTTCTTAGACGTTATGTGCCTCGTTACTTTAAAGGAACCAGTAAAAACAACAAAGAAATAAAAAAATAAAAACAAAGCAGGTTGACGAGCCGACTGATCAACAGTCAACAAGACGCTTGAACGCACAATAAAAATAATCATCATAAAGGAAAAAAAAGAGTTTGAGATATTAAACTTCACTACAACTTCGACTAAATTATTGCAGAAGGAAAAATAATTCAAGTTATTTATTATTCAGATTTTATATATTTACATTTCTGGGCTTCTTCTTTTGTTTATTATTTGGGAAATGACAACAGATCCTTTAAAAAGCTGTTAAGATATTAATTAATTTCGATCGGGGCGGTAAGACGAAAGCTTATTGCACAACCCTGCAAAAACAAACACTAACTAAAAGTTCATGAAACATTTAAAATGCAGTAAATTAGAGGATAATGATCAATATTATTATTGTTCCATCAGTCTAATGTTTCCAGTGCAAATCCCTCACGACTTCCGATCGCTGACAACCGGGTTTATTAAAGAATTCAGACATTAATTGCTTTTGGGAGATATTTTATATGTTATAGATCAAATTATTGATTAATTAACTGATTTAGTTGCAGCTCTGTTCCCTCATCGCATATTTAAATTAAAGTTAAATTTATGGTTTTTTTTGGACAGTTTGGACGAGTTCTTGTGCTTCTTGTAAGTTTCGATGAGTTTTGGCAGGAATAAGTGATATTGATAACGTCAGTGCTGTTCTATATCAGCGGTTCCCAACCTTTTTCCTTCAGGGACCTATTTTTCTATAATTTATTAAACTCAGTGACATATTTTATATTAATATTTCATATTATATTCAAAACCGTACAATGAACCCAAACAGTAAACTCAGTAACTGCAAGAAGTTTGTGTAAAATTAGAGAATTGGATGAATTTTGAGCAGATTATTTCCTGTTTAGGGAACTTTTTATACAACTATTATGTATTTTTTTTAAATATAATTTTTAATAATCTTACAGAGTCAATAGTTTTATTTTGAAGGAGGAAATTACTGTAGAGAAAAACCCCAAAATATTGTCCAATAAAGGTAACGGAAACAACAGAAAAAACATCTGGAGTTGGTTTTAGTTCCCAAAATTTGTCCTTAAGGGAACCATTTTCTATCACTGAGTAAACTGACTGAGTGACATTTTATAGTATAGATGTAAAATAAGAGATTTGGATGAATTTTAAGCAGATTATTTCCTATAAATATTGATCAGATATTAGTTTCCCTGATACAATTCTGTCTGTTATACGTATTTTGGGATTATTTAACAATCAAACAGACTTAATAAGCTTCTTTTTTCTGACAGATTTGTTGTTTTCTTGTCCTTTGAGGCTGTTTATCAGAGACTGTGGATGAAGTTCAGATCTTAAATAATAATCTAAACTTCAAAAATAACAATTTAATTTAGTTTCCTTCATAGAAATGAATTAAAAATAGGACCAATTGTCTTAAACTCCCTTAAAATCAAGACTCTCAGGTTGGGAACCGCTGACATTAATATTTAATATATTTAAGAAAGGTACCATTAAAAGTTTTAGTTTTTGGGAACTAAAACTGTAAGAATGAATTTAATCCTAAAAGTCGATTAATGAGGGATTTAATTAAAGAGTTATTCTGTGTTTTCTGTAGTGGACTTAATTTAATATTAATTATAATAAAACTGGAAACTTTAACCAAAGTTTGCCAGAATTTAAAAGTAATAATATTATATCCTTCAGTATTTATTACAGCATTTGGTTTTTGGGGGTTTTGATTCAGCTGCTGTGGACAAACATTATATTTTAATTAATTAGGTTAATTAGTTAATTAATTCCAGTTTTGCTTCTATACAGTGAAACTATAAATGTAACTAGTTATAACAACCTATAGGAGAAATATTTCCTCTTATTTTGGTGATAGCAAATATATATTTTACATTTACAGCTTAAATCTGAAGAATAATTCAACTTTTATTTTAAATAATTCTCAATTTGCACTTTTTTTTTTTGGTTGTTTTTGTTTCGACTTTACTCACTCGGTAAAGTTTTGTCTCGTAACATTTCTCCGGGTCGTTGTGAATGTAGAAACTGCGTTAATGTGTAGAAAGTGTGGAGCGGCGTTAACGTCTGCAGTCAGTGTGCGAAACTACAGCCTCGATCCTGAGAATGTGTCGGTCGGCCCGATAAACGCCGCCGTCCTCCGTCCGCCTCGTTATCGTTAAAAAAACCCTCGACTTTAAGGAAGACTTAGCTTTTTTTTCTTTTTCCGGAGCAGCGCAAGCACACAAACAAATAATAAACACATAATTTACAAAACCCCAAATGTAAACATGGAACTTCAAAACATCAAAAGCAAAAGAATCAATCAACACAAGGACGGAAAATAGTTCGTAAGAGCGTCGAAGGCGTCGGTTCCCTCCGCGGGTTTCCAACGGGTTTATCTTTAAGGTTTAATGACGTAAAATAAGTTAATTACATGTCGGATATTTCGTTTTTAAAACCTCAATTGTGAAGAGATAATTATCTGCATGTGTTCAACCAGATTCATTATCTACTCGGAGTGAGCGGGGCTTATATTGTACGTGGGCGGGACTTGAATATAGAGTAGGCGGGGCTTATATGAGGCAGGAATTGATTAAGATTGATCCGAAGTTGCTGTATTTATTAGAAAACTGTTTAGAGAACTGCCCCAGAATTGAGACTTCAGTAGGAGAACTTATTAAAGACCAAGTTTTATTTCTAAAAGTTAAATATTAAAGGTCCAGTTTGTGTGATTTAGTGACATTTAGAGGTGTGTGTGGTTTCAGATTGCAGCTCCCTCCCTTCAACCCGCCAACTTCAACCTCCTAAATGTTGCACACTGGAGCTTTAACAAGGGCGAATATGGTACATATTTGACTTTAATCGTACATTAAAAGTACCAGTACCACTGCAACCTGGTTCAAATATTGTCAAAAGTTTGTTGATTTTTTTTGTTGCTTATTTTCTTAATTAATCCATAAAAATAAAACATCCATTGGAAATCCGCAGAGTGAACGCAGAGCTGAGCGAACGTCCGGGTCGGCCTAGAGAAAAAGACGTCATTGCTGGACAAGTTTTCTGCAGAGTTGGTAGTTAAAGTTTCTAAAACATTCTTCTGTAAGAGGCAGAAAGCCGCTCTCAACGTTTTAATTAAACCACAAACGAGTAAAACCAAACAGTTACAAGTTGTTTTTGTTCCAAATTTCCGCTTCGTTTTTTAAGCCAAAAACTGAAAATGTGCGTAAAAACACAGTGTACACAATTCATCGTTGTTATTTTGATGGTAAAAGGACGTCAGTACTGTCCAGTTTTAATCCATATTTTACTTTATAAATGATGATAAATAATCAAATAGACTTTATTCCGTATAATTTCCTTCAAAATGTTGTACAAATAGATGTTTTGCAAGGAGATATCAGTGTTTTACTGTTACTTTAACCTATTTAAAGTCTTTTACTGTCACAGTTTGACAGCTTTTCACCGTAAAAAGTTTTTTTAAATTATTTATTTAATGAAAACGAACCATCAGAATTGGTAATCAGTATAAATCACACTTTCATTCAGTTTTTTCCAACAATGAGTTGCTCCTTTGTGTCCTTCCTTAAAGGAACCATATTTGTTTTATATATATATATATATATATATATATATATATAATATAATATATATAATGAATATGTGTGTGTCTGTTTGGCTTCACTCATTATAATTTAACTGAACCGATTACGAGAGAAACGTTTATAAAACTAAAAACTCTGCATCTGCCTTCATATTCAAGCGACAGCATTAAATATTATAAAGGATTTGAGAGCGCGCACACACACACACTTACACACACACACACACACACACACACACACACACACACACTTACATACAGTACACACACATACAAGAGATATAACACAGATAAGATACACACACTGATTCACACATATTCCTCTTGTTCCTCGATATGTTTTGATCAGAAATCCTCGTCTAAGAGCACAAAACCTTTAGAAAGTGCAGTGAGAGCTGAACAGTGAGCACTTTAAAGTGGGAGACATGAGGAGGGGTCTCTCTCAGGTGGGGGGGGGCGTTCAGGGGCCCCTCCTCCCTCCCTTCCTTCCTCCCGCCGCCGCGAACAGACTCAACCTTCAACGCGCCAGGTCGGTGTGGCTGGCACTCAGGTCGCGACTTTTCTTCAGACGATTATTTCGTTCCTGCAGTTTGTGAGAAAAGATTAAAGATTAACGACCGACCCAAAAACTTTATTTCTAAAATCAACAACTCTAATTTAAACTACAACCGTTAGCACGGCCCTCGGCTAATTAGCTGAGCAGTAACTGATCGTTAATTCCAAAGCGAAGGAGCTATTAGCTGTTGTTCTGTGGCGTTACAGGTTAATTAAAGTGTAAAGAGTTTAGGCTAATGTCACCAGTCTGTGCTGCTTTTTAATGGATATGGGCGAGATTTTTATTAAGTTTTTTAGTAATCTACTGATTATTTAGGCTACAAAATGTCATAAAATACTAAAAAACTGTCTTCAAATAGCTTATTGTGTCCGACTAACAGCCCAAAAACTCAAAGATATTTCATTTTGAAGTATATAAAAGCAGCAAATCCTCATATCTAAAAATGAGAGAATACAGTATTTCTCTTTTTTGCTTAATAAATAAGAATTAATTGAACGGTGAAAGTTAATCCTTGATGCTATCAGAGTCTAACATTAGCAGCTCTGTTCTGCTTTTAACTGGATACGGGCAATTTCTGATTATTTAGGCTAAAAAATATGAGAAAATACTGAAAACTGCCGACAGTTTCTCAGAACTTGAAAGCTTGATTCATTTATAGAAACTTACAAACATAAACAGGTGGCTGGGATTCATTTACTATATTAAAATTAAATTGTAACAAACACAAGAAATCGTAACCAGGAGAATTTAATCAACGTGTTATTTGTTATCTATTATAGAGAAATATTTACTCAGGAACTTTAAATAGTTAACTTATATTCAGTTTGTGGTGACTGAACTATAGTTAAAGTATCTAAAACATTATTTATAACTGTTAATAATTTGTGTTGATGAGTTAAAAATGGGGTGAAGTTAGTTGTGACTCATAAAGGAGGAGAAACCGTTTATAGAGAAACAGAAACGTTTGTTTTAACCCTCTCGGTAAACCGGGTTCTTTAAATGTCTGAACTTTCTGCACAAATTCTGAATTAAATGTATATATTAAATGTAATTTAGTTAATGTTTGATGTTATTTATCTGCTGCTACCTCTGTCTGTGGTTTCCAAACCTATAAAAACGTGTTTTAAAGTCTAAAGATCGGGTCTCCACTCACTAGTTTGTGAAGTTTCTGGACCATAATTATGTCATTGATCCCATAGACACTCAACAATTGATTAATATTGCTGTTTAATATCTCTCCAGACTGCACTAAATACATAAAAAGACATTTATTAGTATCTCACAATGGGAAAGTGGAATAAAACCACAGTAAAATCCCCTAAAACTAACAACTAATACCTCAGATATGTACTTAAACATTAACCTATAGAGAATAATGACACAAAATAAGCAGTTTTATCTCAAACATCAGTGAAGGAACTCGTCTACTGCGTATTAATGATGAGTTACTGTAATAAACTGTTAAATCTTATCTACTTTATATGTATTTAAAGATAAAGTAACCTGGTTAAAGTCTGTAATAATGATTATTTCTGACTTCAAAATGTCAGAAAATGCTCACAAATTGTTTATTTTGTCCAACCAACAGGACAAATATCCAAATATATTCAACAATCAGAGAAAAGCAGCAGATTCTTGTATTTGAGAAGCCTTAAAGAGAGAATATTTAGCATTTTTGCTCAATAAATAACGATTAATTGATCATAAATAAATTAATATTCTGTCTGCTGTCTGACTTTATCTTAAGGTGGATTAAAAACTGATTAAATTCTGATTTCCTACAACTGTTAAATGCAAATAAAGCTCAATAAAAACATAATACTTTTATCTTATAGGAGGTGTTTGTTCTTTAACACACTGGGAGCCTTTCTGGTGGTTGAACTTTGACCTTTGCGATAACCTTTGACAACCAGCAGGGTTAAATACTTTATTTGGGTCCCGACACTCGGGTCTCCTTACTTGGTAGTGGTCACTCGCAGCCTTGTCCGCCACGTTAAGAACCCCCAGAGAGCTGGCTCGCTTCATGCTGCACCCAGAGCAGTGACATGCAGAGGGGGGGGGTGGTGGTTGTGGTGGGGTCAGAGGTCAGAGGTGAAGGGGGGGGGGGGGGGTGGAGAGTTTAGCTCAGTGGAAATGGTGGTAAGGTATGTGTTGGTTAATGACATCCATGTTTTCACACAAAGTTAGTTTCACAATAAATGTTTCATTTGTTTTTTTTTACGTCGACACATTTTTTGTTTCTGAGCTTTAGATTAAATATAATATTTAAATAGAATATTTAAATATTATATTTAAATATAAAATGTTTGGTACCACTTTCTAATATGAGATTCTCTATAATGAAAAGTTTGTCTGGATAAAGAAAGAAAGAAGATGAACAGCAGGTTTGTTCTCTTCGGATATTTTCTTTGTTTCATTAATTTAAACCACTTGGATTAAATATCTGACCTCCGACCGTCTAGAGAAAAGTGCTGAATATTTGCAACAAAATACTTTTAATTAATTAATTAATTATAATTTTAATTATAATTATAGACACCTTCTATACTGAAAAGTCTCTCTTCTGATACTTTTCGTCTTTTTAGCTTATTTTGTTAACTAATTAAAACCACTTAAATCAACTATGTGACCTCCGACCGTCAGCTGCTGCTTTTGCATTCGGCACCAATTTAATTTATTAACAACTTTTTAATTTTACAATTTGTTGTAAAAACCTTTTTGAAACATGAATAATTACAGATGACTTCCTGACGTTTGCAGTAATAATCAAACACTGGATGACTTATTTTTATTGATATCAACAAAACCTAGCCTTCACAACATGACCACCTATAATCTTCTGTTATTAACACCCTGTAACTGATTAATATATTAATTTATTACTTATAAACCATTAATAAAGCTGTTATAAAAGGTTCCTGATCAGAAAGTGGTACCAACGGTAATATAAAGGTAATCAGTCTTTTACTGATCAGCTGTGGTGTAAACTGATATTTATGGTCAGTAAACTTCATGCAAACACAAACATTCATGCCTCAAAATAAAAAACCCAGTAAGTTGAGTTTCAGTAAAGTGACACTGCAGAAGTACATCCATCCAACAACAAATGTGTTTATAACCCTGAAACAAAGATTAAAAATAAGGGTTTTATTTAGAAATAAAATCCACCAAAAGCTTTTTTGTCCTGTGAAAATATTTCTGACATTAAAAACTTTATTTAAAATGTCCGTTATTGATTTGTGCAGGTAAAGTTTTGTTTCTTATTTCTATGTTTCCTGTTTCTGCTGTTTAATGTCAGTCAAATAACAATAAAATTACATTAAATTATTTAACTTTTTTTCTGATAATTTTACATCTTAACTGACAATATTACGACTTTTACTCAAAATATTACTTTTCTTATCGAACTTTTTTCATTAAATATTACAACCTTTTTTTTTTAAGATAAGATATTTTATAGGATATTTTATAAAACCACAACAGGTGAAGAATCTTTAATCAACCTGGTAACGTTTGTGGTGGATAGTTTAAATCACCTGATATGAATTTAATGGTTGTATGGAAATTATGTTCATTATTAGTTTATATGTTTTCATATGTTTTATTTTCATCTAAATCAGACTTCACTTTCCAGGAAGATGCAACTTCCATTTTAGTCAAAACTTGAATACCAGGTAACTTCAACATCCACAGTGGTTCCGTTTGGGGACTTTTGTTGGATGTTTCTTTCGTGTTTATTGAAAACTGTCGAATAAAAAGGCAAAAACGCCCAAAAAATAAGTTTTAAATAAAGAAAATATACGACTGGATCATTGAAGTTTTTCCTTCCAGTTGAACCTGTCAGAGCAGATCTTTAAGGACTTGTTAACATGGAGATTTCTGCAGTGGTTCAACTTTACTGAGAACCGTCAGATCGATGATGATGAAGATGATGATGAAGATCATCTTAAGGAGCCACGAGAAGAGCAGCACAGAAAAGGGAAAACAGAAACCAGTGAGCACACAGATGAGGCATGCAAACAAACATTCAAATGAAAAAATTTATTCATAAATAAAAAAATTCAACACAGTCAAAAGTCCTAAACAAACATGCAAACACGTTCGTTTCATCCAGAGTTCATAAAGAAAAATAATAATAAAAACCCAAAGCAGAGTAAAGTAAAAAAAAATGAACTATATTTCAAAAACAATTTGAAATAAATAGCCCAAAAGCCACAAAATGCAATAAATAGTTGTAACTATTAGTGGTTAAAACAAAAAGTAAAATGAGTTCCACAGAGCATAAAGAGCATGAAGAGCTTTTTAAAGCAGACATTAGTAGTTTGTGTTGTTGCAGATGCTTTTACACATAAGTAGTTGCATTATTTTTCCCATTTCATCAACACCGTCCTGCACACGGACCGCACGCCGCCTCCTTTGGTTTAATACTTTATTATATGTCAGGTTTGGTTACGGTGGAATATCGGGACCACTGAGTTCAGTATATTACAGCTCAGAATATTACAGCTTCATATTTATTCTGAAAATAGTTTCACTTTTTATTGTGATTTGTGTTTTTCCAAATATTTTCTCAAATATTACATATTTTCCCCTCAAAATGTTGATATTTTCTTGAAATATTGATATTTTCTCATAATATTACACCTTTTTCCTGAAGCTGTAACGACCTTTGTCTCAAAATATTAAATATTTCTAGAAATATTTTGACTTTTATCTTAATATATAAAAGTTTTCTCAAACTATTGCTGCTTTTTCTCACAATAATGCATCTTTATCATTATTTTGAAGATAGTTTTGTTTGTTTTTTTGGCCCCAAACACTCACCGACAACCAAATTCAACTGAGCAGGAAAGCTCGTCAGTGTACAGCGGCGGCGTGAGAACAGGGAGGTGAACCAATGCAATGGGAATAAAAAGGACAAATGTGTATGTGCCAGTAGAAGCTCCCTCCGTCATTTCATGTGCAAACACAGCTTAAGAGTTACACCACTTCACCACCAGCAAAGTAGAGCGAATCCCTTCTTTTTGTTTGTTTTTGGTTAGTACGCCAACCGCCGAGCTGAGGGCTGGAGGTGCCGGCTCGTTCCTCCAGTGCATAAAGTGAGAGTTCGCCTGTGGCGGGTCAGTCAGGGTGTCTGTTGGGATAGTTACCCGGGGTTTTTGGGCTCGCTGTCTCGGGACGAGCCGCCGCCTTTCAGCTTGCGGACGAGTTTCTCGCTGCTGCGGCGGATCGACGCTCGCAGTTTACTGAAGGAGCCGCTCCTCTTCAGAGAGCCGGAGCCGTCCTGATGGGAGACGTCACAGGGTTACACTCGTTCACACGCTCTCTCCTTTCCAACACAAACAGAGTGAATATACTGAAAGTAAACTGGCGTCAGACCGATGGAAGACGAGTATCTTATGGCCCAAATCAGTGGTTCCCAACCTCGGGGGCACAAGACCTTCTTGATTATAATAACATACGCAGTAGAACGATATCTCAGCGTTTTGTTAATAATTTCTGTGAAGAAAAGTAAATTAAATTGTTCCAGTTGATATTATTGTTTATCTAAACTTTGAAGACCTAAACATTAAGCTTTAACACAATTAAAACAAGAGAAATGTATAAAAAGTTCCTGAAAAAATACGAGGAAAACTCATCTGTGATCAATATTTACAGGGAATAAAATTAATTGTTTTACATAAACTCCATGAAATATGTCACTTAATCAGTTCGAGCAATGTTGGGAACCACTGAGCTAAAAGATGAAATACTGTATTCAGAGTACAGTTAGTCTGAATAACTGCAGGGATTGTTTGGGCCATAATATGTAAAGATTTCTGGGTCTTCAAACGCCAACATACGCACAAACACAAGTGCATCATCCGTGCAAATGTTCATGTGCATACACGATGCAGTAATGCAGATTCTCACTCGTGTGCAAACCAGTGAACTCAATAATCTGTGAGTTTACTTCCATACAGCACGCCTGTGGCACACCGATCCACACAGGTGATTCTGTCGCACCAGCATGGTGATTTAATTTAATGTTTCCTGTTAAACTCTTCTCTGTATGAGTGAAAAAGGAGCTCAGTCTCATTTATTTAAGACACCCTGAACACAAACTCAGTGAGGCTGCATGGAGACTTGTTATCTGTGTCTAACACCTCCTGTAACACCTCCCTGTCGGCCTGGATCTTTAAACAGAGGGAGGATGTGACGGTATCTTCTCTGACAGCCAGAACTGGGTTTTGACTTTGTGTAAAACATATTGACTGATATTAAAGCTGAGCATGCTGGGAACTCACAAAAACAATGGACCTGCACTTCTGTGAAATCTAAACTCGTCTCACAGGTTGAAGAAGGAAAATAAAAGTTTATAAAAGTACAGAAGCTTTAGCATCAAAATATACTTACAGTATCCAAAGTAAAAGTACTAAATTATTGATCATAATTATTGATGCTTGATTAATATGTGAGGTGGGTCCACTACAAATTATAGATTATGAACTTCTTGTTAAAATAATAAATCCATACGATGCATCCCTACTTGATTATGTATTTTATTAATCTGAATCAGGATCTGGATCACAAATGAACACGATGTCAAAGGCTTTGTGTAAATTTAAATTACAATCCAATCCAAACTTGCATATAAAACATAGAAGTTCCTAAATTTGGGTATTAAAGCGCTGAGAACTTTCTCTCTAAACTCTGAAAACAAAGTTTCTTTTCAACAATTTCTTTTAACTTTAACCAGCAGACATTTACACTGAGTACAGATCTATCTGTGAGCTGATAATATCAATACTAGGTTAGCACAAATCATTAACAGTACATGAAACACTATAGTGCTTTTAGTTCAGCTTTCAAATATTTGGAGCATAAATCGGATTTTCTAGAGGAAGAAAACTCAAAACACACTAACAAAACAATCTTTCTTCACCTTTTGAAACATATTTAATATTTAAATGAACACTAAAGTTTGATTTTCAAGGTCAAGAATGAACTTTAAATCCTTGATTGTTTACTTTAATTAACCAATTTCCCTTAGAAGTAATGTAATGAATGTAATGATAAAGTAATCTTAATTCTGGAGGATACTTTATACTCTTTGATTCCTTCTGGGACAAATATGAGGTTTGATTATTGGACCTTTCAATGTCAGAACCAAGAGTGCTGCTGCTGCTGAGAGGTGTTAATGTTTAGAGCTCGCTCTGTTATGAAAGGCGCACACACACAGAAAAAAGAGAGGGAACACACAAAGAGGCGACAGGCACAGGTTCAGGTGAGCAAAGAGTTTAGGTTTTATTAGAAGTTAAGAAAGACAAACTGTAAGATGCACAAACAGGACAGGACACGCAGAAGATTATTAGCAGAAGAACAAGAGACGAGGAGGAGACTATTTTTAAATACCCAAATTTCCATCAAATGCAACATTGCTTGTTTACAGCAAAACCCTCCGCACCCTCCCGCCCATCCTGACATCTATATACAGAGATATACAGAAGGTCAACAGGCTGAATGCACGATGTTCAGGCTCTTTTTTCCCTTCTAACACTTAGTGGGAAATATTATATCACAACTTTATCGTACAACCTCTATTCTGTCACACACACACTTTAATTTAAAACACATCGTGCATGAATCCTGCCACCTTTTAAATGTGTCCTCTCGTTGACATCACAACACAGTCCGATATCAATGCGAACAGGTGACACAGAGCGACAGACTAATGCACTAAAACTCTAATAGGATGCAGAAAAAACCCACAGAGCCACAATCAACGGTGCTCTCGATCATGCTGACGAGTCGCGCTGATGTTATTTACAGCGTGTTAGAATCACTACGAGCTTTTTGAGTCACCACTAATGAGTTCGGATGGAAACGCTGAGTTAAATCGAGCGAGAGGACGGACGGAAGAGATTGAAAACCTCCGCAGAAAGAAAGACGGAGAGGCGGGAGGATAAAGTTCAAAGCTTTAAACTCTGACCATTTCACACCTGGAGAGAATCTGTTCAAAGGTTGGAGTGCCGAGTTCACCTCGATGTCAACAGGATTTATCACTTCTGTGTGAAAAATGTTGCCTTTTTTCAGTTTTTGTAATAATATTTTTTGCCATATTTTTGATAACTCCTGTTTTTAGGCGAAAATATTAACTCTTTTTATTAACAAAGAATTTTCCAGGAGGTTTTTCTTGACAGTACAGGACAGAACTTGCTTACAAACGCTTGTAAAAGCCCCTAAAGCAGAACGTACAATTAGTACAAATAACATCACTGTGCATGTTTTTATCAACCACAGCAGCAAGAAATTTGATGGATATTTGGTCCTTTTGATAATTTTCCAGGTTGTAGTCTTTTAAATTTCCAGGTTATCCAGGATGCTGTAATATTTGTATTTTTACTGGTTTTTATTCTCTTTTCTGTTTAAAATCTGTGTTTGAAATCATACAAATTATTTCTGACATGTTTTTAACACGTTAATTAATTAATATTGTTCCATCCCTTCATTTGACTGATATGATTCATCGATTATCATCATGGTTGGAAATTAATTGACTTAATTTTAAGTTCTCCATAATAGACATCGCTCTCTATTTTGCAGATTTCTGAAGTTAAAAGAGGGAAACAATCTAAAGCTGAAGCAACAGCCAAACTAGCTTTAATAAACGGTGCTTAAAAGGATTTTCTATACATTTTACTACTGGAGTGTTTCAAACTATTTCTGTGCTCAAATAGAAAAATCTTTGATGCCTCTGGGATTCATTTAGGACCTTTTTTTACAGCGTCAAACTCCAAGAAAGCAACTAACTTTAAGCGAAGCAACAAGTATTATAACTGTTTATAACTGTTTGTTCAGAGTCCAGGTCAAAATGGAGAGAGTTAAGCTTTAAAAGGACGGCTGAGAGAACAAGGTAGGACGCAGAGGTTTGGTTTACTGTCCCTCACGATCGTTCCACCGACCTATTACATGAGTCTACAGCCAATATGAAAGTACAGTTTAAAGACACTGGAGAGTGACAGAAGTAGAGAAGCAAAGGTTAAAAGGACAGCAGAAAGAACAAAGTTTAATGTTGCCATAAAGAAAACATCACCCCAGTCCTCTCCCACCCACAGCAGATTACACACAGTCGAAGCAGGAAGCACAACACAACAGGCTGTCTCCACATTTCACCCCCCCACAACCCGCTCCTTTTTAAAAGCAACAATATCGCTCCGGTTCCACCCGGGCCCACCGCGAAGGATCCCACCAGAACCCAGAGGTGGTTGGTTGGTGGTGGTGGTGGAGAAAGAGAGAGGAGGGGGGGAGTCAAGAGCTGAAGAAAACCGCAAAAGCTGAAGGGGGTTGAGGCGAGGTGAGGTGAGGCGTCCGTCATGCAGAAGACAAGTTTTTTTTTAGAACCATTACAAGGCATCTGGAGTTATGCCTGCCGGGTCAGACGGAGCAGGAAGAGAAAGAGAAAGAGGGAAATAAAAGCAGTGAGAGAGAGACAGTGAGATGAGATATGGATAGACAGTTTGAAAAAGGAGCAAATTTAAGACGGAGGAAGAGAAGAAGAGGAAACAGTAAATTGAAGAGACTGACGATGTTCTCGAGGAGGTTCTCCAGGATCAGACACAGTACTTCTCCACCAGCGTGTGTGCGGTACCACCGGTCTACTTACTGGTTAGTAATCGATAAAACTCCTTAAAAACACAACCGATTAGAAACTCTGATATACTGACAACAACTAAATGTAGAAGGCAGCAGCTACATGCTACTGTTTTGGTAACAAAAGTCAATAAATGAGGTAATAAGACGTCGGTGGTGTGGTGAAGCAGTCCTGAATGGGACGAGGCTAAAGTCTGACAAACATAGACTAAACTCATTAACTGAACCATCCAATAAAAGAGCCTTTACAGTCTTTAACACCAGGAATTAGACCAATGGAACGAGTGGACAAACCAACAATATCAGCTTCATCCAAAGTTAATCAGTAAATGTAAGTTTACAGCAGACTAAAGCTTTTCTCACTTGGTAAAATATCATTTAGATTTACATTTTTTTGTCTGATATTCTAAAAAATGAGACCAGAAAGCGAACATAATGTCTCTTCCAACCTACTTTAGTTACCCAGACTTTAGCTTCTCTAAGGCCATCAGCCATCTTTTCCACAGTCCGGTCCAAACTGCCCGGGGGTCTCGCCCAAACCCAGAAAACCCAAAACCAACAGAAGAGGAACTGACTGACTGTGCAGAGGCAGGATGGAGGACGAGTTACTATCAGCTCTGTACAGACACTATTCACACCTCCTGCTTTTGAGATCACATTAAAAACACATCTAACAAAAGATCTCCAGTGACCGAATGAACCTCAACGTGTTAAAATACACGCTGATCAACTTTTAACAAGATTCTGTGAAGATACTTTAAGTTCTTAAGCTAAATACTTTCATCAGACTGTGCTGTAATTCCCAGACTCTGCCACTAGGTGGAGGTTTTGCACTGTTTTATGATGATGGAGAGATCCTGTGTCTGTTCCTGGAACATTGTTAGAACACTTATATATATCAAGTAGAAGGAGGTTAAACTTTGTTAGACCACAGAATAAACAGAGAGGATGCAGGTCGGAGACACATGAGAGCAGCCAGACAGCCACCGAGTATTTAATGTTATAATACTGTTAATATTCTCCATTTGTTGATAATTTCATATAAATACATACAGAACATGTCATTTATGTTGGTTGAAGGTATTTTTGGGCTACATAGATACAAAGTAGGGCTGAAACTAATTAGTATTTTCATTATTGGTCAATTTGCAGATTATTTTCTTAATGAATTGATTAATTGTTCGGATTAAAGACACAAACTAATTTAATCTTATTTTGGCTGAACAACAAGATATTCAATATATTATCACAAAGAATTGAAGATAATTATCAAATATCCACATCTGGAAGCAAGAAACTGTAAATTATTTGGCATTTTTGGTCAAGAAAATTACTTTAAATAGTTTTTTAAAATTGTGTAATTGATCATTTGAGCTGTAAACTTAAGTTGATTCTATTATTGAATTATTCTGCATTTGTCTGGATAGAACAATCACTTGAATGCCTGAAAAGTAAAGAACCTCCTGTAATAGATTACAGTGCTTTGGAAGCTCATTAAAGGACATTTAAAACCGAAGCCAACTGAATAATTAATAATTTTGTGTGTTTTAATAGTTTTCTAGGTTTAATGAGTTCACTTCTGTTTCACTTTTAGCTCGCAGGCTTCCTCTATTAAACAATCCTTCCTTTCCTCTCTGGCTGCTGACATGCTGACAAAGCAAGCAAAAGGAGGGAATAAATGAAAAAAGGTCAGAAACAATCACACGTTACATCGTCAGGCAGCAGCTCATCACACGAATGCAAAGGAGAGACACGTTTAAAACACACATGTACATAGAGAGCACACAGATCACAAACATCAACAAAGAAGGAGTACAGTACAGAGCCCATGTTGAGTCGGATGAACAGACTGATGAGTCACGGTGCTTCTCAGAGGACTCATTTATAGTAAAACAATCATAATAAGTGGTTTTCACACCTGTCTGTGGAGAGAGCTGAAGTGGAAGTTTATCTGACAGGTTGGAAGGAACATGTAGTCCGACCACTGCAGGGAGGCAGCGGAGGACACAAATACCTATAATCATGTTTTTATCCATCTAATGTCGCCAGAAGTTAACAATAATCTGTAATATGTGAAAACTACAAAGTACAGTAATATACATATTCATTATATAAAGATATATTCTTTTTATATTTGTATTATTTTCACTGTATTCTTGATTCTATTAATTATTCATACTCACTAATGCTAATCTATATATAAATATTCATTACACATATACTGTATCTGCTGTGCCACTTTGATCTGAGTTTTTAGGAAACTGCAGTATTTGTTCAGCACATTATATTATACAGAGTTCTAACTTTTAAATGTTTTTAATTTACATTATTTGTTTCCGGCTCATATTTAGTTCTCTGGTTGTCTTCTTGTGCTGCTGTAATGTTAAACTTTCCTCCTGAGATCAGTAAAGTTTAATCTTCTCTTAAAAAGGGTCCAGTGTGGAGGATTTAAGTGGCATCTAGCGGTGAGGTTGCAGACTGTAACTAACTGAACACTGCTCGCGTCTTTGATGGCAATAAGAACGGGTGTATAGGAAAAACTATGCTGGCTATGAAACCCAGCAACAGCCCTATTTTTAGCCAGTGTTTGGTTTGTCTGTTCTGGGCTGCTGTAAAAACATGGCAGACTTCATGGTGGGTAAAAATAAAATCATAATACAGATTATATATTGATTGTATATAAAGTTCCTAAAAATATCAGGAAAACTCATCTCTGATAAAATATTCACAGGAAATAATCTGCTGCAGTTATTGAGTTCACTTTTTACAGTTTACTGTAATTGTTACGCATTAAATATAATATAAAATATCCATAAAATATGTATTTTATTAAGGATTTGTCTGTTTAGTTAATGACCCTTAAGGAAAAAGATCCACTGAAGGTAACAAAAACAACAATTCCTATAGTCAGGTAATTATACACTAATGAAAACATACGTATGAATATTATATTAGATTTCTGACAATAGATCCTCCTAAATGTTTCACACTGGCCTTTTAAAAAAGAAAATCTCAATTAATTTGCCTTCGGTCATGATTTTAAGTTTGGTGCTGACTTTACGGTGACATTTCAGCCACACATTTATTTACTGTTGGATGAAAGAAGCCTCAGGAGCACAACAAAAGCACCATTGTTAAAATCTAACTTCCAGCTGAAGCTCTTTCCAGAGAGGACGGGCTGATGTATAAATAGGTCCAGAGATCAGCTGGTGATGTGAGATTGTCTGCAGGAGGCTGTATGCTAATGACTGGCTGACAGTGTGTATAGACACTGATGTGTCTCACACCAAACCTCCCCGAGTCACAACCAGAGGTACAGGAGGAGATGCTGATTGGTTGTTCAGGGCGCTATGACTACTGTTGCTATGTGAGCAGGCTAGCTCTGAGCGGCAGTGGCGGCAGTAAGACGGTGAGCAGCCTACAGAGACTCTACATCTACATGTTCTGCCACTGCAGTCACTAGAGGCTGAGAGAAAATACTGCAGTTACTGTGAAATGTACCAGCGCAGTTAGAGACGAGGCTCTGCTGCTGCAGAGGGTGTTAGGTGGGCGTTGTCAACATGTGTAACCAGAGGGGACTTTACTGCTGTGAAAGCAAGTTTTTTTTTTTTAAACCACTCAATAGTTAGTTGGGAAAAAGCTCTACAGGAATAAAGTTTAGTGGGAAAGAGAGTTTCTTATGAGCAAAGCACTATGTAAATGTATAAAAACACTACGACTGAAGCAACCTACTGTCAGAGGTCCAGTCAAGTGAGCGTCTCAGCAGCTTCTCACTTGGTCTTATTAATCAAAGTCAGTGTAACAGTGAGGAACAAGCAACCACTACTGTAGTAACTCTGACAGTCAATCAGCATTATCAGTGTAGCACAGTAGAAAGTGATCTCAGTAAGACGTGTCGAGGGCTGTGTACTGTACTTACCCCGTTCCACTCCACGCTCATACTCACTTCCTCGCCACCGTCCGGCCCGCTCTCGTACTTCACCGTGTCGGAGGTCAAGCTCTCGCGGCTTCGCTGCTTCTCGCGGGCCTCCGGCTCGCTCAGGACCTCCGCCACGCGCTGCTTATGCACAGTGTCCAGACCCTGTTAAAACACACGCACACGCACACACACACACACACACACACACACACAGCAAGGCAGAAATAAATGTCAATTCAACTAATCCAATTAAAGCAAAAAGCTGAGCGCCTCCTGCAGCTTGTCACACACGGACGCTGTACAGCTGACAGCAACAAGTACCAATTCTTCCAATCCAATTAATATTAAAGCTATAGACTTCTACCATCTGCTGTACTGAACACAGACACTGACAGATACACACTCTCTTACATTATGACTAATAGGAACTCAACTCACTTAAAACTTTCTTTATAACTGCACAGTGAACAGAAACCTGTTGGTTCCTGCTGAAGAGGATGTTGACTCTTAAATACTGGTATTAAACTCTTTTTTAATAAGAGATGTTTAAAAGCAAAGATTTGATATTAATTAGTGTCCGATATGAGTTTTGATGATTACATTACCTATAACCGTTCTCCCTCCTTGGAAAATACAGACTTGTGTTGAATTTAGATTTAAGGTGAGTTCAGAGAAACAGATAGATGTGTTTGAGTTGGTAACTTATATAGTGACCAACTCAAAGCTAACGCGGAAGATACTTTCTGTGACATAACAATAAGCAGTGGTAGATCTAATAAAAATGCTTATTTGAAAGCTAATTCAGTGAGATTTGTTGTTGGTAAAGTAACGCAGCCTCTGGCATAATTAAAGCTGGACCGATGATACTGTTACACCACAGTGCAGACGGATGCAAAGACTGTTTCCTGTGACCCCGTCTGAGGAATTAATTATTCAAGAGGGGAAAAACACCAACAGGACAACAGACTGTTGATGTTATCAGAGTCTAAATGTGTTTTATCTTTATTAATGTGATCTCCCTGGATTGAATGTATTGAATCTTTAATAGGCAATTTAACTCTGGGCAGGACATGGATTGTTTCAAATGTCAAAATCTACTTCTAACATCAGAACTTTTCCTCTTACAAAGTGCATTAATGTTTGTAAAAGCTATTTACTTACACTCATGCCCAATGAACACACTTATCTGCCCCTTAAATAAAATGTAGAGAAAATGTCCAGCAATTTGTGCAAATCTATAAACCTCCTCAGCAGTGCAGCCCAACATATTGACTTGATTTAAATAAAAAGAGCTTTCAATACAGGCATTTTGATTGTGATTAATTACCCAAGGTCTCCACAGCTGTAACACACAGTGGCACCACAGGAACCCAGTTTAAATAGTATCATGTGTTACTTCCCAAGCAAGAGATACTTGACATTAAATCCTGGAAGGAAATCCTAATTCAGGATCAAAGCTGCAGGGTTTCTCCACTGCCTCCCACTTCTCCTCTCCACAGGGAAGCCCATTACGTCTCATAACACTATCAGAGGCACTTTAAAAAGATCCAACCCACCATCCCAAGTGTATCATCTCCTTAATTTTACACTTAATTGCACACGTTCAGCCTGTTAGTCTGTCGTAAACTTTCTGCCAGCACCAAGAGCGACGTCTTAACCCCGGCTAGGAATCTCGTGTTATCAGTCACATCATCACCACACCTGCTTTCTGGAACGCATGGCAGCTTCCTCCAGAGTCTCAGCTGCCTCGAACTTGCCCTGCCGCCTGTAGAGGGCGCCCAGGTTCTTCAGGGTGGTGGTCACTGTGGGGCTGCAAAGACAAGGAGGAGCAATATTTAAAGATTTATTTATACTATTTCACATTTACTAAGCAAGTGATCAACACCTACATTTGAATAAGCTGTTTTGTTCTTTAGATATAAAAGTAAGACAACAGAGACTTGATCTAAACTGCACATATAGTGACAGTAAAATCCTTAATAAATGAATCTGATTAAACACAAAGAGGGAAGCTTCTATATCAGGATTCAGACCAGCTGCTTTTGTTAATTATATTTTGATTGTACAAACCACAATAACTTAAACAAGAATATAATAGAAAAAAGGGGAATACAGGCACATATGCATTTATATATTTACATATAAGGACGTGTAACGATGGCAGACAGAAATTATTTTACACATGTAAGTTCAAACTAAACTGAAGTCTCAGGTGTAGTCTAGAGCAGTGGTTACTAACTTGAGGTTTGGGATCCTTTTAAGGGATCAATCTGGGCTCAACAGATGATTAACAAGAAAGGAACCAGAAAAACAACATTTCTGCTGCACAAAATGTTTTTTCAGACTTTTCTCCAAGTTAAGTTTTGATAGCAATTTATACAGGGCTCAAAAGTAGACTTTACTTCAGCTTATCTCCGGAAACGCTGATCTACGCAGCCTTACGTTGTTTCACAGGACAAAAAGGTTTGGGAACATTTGGTCTAGAAGAAGAGCTTTTTGGTAAACCCTGCAGTGAACAGTGCTCTATGTGTGCTTTAATCCTTTAGGTAAATCTGTGGTAAGGCAACATTTAAATACATTCTGTTACTCTTTTGTTTCCTGCTGCTGGGAGCATCGCCCACTCAAACAAACTGACCTGTCGACTTTACAGGCTTTGTACCAGCCTCCGTATTCTCCAAACGGTGAGCCATCCTTCTGCTTCCCCTACAAAACAAAAACTTCATGAGTTTACAACACAAACTGCTTCAGGAGATCTACAGGGACTCACATGAAAGTGAAGACAAGAAGCACGGACCCTTGAACTCAAAATGTGAAGTGACGCGTGAGTTAAAGGATGAAAATTAACCCGTTTGAAAAGTGGAGGCCTTTTTAATACCATCAAAGATACCATGAAGGGGTATTTAGTGGTGGGATTATAGTGGGGTCAGGATTCATTCCCTGAACAACTAAACCTTTTAAACCATGACGAAAATAAACGCCTAGTAGGGGAAAGTCGGGTACTCACACCACCAGCATTAGATGGTTATTATTGAGCCTTAATCTGCTAATCCAACTCTTTGTGAAGTCAATCCTTCCTATTCCATCTTAAATAAGATCATAAAACTGTCACAGTGGTGTAATGCTGCCGTCAGTATTCTGTCATCTGCGTGTGAGTGATTTACTGTTTATAGATGTAAAATTTAAGTGTGGTTATTAACTAATGGATGTCCGTTACATGTGATTTTTTTAAAAGTAATTATGAGATTTTGTGGGACAAACATTAAAATAGTGAACAGAATAAACTATCCCACCAATTACTAGAATTATACACGATAATACACACACTGACAAATAGACAAAAAACAAATATCAACAGATTTCTTTCACCTTGCTTTGCTCCTCTCTCTCCTCAGCATGCATCCATATTGGTTTGTTCTCATCTGCAGACAAAACACATGTGAAAGGGAAGAAGTCAAACATTCACTCAGATAAACAGCAGGAGACAAGTTTGAAGAAGTCACTCTGGTTCTGAAGAAGTGTGGCTGAAAGTTTCTTGTTTGTTTACAGCTACCGAGATGTTAACAGTGGACTGAAAACATTAACCTTTACATTAGAGGAAGAGAAACAGCAGGGGTTGTCGGAGGAGTACAAATTTGTTTGTGTGCGTTTGATTTATTTTAAGTCACTCAAATAATGATTGACTGATATTCGGCGGAAATGTCCAAAATGTATGTTTGTGTTTGTCATCCAGTCACATGTCGTACCGTCAACAGAGCCGAACTCCCTCTCATGAGCTCGGGTGAGGATTTCTTTATACAGAGTTTCAGCCTGCTTGAACTTGCCCTGTTTCAGGTAACAGGACGCCTGAAGAACACACAGAACCAAAAGTTAAGAGACAGCATGACACTGGAAATGTCCATTAAGTAACAATTACAACAAGATGCTGATCTAAGAAACTTAAAATCACAAAAACTAATAATAGTAATCAAAACAGGAGAGAAAAATAATAAAGATTAGTATTTCAGACAAATATAAATATAATACATAATTTCAGATTTAAAGCTGCCAAGTCACAACAGCATTTCAAACAACAATTTATATTAAAAAATCCTTTTATTTTGAAATATAGTATTTGAAAATACTGCTCCCACCCCGCCTCCACCCCTCTCACCAGGTTGTTCTTGGTCTTGGCCACGTTGGGGTCGTCGGGGCCCAGTTTGGTCTGGTAGATCTCCAGCGCTCTCATGTAGTAGTATTCCACCTCTTCGTACTTGCCCTGGTTCTGACACAGCAGAGCCAGGTTGTTCAGCTGCTTGGCCACATCTGGGTGGTCCTTCCCCAGCACCTGGTACGGAAGCAAGTGGACAGCGGGGGTTAAAACAACGATCATTACATCAAACAAAACCAGTTTTAGACAACAACCTGTGTCTCAACTGGGCCATTTGGTCGACAGCTCGTATGCAGGGTCAGGAAACTACCAGCAGCCTGTAACCAGGAGCTGGATAAGCTCTTTCTGTAGCAAGAAGCAGTTTCTCTCCATTGCAAAAAATCTAAATTCCCGCCAAAAAAAATCCAGTTTTCATCTTTATCTGTCTAGTTTTGTAATTGTGGATTTCCTGGAAGACAAAATCTCAAAAAACAAAAATCTCTTGCCAGGTTGTGTTGACCCTTACACTGATGGCTCCAGTTTGTTTGTAATGTTGTTGATATTTAACTTCGCCTCTAAAATTATAGATAAAACATTCTCCCAATAGCAGCGTACACATAATGCATAATGCATGTTATTTTAGGCCCATAAATTCAGGCTGCCATATTGGGAATAAAATCTGTAACTTGTGTGAGAGATACACACTAACATACATAAGTGTCTCCTAAAAGATTTAGACCGATGCCAGATCGGCTATTGACCTGCTTGATTAAATAAAAGCAGAGTACAGTGGACAAACAAAATCAGTGCAACCACAAACAGCATGTATCAGAGAATATCATCCCGTGTGCACAGAGCAAAAAGAAGTGGATGTGTTTGCATTAATGTGGATACGAGAGCGGTGTAAGCTCTTCTTGTGTGCTGAGACGGCTTAAAGCCATTGGAAGTGAGTGTAGCGAGGGGGGAAAGAGATGCAGAAGGATCATTAGAGACTAGGTGGGGAGACCTAGAAGACTGCAGAGAGGGTTTTTCTGAGTCGGACTGACCAGTAAAGAGAGGGAGATCAGAGAGAATGGAAAACACCGAACAGAGAGGGAAAGAAGAGAAGACAGACTGACTTTGAAAAGTGAATCACTAGGAAGGGAATAGAGACTCAAAGTGGATGAGGATGAAGGTAAAAAGGGGTTAAAGTCAGAGAAAGATAGCTCTCGATTGGCTGCTCATTGAGAAAGCACTTTATTAAAAACACTGGATGTGAATAGTTGGAGGACGGAGGAAAAACTGAAGAAGAAAAGCACTGGTTGAAAAGTTAAAGAGAGAAAAGGCAAAGCAGGTAGTTTGTTTGTCCTTTGGGGGTTTTATGGCTTTTAGATTATTGCAATATAAGTCTGTAGGTGGTCTGAGATCAAACCCCTCTTGAGTGTTACAGGATCATCTTCCTCCCTGCTGGAGACCGACAGCCTCTCTGTGTCTGATCTACAGGATGGCGCAGAGCTATCCGAGCAGTGCCACCTACAGTATTCACTTGGTCCCGGCCTCCCACGCCTCCTCCTCCGCAGCATAACACATCCGACAGCTTTCCTGTAAACATCGTTAGCTGGAAAAAGGATTGCCATAAGCCACACACACAGGCAAAGACTGTGGGTCGCGGAGGAATTGATCATGTTTATTGATGGATGCCGAGCCTCCAAATACCAAAAGTGCTGCACTGGTTTCTGGGAAGCTTTTAGAAACACTATCTTCATCTAAAATAAAGCTGAAGAGCTTCTACTTACACGGCTGAATCCACTTTTTACCCAAATATTTACTGAATATGGGAATTTTGTGAGAAATTCAGGAATTTGTTTTAATCTATCCGAGACAGACGGACATATTTGAACAAAGACGTCAGAGTAAAGACGCAGCTAGCAGCAGGTAGCGCTTCAGTTTGTTGCTCAAGGACATTTGGGCAGAAAATAAAGCTTGTTGTTGTTTTAGGACAGTCGGGTTTCTCTGCTCCATTAAGCACCGACTTGATTAAATGCCTGTTTACTGTTTAAGTTTGAGAGAAACTTTAAAGCACTGTTCAAAAGGACAACAGCTGAAGTCTTTGAGACATCCCAGTGGAGCTGTGGGTTTTCATTACTTTGTTTCATTTAAAGGATGAAAAAGCACTCTTATTCTATCTTTCCTTCACTGGCTGTCTGTTGGATTTTGAATTGAGTTTAAAATTTCAGTCTGACTTTTAGTAGGGCTGCACAATTAATCGAAATATTATCAAAATCACAATACGGCCAAGTGCAGTATGCAAATCACAATGTCTGTAATGTTTTAATAAAAAGGTAAAATGTGTGAGAAAACAGCATTATAATGAAGCACTGTGGTTCTGCAGAGGTGCCTGGTCTTCAAAACAGGTTTTTTTGCTACACGTTTCACATCATCTTGATTTTAATCTTTTCTTTTTTAGTGAAAATTCAATTTATGATGCACACATGGTAATTCCCACATAATCATAAATCGCAATATCTGTCAAAATAATCACAATATGATGTTTCTACCAGATTGCGCAGCCCTACATTTAAGGTCTGGCATAGTAAGGCACCGAGTTACATGGCTGTGTTTCTAACTCATTACAGGTCCTCTGATCAGGCTCTGTTAGCTACTGGTTGAGTATGATGACCAAGGGTGACAGGGCTTTGGCTTTAGCCACCATCAAGATATTAGACTAGAAAATTCACTGGCCTCTTGCCTTTTCTTAACGTGTTTATCAGTTCTTTCATGAGTATCTATTATCTTTTTTTTCTATTTATTGTTGGTGGTTTTGTACTTCAGTAATCTCCTGCTTGGTTCCATTTGTCCCGATCTTGTGAAGCACTTTGTAACGGCTGTTTAGAAAGGTGCTATATACATAAAGTTATTATTATAATGAAGAAACAAAACAAACGAGCATTGGTCCGTGTCCCAATACTGTGGCACTCAGCCGAAAGCACATTGGTTCCTACTGAGGACATCAATCCTTACAAACAGGTCAATAATTTCATTTTTTTAAAAGGCTCAGTAATAATTCCTGCAGTCAGACATCAAACACACATGGGATTGATTCAAAACAAATCACCAAAACACTAGAGATATCCTTTAATAGAGCATTTAACAGCACTATAGTTTGAATCATTTGGCAACTAATATTGCAACTATCTTCAATACAAACCCTTGTTTAATTACAAACATATAAGGTCAGTACTCATATTGGAAGCTACTTTATTTAATCACTCAAATCAGCACCAATTCTGTGACTTTCCTATCAAGAAACAGCACAGAATCATATTGAATGAAGACAAAAACTCCTCTCAAACTGAGTAGTCAAAAACTTCTCTACCAGTTTATAGCCTCACCTCCCATTGTCCCTAGTGCCCACCAAACTCACTTACAAACTGAGCTTTCCTCAACTTCTATAAAAAAGGAAAAACCACTCTGCAGCAGCCACCTTGCACCGACCCGCCTGTGCAGTAAAAACTGCAGCTTTAGTTACAGCATTATCATTTGAGTTTAAGCAGCACCAAAAAAAAAAAAAGAAAATGAAATCGCTCAGCTTAACCAAAGCTGACGCTTCATTCTCAGAGGAGTTGAGAAGAAGGAGGTTTTGTTCAAAGACAAGAGGACAGGCACACACAGAATAGCGTCTTCCGTACTTTCAGGACTGCTGAGCAGCACCTTCGTAAGCACCAAACTAGAGGTCAGACCAAATAATGACGTCGTCCCTGCGTATACATGCAGTCCCATGATACACATCTTTAAACAGTACAAAGCGAAGTGAACAGGAGGAGGAAGAATGAGTCAACTAATGTGGTGATTTCGAAAGTAAGAACATGAGTTCAGAAACACAGTATTTACTCTTTCTTAAAAATTACAGAAAAAAACATTTTAGTTACAGTGACTGTGTGTTTTGATTTCTCCACACTGAGGTTGTGTGACTGTGGATGTGAGTGATTCTTCTAAAGAGTTTGGAGGGTGGTGTCTTTATTTTCTTTCAAAACCAAAAACACAAGAAAAAGTCGAAGAAATTGATTAAACTGAGTGCTTTTCCGCTCTAATGTGAGCTGCAACTGGACTACAATGGACAGCTAAACGAGCCGTAGCAACAGTAATTAAAGGAGGCAGGACTTAAATTGTAAATTAGAGTTCCTAAATATTTCACCTAATGTTAGTATTTTGTCTGGTGGAAAGTGTTTGTCCTTTATTCTCCTTTTAAATCAGTGACTTATGGGAACCATCTTGAGTAAAATCCTCAGTTTAGTGTTTGACTGTCTAAGTAGGACACAGAGTTTGCCCTGAAAGTCAAAGAAAACTTTAGTTTGAAAGTGAAAGTTTTAAGTCTGGTGAAGAAGACAAAAGGTCATCAGTTGCTGTGGAGTACAAGTAGAAACAGCTTTGTGTTGCTGCTTTCCAATTATTTGTTGAACTACTACTGAATCTGTTCTGTCACGGTGTTTGATGACCTTTGACCTACCTTTTCTCTGATCTCCAGCGCTCTCTTGCACAGAGGCTCTGCTTCCTTGTACTTTCCTCTCTTCCCATACAGGACAGCCAGGTTATTGAGGGTGGCAGCGACCTGACAGAGACACAAAGACATTAATTATTTCAAAGTATTTGACGAGTCTCAATCACCTTCACCCATGTGCAACCGCAAGACTCCACCACAGCAGCACAGTGCCATTGATCTGGTGAGAGGGCAATTAATGAGGAGGAAGGAGACGTGCGGAAACAGGAAGTGATTATGGTGGGCTGTAATTTGATCCCGATCAGCTGTATGATGAATCTCCAACACGTGCACTCAGGAGGAAGGAGACTACAGAGGCGCCTGGAGGTCACCTCTGATCTCTGATTCAGACAGGGTCTGGTGACCATGTGGACAGAGTGGGAGGAAAAGAGGGGGGGAGGGTAGAGGGGTGAGGTGGCTGGAGGAGGGGGTGTTCATTCAGAGAGGATATGTGGAAGGGAGCAGTGATAGAAGGGAGGGAATTACAAGAGTCTTTCTGCAGAACTTTATTCTTTGATTTGATTTTCTGTTCGGTATGATTTATGTGGATCCTCACTTTTCTTTCATAGTCTATAAGAAAACAGTCTAAAAGAGGAAGATTATTCTTCACAACCTCAAATATAAGAATATCTGAGATACAGCCACAGATCAGCTCATAGTCGATGGTTGAGCTTCAGCCTGAGGTGTTCTGGTATCACAAACAGTCAACCAGAAGTCTACATTCCCCTACTTGTCCCTGATTTGTGGGATAAAAAATGTTCCCATCAAAATCCATACCTATCAATCATTCATATCAAAATTATCATTATCCGATTTCAAAAGGCATTTCCTGTGCCTTAACTTCATGGTCAAACAAGCCTGGTTCTGGGGCCACATCTGGTCTGTACCAGCTACTTGTTGTGAGCAGCACGTCGTCAGCAGCAGCCTCAGCCCTCTGGCAGAGTCACGCTGTACCTGTTCACCCAGTAAAAGTACTGCTGTGAATGTTAACAGCCCCAAAGACGCAATCAGTATATCTGAAGACATGTTTGGTCACAGTTCTATATTTAAAGCCTGAGTAATTAAAGGTCTCGTTAACAGGACTATATTGAAGTATATCTGTTCTGTTCATTAGTACTCATAAATAGCTGAGAGAGAAAGTGAACTACTTAATGTTTGAAAGGGGTGTTTGTTCAGTTCAAAAGTCCAAAACCAGAACACCACTCTGATCCAGATCAGACAGGCCGTTCCTTCAAGTAGCCCTCCTCCAGGTTTCCCTGTCATTTACCAGAGACCCCCCTTGGAGACTCAAGAGCCGTATACCTCAAAGTGCTCTTCGATGCGTAGGCCGAAACCACAATCAGAGGCTTCTGGTCTCTGAACCTGTTGGTCTCTTGGGGTAAAGCTTCAACACAGCGGCAATCAGCTGGGGGCTCTTAACTGTTTCCATACGTCCCCTCTTCTTCAGCCTGTCCAGGATTTTGTTTCAGTGGACCTGCATGTCCACCCAAAGCACCTGGAACCTTTAGTCCCAGGAACTACTTTCCAAAGAACTAAAAAGGTTCATAAACCCAGCAAAGATGAACACAAATCAGTCCGATGTTTTGTGCACGACTATACAACAACTTTACCGTCGGTCCACCTGTTGCTGGCCCCTCTTCTGTAGCTCCATGTTGACATGTCTGGTAAACTTTTGTAAAATACTACCCCCACCCCTGGAGGAGGAACTTTTTGAGGGGTAAAACAATGTCCTTGGAACTTAATTTAGACCCTGGTGCCTGTGATGGAAACACACTGAGTTCCTCCAAAGGTTGCTAGTCCCCGTGGAAAGTTTCTGCAGCGGAAATGCGGCTTAAGATAAGTTTAGGGGTCTGTCCAACCACTCCACCTTTCACACTAGCTTCAGTTTCCTTCCCAACCAGAGAGGTGACAAAGCACAATCCACAAGAGCCGGTTTTCATGTCCAGGAGTCACAATGCCAAAGCCCAACCTTCACCTGCCACCCAACTGGCAACGCTCCAGACCACCCAATCAGCTATTCTGTGGAGACGATGTACGTGTGTTGGCACACGCACAACCAGCGATGTGGAAAGTCCAGCAAGTTCAAACCTGAATTCAAGAATTTCAGATAATGTTTCTCAATGAATGCCTCAAATTTAGGAACCGTTTCCCATTACCGAACATTCAAAATGTAGAGAAGAGAAAGGCAAGTGGAAAAGATTGAGAGATTAAGGGAAACAGGAGGAAGAGATCAAAAGGCAAAGAGCTGGATTTAAAGTGACAAATATGGTGAGGAAGGAAAAAAATCTGGATCATCAGTGTCAGATAACTTATTGGATATATTGTTGCCCAAAACTCAGATTTTCTGATGACAAATCACTGAAAACAATCACTTCCTTGTGTAAAAGAAGGATCAGGGCCTGATGGCAGGATGAGAGGAGGGAGGTGGGAGGGGAGGAGTGAGGAGGGCTAACCTCAGTTTCACAAAGTGGAGAGTGATGGAGGTCCAGACAGTGGAGACAGAGGCCTGCTGGGGTTAACACAGTTAGTGGAGCTGCTGTATGTTTACAGCCACACTGACAAACAGAGGTTAATGGGTCCGAGCACAGGCCCTGTTTATTAAATCTACTGTGATCGACCTTGGCACAGACACAATCTTGGATAAATACATTAGAGGTGTTTGTGAGTAAAGTAACTGTGTTAAGGAGAAGTGTCCTTTAAAATATAAAACGGCAGGAGGACTGCACACAGACAACATTTCCCAAGAGACTTTGCGGTGTCGTGTTCGACTGTCTTCCATTGATAAAAGCTTTAAAACTTTATGTTGGCAGTTCAGAAGCTGTTGTTTTGTTCTTGAATATAATAGGATGTTAAACCATATTCACAAATGGTAAAATGGACCTTCCTTTGGCACCTTTAGTACCTAAAAATTAAACTTATTACATAGATCCTCTTTGTAATAACTTGATTAATGTAGACAAATACATAGCCCAACCATATTTTCAGACTGTAAACAACTTAGAGTTATTTATAAAAAAGCATAAGGCGTTTTTCAATCTAGATTAAAAGATTACACTTTTATAAAAACACACCAACAAACTCACTGAGCTCTTTTATAATGATAAATGTCCCAAAACTGTAATTCAAACACTACTTTGTCTGCACTGTCATTATGGCTGTCTGTGTTGTTATATGTGTTACCGCAAGGGGAGGAAAAAAAACATTTTAATGATTTTTATTGATCCCTGAGGGGGAACTGGGACAGCAGCCAAAAATAGGTGTACAGCAAAGAGTAAAGGACAATAACTGTGTGAGGAAATAGAAAATAAAATGATGGTGGCTCAGGCTAACAACGTAAAGAACTCTTATTTTCTTTTTCCATTAACTGAACTAACTCAGGTTGTGTGTTTATTACACTACGGCCAGGGATCCATCACGAGTGTTATATAAAAGGAATAGTTCACAATACATTTAATGGCTTTCTTGCAGAGAGTGATCAAATAACCGCTTATTAAACCACAACTGGTCATTTTTAATCTTCTGTGTTAATTAGTAATCTCTGGAGGGGCTGGTTGGCAGATTTTGTTACTTTTGGATAGAGCAAGGTTAGCTGATTTTAGTCTTTATGCTAAGCTAAGCTAACTGCCTGGTTTCTGTAGCTTCATATTTACTGCACAGACAAAAGACTGGTAAACAATCTTCTCATCAGGCCTGAAAATGTTAAACTGCAGATGGATCCAGTTGCTAAAATATTGTGTTCCTTGTCTCAAATTAAATTTATTTTTTGGGATTAATGTGAGTCTTTATACACGTTTTACTGTTCCTGGACTGAGATACAGGATAACACATCTCTCTGATTCTTTGATTATAGCAATGTAACTAAACATACTGTCCAACAGTGGCAGAAAAAACGAGCACAGCCAAATAACTTTGATGTAGTGCAGAGAAAGATGTACTCACAGCAGGATGGTCCCTGCCCAGAGTCTTCTCCCTGATGGCCAGAGCATCATTCAGCAGGTTGGCTGCCTCCTTATATTTGTTCTGATCCCTGACAGACAGACGCAAACAGAGTCAGACAGGAATACACAGACACAGACGGACAGAATAACAGACAAGAACACAAAGGAAAGAAACATAAACTATGCTAACAATTCCCACCAACAGCTCATTATTTTCAGGTGACACGGTCCAAAGAGCTTTGCAGCAGTTCCCACAGTCAATGCAACAGTCCGCTGACAACAAGTCGACCCAGTCTCTCATTCCTTCAGAGTAACCAAACCAAAACACTGCACTGACTATTCAATGGATTAAGATTTGTGGCGGTAAAAAACATGGGAGCCCTTGTAAAATAGTTCTCCAGCTCCTGTGTGTCCTTCTTTTGTTCATTACTTCTGGAGCTGGGAAACTAACGCTTCCCTAGTTCTATTACTGTACTGTAAATCTTTGGCTGTGTCTGCTATGTTTGCTATGCTCCACTTCTGACGTAGAAAGGCATCCGAGTATCATTTGGAGGTCCTATAGAGGCCTGTCACACAATGCTTTCTGGGTTGTTAGGTAAGATCTCAAGGGACATGCCTCCGTGTTGTGAGGGTGACAAAAAGACAACATGCCGCAGCCAGTATCACGTCTTTCTCTCTCAAAAAGAAAGATTGTAGGATCTGAATATATTAAAAAGCAGTCACTAAGAGGCTTCATTCTGAAATCCTGGGAGGGCTTGTAAAATAGTCAGTGGCCGGGACTTTAAGGATTTACTAGCTAGTGAAGACTTTTGTTTTTCTGGTGCTTCCAGTGCGATGTAAGAAACAGGAGTGATTGCAGCAAAGTGAATATAAGTCCTAACGCTGACTGCAGTTGTACGTGTTTAATATGATATCATCGTCATGGAAAAATTATTTGATACATACACCATACTTTATAGTAAAACTCTATTAAATACCTACTTTAGGACCCACTATTACAGACAAAAGATTTAATTGACCAACCTGTAAACAAGTGCTAGGATATTGAGCATGGTGGCCACATCTGGGTGGTCATGTCCAGAAGTCTTCTCCAGGTCTTCCAGGGCCTGCTTGCAGAGGGGCACAGCCACCTCGTACCTGCCCTGGGAGGCGTACTGGATCACCAGGTTGTGGAGGGTCCTCAGGCGGGCCGGGATCTCGTAGCCTCCCTGCTGGGCAGCAGCTGCTGCAGCACTGCCGTGAGTCGGCTGGACTGGAGACACGTGGAGGAAAGAGATGTCTAATAAGTGGGAAAATATTAGACATCGGGACACGCACACATCTCTGCTTCTGATTATCTCATTAAAATTAAACTGCATTTGGGAAATTATTGAGAAGGGAAAGAACATTTGAGCCGTCTAGAATTTATTTCTTATGTGTTTGAATACGAGTCAACTCAAACTTTGTTTCAGATGTTACCGCCTTTCTGCAGCTAAAACCACAACAAACACACACTTGCTGGCGGTTAGCACAAACCCTAAAAACAACATTATTCACACATAAACAATGTCCTCATTCAGCAAATGTGTTGTGTGTTACGTTTAAATGGGGTCAGGGGGACATGACTGGACTGTCTCTCATGACATGAAGTCAGTCTGTCTGCGCCTGTGCTTGTGTGTGTGTGTGTGTGTGTGTGTGTGTGTGTGTGTGTGTGTGTGTGTGTGTGTGTGTGTGTGTGTGTGTGTGTGTGTGTGTGTGTGTGAGGACGTATGAATGTGTGTGTGAGCGGGAGGTCAGGAAACCACCTGATTGGGTATCTTATTAAAAGGCAGGCAGCTCTATATTTACTCTGAAGCAGAGCCGGTGGGGTTTTGGAGAGGGAACCGCCCACTGCTGTAATAACACTGACCACAGTGAAGTGTGCGGACAACGAGTGATACCAGGTGTTCTGAAGAACCACTCGCACCGCAGCAGCTGGTCTCTACCGACGATAGTTCGTAGCAGAGTAACACATGGACAAAATAGAAGATGTAACATCTTCACAACAACACAGTATTTACTCTTTTACCAGGGGCTGGAAAGCAAATCTTTATCAATTAATCTGCTTATTATTTCTGTAACTGATCATTTGGACAATAAAATGTCAGGAAATAATGAACAGTGGAGACAAGTGGAGACAGTGGAGAGGAAACAAGGGAGAGGGAGATGCAACAAAAGGTCCCCAGGCAGACTGCTGGAACCGGGGAGGTTATGGTTCATGAGGTTCATCTAACCCAGAGGCCACAGGGGCAACACAAACTCATTTTACCCATCAAGGTCAGTTTACTAGTCTTGGGAATACACGATAGGCCAAAAACAATGGAAGTGTAGCTTGAACTGTACTAGGAACTTAAAGTTAAGATGCTTTCTATTATTCTTTTTAAAGTCTTTATGGAGATCCAACAGTAAATCCCCAGAAAATGTATAAATCCTGCAGTCTGAACTGAAACTGCAGCCAATATGTCCAATTCATTAACAGGAGCACTACACTAAATCTTTACAAGCTCATTCAGTAACTCACTGTGGATAACAGAGTTAGCTAAATGACTGAAATGTAAATATTTGTACAGTAAAAAAAACGGTGCATAAAAGCTCAAGGCCGGCTTAAATAAAGGCAGAGCTGTAGGCACCATTTTCGTCCTCCTTCCACCATTATCTTCTTCCCGCTGACAGCAATTTAAAAAAACCCAAAAGCTTTTCAGGCAGTCTGAATAAGCTTGAGGAGGAAATACATCTAATCCACACACACACACACACACACACACACACACACACACACACACACACACACACACACACACACACACACACACACACACACAGTCAGCTCTGTTTCACACAGAGAGGATTGATGCCAGTGGAAACGGCAGTCGATGATTTGTGCACCGGCATATACTAAACACATCTCTCTCTTTATGCATACAGTCATTTTTCCCACCACCTCTTCATTCATCAAAAACACGAACAGTAATTTAAGCACCGCCATCATTTGGAGTCGTCTCTTCATTTGATTTCATTTACATGTAGGAGAGGAGAGATTTAATCATTCCTTTTCCTCAGAAGTTTTTGGAAACATGAAACCAATAAACTACTGCTTCTCTACCCTCCAGGCTACAGCCCATGTGTTTCTTATTTTTAGTCCTTTAACGTTTGTAGATACTGTCCTCAAATGTTGCTCCTGGATTGTGTTTACTTTAAGCACTGATGTAGGTTGTGAACAGGGCTGTATGGGTGTGTACACGAGTGTAACAATGAGCGTCTAAGACATGTTTATGTGTAAATGGGTGCGGGCTCATAATTATTGCATTGCAACATGAATTTTTAAATTGTGTTTATCTCAAACCTCACTTACAATTACCAACAGTTCATTCTCCAAGTGCTGTAAACCATACTGGTAGTCTGGTGTGCTACAACCAAAGACTATGGATAACTACTAGTACTTTTAAAATATTTACTTGTTCATTCTTACATTATTGATTACTGATTTTCATGTTTTTTTCCCCCATTATTTAATAGTCTTTTGTAAATAAATATGCTTGTTCACATCATGTAAACTCATCTGGTGTCCCATCTTTGTCGGAGCCAAGACTGTCACAAATGGGGGCTCGTCCAGGATCTCTCACAAGACGAGTCACAATCAGTCCTCTAGAATTGTGTTTATTAATACCAGGTACCCCTTTTTGCCAAAAAATTGCCCTATTCTTTGGTATAAAACCTTCTTAATAAATCTTCAGCTTGTCCACCTTCTCTGTTTGCAGCTTCAGTACGTATCTGATATACACCCTTACAGTGGCGTTACTACCTTAATAACTCAGAGGAGTAATGTCATTTAATTTTATTTTTTTTAATCATTATGCAGTACTGACCTCTAAAGTGACACCCCCTTTTTATTGAGATTTATGCTGTAGAAAGTCAATCTTTCTGCTCCCCCTATTCCCCAACCCAATACCTCTCACACAGCTATATTCTATTAAAGTCTGCGTCTACCGTCTAGTCATAACTCATATCCAGCCGTGGTTCTCAACACACCAAAGGCTCTACTAACACTTCTATGGAAATTGCTGAAAATCAGCATAATGAAGCCAGTTTTCCAACTAAAACATGAAAAAATGAAGTCCTTTAATTTGACACGGTATCCTAAAAACAACCTGCACTGCTTCCTTTGCTCTTCAACCTGCACTGCAATCATAATTTGGGCCAAAACACAGAAAAGTCTGGATCAAAACATGTTTTACACCCACGAAGCACTGACAGAGTGGGGAGTTACCACTGGCCACTTTATAGTCCACACAAAAACAGTGGAAAAGCTGGTTTCTTTAAGAGCAGACACACACATAAAAGGACAAGCTGTTCAATGTAAAATAAAAAGTGAAAGTAAACCGTCTTCAGTTGGTGAATATACGGCTGACATTACCGTTTCTTGAGCTTTCTTTTCCCCATAAAAAATACAGCTGGTGATATTCTATAGGTTTGTTATTGTCAACAAATCCCGACAAAGTCTTTGGCTCAACACTCCAAACCCGCTGCTTCCTACAGAGGCCATAAATCTTTAACAAACAAATCCAGTTTCATTTAAAAAAAAAAGAAGGTTCAACCATTTCCTTGAACATCTGGGCACTATAGTTTTTATTAGTAGTCACACAAACAGGAATAAATATAGCATTTGGGGGCTCCAGCTGTGGATTAATCCACAATTGGTGCTCTAGTAAGAATTTGGGGCAGTAGGACGGTGTATGTAACTCTTAAATGCTGGCTGGAGCTCATACTGTTCAGTTAAAAAAAGTGTGTATCATACTCTTTATAATACAAGTTTAAACATTCATTAAACTTTCATTAAATGTGTTCTGCAAGATAAATGTCCATTGTGACCAAACCTCCAGCTGGTAGGTTAAATTAAACAGTTTAACAAAGAGGACTGGAGCGAGCACAGAGCTGCAGTCTGGCTCAGACAGTGATCTGCAGCAGTTGGAGTGTGAACAAGTCTGCTGTCCATTTTGTCAGCAATTTAAACTGGCAGACAAACTGGTGCCAGGAGCCAAATGGGAATCACCTTGGTGCAAAAAAGGGTTTATAACAATATATATCAATGCCAAGTTTGGGGACAAACTGTTTGCTGTTTTTTGTAGGGGACCAGAATCTTGTACGTCAAACTCAAAGCTTTGGTATATTGCTTTAACTTCAATAATGAAGTGTTTGTAATTGGTTTCATGAAGACAAACAGGTGGAAGAACTATATACTTTCAATTTCAAATGTTTAGATTTTAAGCATTTCATTTACCCTCAAAGCCACAAGATCAGTTCATAGCAACATACTGTGGTTTTTTTTGCCAGACATTATTTCACCTGACTACAGCCACACAACCAGAACACACTTTGGAAATCCTGGAACTATATAACACCAATCTGGTTGGGAGGTTTTCTCCCCATTTGGCCTCCCTCCAGGCTAAACTAGGTCCTGACTAATGGGTCTTTACAGCCAACACAGCTTTACTGTCTAGGCTACAGAGCTATTGAAAGACAACCCCATCAAACACTGAGGGAAAGGGTGGACGTGAAGAATGGGAGCGAAGAAAAATTTGGGTGTGCATGTGTGAGAGACTGGTAGAGAGAGAGAGAGACACAGGGAAAGTGTAAGGAAAGAGAGATGAAGAAACAAAGATTTATGATGCTTAAGGAAAGTGCAGAAAAGGGAAATACTCACCACCATATATTATGTGATATGTTCTGACTGTCGACATCCACTGACTAGACTTTGGCATATTACATGTTGGTAAAAAGATTGAAGTTTTGTTCCCAAAGGGGGAATCAGTTCTACAGTCGTGACATTTTACTACCACCATCAAAGAAAAAAAAAATCTAATTTATAACAAAAACCTGCACGTCATTAGTCACAGCCTTTAACAGCCAAGTATTAATGTTATAGAAGCTCACATTACCCACGTATTTCAACTATTCCATGATACATTTTAGGTAACTAGCTTTCAGAACATACAAAAAGGCCGATGTTAAAATTTGAAAACTGGTTTGATATTATAACTAATACCGGACCAGAACGGTAAAACCAAATTTTACCACTATGATTGCGAGAAGAAGACAATGACAGCCATGAATGAGAGTGGAGCTGCAAGTTTCCCACAACACCTTACTGCTAAATGTTTCACAATAAAAGCCTTGTGAAGAAATTAAGGTTTTCTGTCCACACTCCATTGTTTGTATTAACATTGTAATGCAGACCAAACAGGAGCTGATCAAAACAAAGGCTCGTATTCCTTCGACATTACTGACTGTACTAGTTGGCAAAGATGCGCTTGACTACACACCTCGTCTGCTCAGCTATGGTGCGTACTCTGCTAGAGGGCGGACATCACTGAAAGCTGCTTTATATCTCTTTTAATTGTTCAGTTTACACAAAATCAAACTGGTTTACACTCATACACCAAACCGTCAAAACCTGAAACCGACCCAACCCAAATATACAACACTACAAATATCCTTTTCATAAATAATCTCTCGATGATCTTTGCTTTATTTTACTCCTGATGTGGCTCACAGACCTGCCTCATGCCTGTGGCCACGTGATGAGAGCAGCCCTACAATTACATTTTTGTCCCAATGCCAGGAACTACTTTTCATATTTGGATCCAGGTCTGAAAATGTGTAGAGGGAAGAAGAGGAAAGTGGGACACTTACTGCCGGGGGGTTGGTCGTCCTGGTCATCTGGGAAGAGATCATCCAGAGTCTCTTTACTAGAGTCAGAGTCCTTCTCCTCCTGAGAAGGGAGTGAGGGAGAGGAGGAGAGGAGGAGGAAAAGGGGTTACAGTCAGAGGACTATAAATGTACTTACTACAGACTACTTATTTCTCTGCTGAGGCAGTTGTTCTCTAGGCTGGGTGTGTTAAAATACTTGAGATTGTTTATATTGATAACTCATAATCGACTGCTGCTGATAAGGAGTTCAGGGAAGTGACTTAAAAAGCACAAAATGGAAGGAGTCAGTGGGAGAGAAGGTACAGCAGGGAATAAAAACTCCTTGAAAGTAATGGGAGCTAAATGCTGAATCATTCCTGATAATCCTGGAGAGACAAAACAAACCCAACTTGTTTAAAAGCAGAACATCTACTGTTTAGTGCCGAGACATGAGAGCTTGTTCAGAATCCTGACATAAATCAAATAACTCGAACTGAAAAACAGATTCTTGCCTGATGAAGTCAAGCTGAAGTCAGAACAAATTAAACACTTTTTTGTTTGACTTATGCGAAGTCCGGGAATTTTTCCTTTGTTATCATTTTTGCCATTTTCTCAAGAACTGCTGCACTTTCTTAAATGACACAGAATCTGGAAAATGTATCCCATGTTCTCCAACATTATGTGTAGCTTTATTATAATGCTGACTTTACTGTGAAGTCTTTGTGCGGATATGTGTTCTCTGAGTTCCTTATGGTTTGCAAATGTGACCGAAACAAAGATGACACCCGCTGATTTTACCAATGATCTGTGCCTTGTTTTGGTTATTCTCATCAGTAGTGTCAGCTAATTGGAAATAATAACTTCCAGGCTTTAAACACAGACACATGACCACTGAATTTGGTGCATTCTTGCCACGAGTGTTGGGTATTTCCATCTGTTCTCTCTGGTTCGTCACCATTTATTATGCTGTCTGCCAAAAACAAGTACTCAAGTTTCAAATATTGGATAGGCTGAATGGAATCACTGTGATTAAATTAGAGTTGATCTGTCACTAGGTCAGTATCCACACTGATACGGATCCACAGTATCAGATCAATGTATCTCTACCCTTTCACTAGAGTTTCTTTGTTTTGGAATCCTGCTTCAGATATAAGATGTCTGATCACACATAATAAAACATAAGGGGGCTTGATAACGCGCTCTGAAGAAGACCTGAGGACTCACAGATGGGGACAAGTCCTCGTCGTACTTCTTCAGCTGGTTCATGAACTCCAGGTGCTTCTTCTCCTCCTCCAGCTGGGCCACGCTTTGCTCGCTCTTCTGCAGTTTCTGCTGCGTCCCTGCCAGCTCGTCCCTCAGCCACTGGTTCTCCTGGCAGAGCCGGCGTACCTGAGCCCGTAGCTTCTGCTTCTCCGACTCCACCGAGCTCAGGTGGCTCGACAGCGCCATCATCACCTGGACAAAGAGGATCATTTTGGATGTTTGAGTTTCGTTTTTAGGTTTAAGAATACTTCAGAACAATATTTATACTACTTTCTAGCCATTTACTGATGACAACAACCATAGGCTGCCAAAAACTTTCGATTTCTGTCATATTCAAGTATCATGATACCAAAATATATAATGGAAACGTACTGGCTGTACTTTTAACAGAAGGAGCAACTTATTCCAACATTTTAGGTCCAATAGTGACGGATTCATTCAACTGCCAGGGATAGGAGTACACTCCCCACCAGAACTAAAAATGTGTACACTAATGTTACTGTGAGGCACTTTGGGTAAAAGCATCCACCTAATAGCATACACTCTAAGGTGAAAGGCTGGGAGGGGTGTAATTAGAGAAGGGGTTTGAGGCATAGAGACATTCGGGTTGTTACAGCAGGAAGATTATGCAGAAAAATATGAATCATGCTGTACTTTGCAACAACTGCGAGCTGCCCAAAAAGCCGAAGGTGGATATTATCATTATTATTGGATAGAGTCTGCATGGTGCAGTGTATTGTATATTTAATAGACAAAGCCTGCTGGGAGATGGAGATGAGAGGCTAAAACTTCGACTGACTCATCAGTGACTCATAGGCCAACTGAGCAATGACGTAAAACTTTCAAACTTTCTCTAGAAAATCTGCATTTACATTTTTTTTTTTTGGTGCTGTAAAAGCTTCTCTCTTTAGTTTCTGTTCTCTTTCTTCAGGAGGATTTGGAGAATCTGTGGGGTTTTTCCACTTCAGAAGTGGAACATGTATTAAAAATTATATTAAAAGGCAACGTGGTGTTTGAACTTTAAGAACTCTGCATTGGAATTTGTGTGTGTTGTCGTCTTGGTCTGTTATTATGTACCATCAGTACAACAGCTGATGTGAGGACAGTGACACCGTGGACTGAATGAATTAGCCTTTATGCAACGCTGATGAGCGCGTCTGACGTGAATTTGGGCTAAAAGCAGCTGATACGTCCGTGTGCTGTAAACTGTGAAAAAGGGAGAACTCCAAACAACAACAACAAAAATGTTAACCTTATTTTCTTAAAGTGTACAAATAACCCACCAGTTGAAACCAGAGTTTCCCTCCATGTAATTTTACTGGATGAGCCAGAGAGAGGATTACAGTTAAAAACCACTGTCCGTCTGGCGTGTTGCGCTTGTCTTTGCTAAAAAAATGATTTTTTTCTCAGTTTTATCAAAATATTTACATGCAGCGTTTCAGATAAATTAGAACAAATACCAGTTTGCTGGTACAAACCCTTAGACAAACAAAAGTGGTTGAATCTGTGCTGAAACTCTGAAAACACTGAATCTTACAATCTTCTTCCCTCATATAGTACTTAAAAGTAATGGGACATTACTGTATTACTTATATTTCAAAATATAAGGAGGATGAAAAGAAGTAAGGCAGTATAAGATGTTAGAGGCAGCTGAAGCCAAAGATACTTTGGTTAACTAGTAATACACACATGTAATTACATTAATCCAGATCTTGTTTGTACATGTACGCATGTTTTCTGAATATTGTTTTAAAGTATGTATTAATCACAAAAGAACAAGGCCAATGTTTTAAGCGGATAATGATTCACCAGCAACTTACAGACTCTGGGAAGCTGCGGACAAACGTACCTGTGCCTCGCTCAGCCCGAGCTCCAGCATCTCCAGGGACTTGCGGATCATGTGTGACTTCTCCTCCACCAGGACGCCCTCCTCATCCTGCTTCAGGCAGCGCAGCGTGCCCAGCAGGCCATCCAGGATTGAGTGGTGCTCCTGTTTCAGGGCTTCCAGCCCCTGGATCACCTGCTTGGTCCGAGAGATGATCTCATCCTGGGACAGCTTCTCCCCAGGGTCCTCCTCCTCCTTCACACACACCATGGTGGACATGTCCTCACGCATCCTGCAGATTTAAGATAAATGATATATAGAAATCCCATTTACAGAGGCTTAAAGTTGGTTTAACTAATGCTGTTTTATACAGTATGTCCGCTGAGATCAGAGTGCAAAAACATTGTATAAATGTACATAACTCTGTATAAAATTAATTTGATATGGATGCCCTCATAAAACTACAGTACAAACATCAGCTGAATAAATGTCTTATGACTTCTATGCTCGTTTATTCCTGACAGAAAGATAAGTTACATAAAAAGCAACAAAGGTTTAATTGGGGTTAACGTTTAGAGCTGTAGAAACTATAAAAAGATCAGAGACGGGACCACCAGGAAAAGGGAAAGTCACTTCACGGAGCAACAGATTAGGCTTTACCCGAAACATGAGACATATTGATCGATGTAGAAAAATCATTAACGGGCAAACACGCAACCCTCAGATGTTTCATTCAGACTTGTATCCTTCCGACATTTTCTGGTCTAAGGGCAACTACGCAGCCTTTTACAGCCCCGCCAGCGATTAGTCTCCCTTTACGATCAATACTCTGCTCAGAGTGAGAAACAACATTGGCTTAAACAAAAAAGGTTAGACACACGTGTTTGTGACTGGACGGGTCGAGGGATGTCGATTCTTCCTTCTCCAACTACACTCAAGGTGCCTTTGAGTAAGTCTGAAGCTCTGTAACAGTGCGTGTGAACAGCGGCAGGGTGATGCAGCAGAAAACGCTGGATAAACAAACGTTAAATGTAATGTAGAATTTAAAAAAAAATGCTGCTTGGGGTGCTCTAAAAAACTGAGGCGTCATCACTTAAGATGCTTTAAGAGAGTGACTTTGGTGCAGCTGTGATGAAAGGTATAAACCAAACCACAGACGTCAAACCGCTGACAGTTCAAATCCCGATCTGAGGCCTGCGAGCTGTCTGCGGTTTGCAGATAACGACAGAGACGAGGCGAGGAAAGGAAATGGTAGCAAAACCAGTGCGTCTGTCACCAGTCGTCAGATTTGCTTTATTGTTTAACCACAGTTTTACATCTTTAATGTGAATTTAAATCAGCATTTATTAGCTTCATCTGTGTCCCAGTTAGCCCTGTCATTGAGGGACCATGCACAATACCAGAGCCCTGCAGTGGCTCTCCTACAAGGAACGCAGCCATCACCAGTGTTATTAATTCCACCTGTACTTTTCCTGCTTTCACAAGTCCAAATGTCTGCAGTGAAAAGGGTCTATTGTCCCAGAAATAACTGCAATAAACGATACTATTGCCATTTCAAGACCATTTTAAGCCAGTGACAGAATGATCAGCAAAATAATATCCTCTCAAAGAGCAATGCACTTTTACTTCTTGAGAATATTCAGACATTGGAATTAGAGTGTGAACATAAACACTACCAAAACAATAAATATAATAAAAAGGAATATATTAACAAAAACTTAGACTTAAATAAATGAAACCTTTGCAAAGGGGTAGACTATAGAGTAATTAATTCATTAATAAGCAATTACAAGCACTTTTAAGTCTTCTGAATATGAATCCTCCGCTGCAGTTACAAAATACTGTACACATACATGATTACAATATCTCCAATAATAATAATCATCTTCTTAGTGCTGCCACAAGGCAGTCGTAGCACATACTCAGATCCTGAATCAGTCTCTGTGATTAAAGAGGAAGACTATTAGCAGTAGAAGGTGAAACAGATGCTTTTATTATGCACATATTAGCTCAACAGTGCAGGTTATAATCTGTTCATCTGACACTGACCCCCTCACACACTCCCAATGCAGTTTAGCTCACTCCACCCAGACTTTCTTTGCTTTGTATTCATTACACACAAACGTTAAGAGGATTATGACTGAGCGCTTCAGCAGCACTTGTAGCAAGCTGCCTAATAAATCTCTGCTGCACGGCAAACCGAGACTGCAAACAGTCAACTGAACAATTACAGAAACAACTGGCTGAAGTTGTGCTCGACTGCACGGCTCCGTGAAAAACACAGAAATGAAACAACTCATGGGCGTGACTGCACTAACATTAGTCTTATCCTTCATGGTGCAATGATACAGGGAGATAAAAGCTGCTGTGGTACCAGGTGAAGACAGCAGACTTGTCCTGAACTGCCTCAGATTTTACATTTCAGTTCAAGTCTGGACGTACAAAAAAAAAAAAAAACAATAGCTGAAGGCCGCCCTGAGCAGACGAGGCAGACGGAGGAAGGGCTATAGCCCTGATCTCTCCATGTGACTCAGCAACCAGCCTGCAGCCTATCAGCTGACAGCAGGGCAGGAAGCTGACGCTGGGTGCAGGGGGAGACGGAAAACAGACGCTCCAGGTGAGCTGAGCTCTGCAGCACCAGGGAATTTTCAGAGAAATTAACTTGAAGAAAGAGATAATATTAACCTCAGATTTTGCACTGAAGAGCCAAACTACAAGAATTTCCTGATATTGTTGGCACATTGCCAAAAGGCTGATAAAGAAAGAACATTTAACCCGTTCTTTATGTTTAACTTGTTTCTCAAACAACAAATAATGCAATTCTGTTCTCATGAACAGCTAAAAATAAAAGAATTAGGGCTCCAATAAACAGTTATTTGCATTATATTGTTTTCTGTACTAACTGATTCATAATTCCATCAATAAAATGTCATAAAAATGTACAAAAAAAAGGTCTGAACAACCCAAATATTCAGTTTAATATCAAATGATATTATCTTTATTGTGAGGATTTGATCCTATTTCATCTTCAATGACTAAAATGATTAACTGATTAAGTAGTTTCCAGTTAATTTGATACCCTGGATAATCCTTTCACCACTAAAAAGAATATTTTTTATCTTATATTCTCATTACAAAATAGCTAAAAGTAACTTTATAAAGATACAACAAATTATAACATCTGCTCATCGTAGAAACAAGAGTCATTTTCTGGGAGGAAATTACAACAGCCGCCACCCAAACACTTACATTTCTACATGTAGCCGGTAACCAACCATCATTTAGAGTATTTAATTATGTTGCAGAGAACAGATGGGCTTCTTCAAAAGTGAAAGTGACTGGAGAATTTTGGGAATACCTTACTGATGTTGTGAGTAATCTACCAGTTAATTAGGAAAATGTTTTCCCTTCAAATCCATTCAGCTGTCAGTCCCTTACTGCTGCAAATAAGCTGAAACAACCGATATACAGACCTTATTACACAGCTCACTACGGGGGGAAACACACATATCCTTCAAGATCTAAGTATCAAAATAAAAGTAGTTTGTTGCTGCTTTATACAACACAGAGCAAGGTCACCTTTCAACCACTGGAAACATCCCAAACTGCAAAGAACAAGACAGACAACCATCACCGCAGGCCGTGTAATACAGAAGTGAAAGTGACAGCGTAAGCCTTTCTTCCTGTTCTGATGCAACGTTATTTTATTTCTGGCATCAGATGAATCTCAGAGCACAGAGCCCCACAGGGAAAGACAGAGAGAAAACTATTTCTGATGTTAACTTTTGAAATGTAAATAGCTCGCTTGAAGCCGAGCGCCCCCGGGGGGAGACGCCACAGCTCTTCCTGTAAGCAGGTTAAGGCAGTGATACGAGGAAGATGAGGGAGGCAGAGGAGAAATGTGGTGGCTGGGTAGGGTATGGATGAATGGGGGTGGGTTGTGGTTGGGAACAGTGATGAAGAAGAGGAACAGTAAGTGCTTGCTCCGGGCTTCGTGCGTGAGGAAGGAGCCGGCAGCGGGAAGAGCAGCACTCGAGAGGAACAATCTTAGTCAGCGATGTGTGGGCTGATAGTCATTAGACGATGAGAGCTGTGAATCACAAACACGTGTAAAGAGAGAGAAAGTCTCAAAGACACTCTGAGCCTCTAGATCTATCTGAAATCAAGACAAATTAACCCCTCAGGGACAATACATTAACTCCATTACATACAACATACACATTGTGTGGCTGCTCTCTATCTATGATTCAAATGGTGCAACAGTTGTTCTACCTGTATCCTGTGTATGAAAACATTTTCTATTTGCTGCTCTGCCACTCACACAGTCAGACCAGTTGGTCTGTTATAAATAGCTGTGTATGGTAGCTGACAATACCAGCTATATCTACCACAGCTGAAAGCAAAAAGCACTATTATTTATAACAGTTCACATCCAGAGATATGGAGGAACATTAGCATTCATTTGGAGTTGTTTCTCTCTCTGGCTACCTGACAACTTGAAGTCCAGCATAGCTTGTTTGCACATGAGGTCATGTCAGGAAGTCCTTTTCTACATCGGAAGCACGATCACAAACCGAGAAACCACGAGGAGCTTTTACAGAGCGCCAAAAGTTGTTGCTCGTAAAGGAGGAAAAATGCAAGAAATTGACCCCAAAAAATGCCAGAATAAACATCTTGTGAGTACTTCTGTGGACAGGGCAGCAGCCGAATGTAGCCTATAATAAGTCTATATCAGTGTAAGTGTACACTATATTTAGTTTGGATCACCAAAGTCACACAATAACACAAACTAAACGAGCAACGCCTGTGTTCTGTGAGGTAAAATGACTGTTTTTTATCAAAGGAGTCTGGTGAAGAGAACCATACGGCAGCGTCACATCAACATCGGAAAGTCTTTCACTTCAGTTGATAAATCGCTCCTCATCATAACACGAGAATATTCGGTTTGTACCTTTCTCTCATAATATTGTTTAAACAAGCACAGCACAGACTTTCCTCCATCTCATTCATTCCACTTTTCACTTCCTGCCATCCATCTGAGTTTCACACGTCACTGAAATCACATGAAAACTCTCCTTTTAGCTTTGTTTTGGCTTTTTTTTACTGCTAAATATTCCACTTTCTTCCCCCACCTACTCTCTAACTTTGCCCCTCTAAGATTCGGTAGAGTAAAGTGGATTAAAGCTGCTTTTAAAAAGGCTTTTTTTGTGCTGCTCCTTTTGCATTTTATGGGATCTTCCACATGCTACAGCCTTTGATATTACTACTCCTACATAACATCAGCCTCACTAAACAATCAACACTAGTGGGTCATGTGACGACGTTTAACTATTGGCTTCACAGAGCGAGAAAAGGGTTAAATCAGGCAGTCACGAGACATGGCACTGTACAGCTGAGACACAGGAAACGACAAGTAGGATTGGTATGATAGGACAGATTTGGTCCCGTGTGTCTGGGGGACATCGGGGCCGACCGGAGGAACACTTCTATCTATTCTAATAGTTTTATGTGAATTAATATGCTGCTGTTAAACTATGTTGTCATCTCCTAAACTGAGTCGCAGGCTCACTTCCTCACATGACAAGAGCACCAGTGTTCTTTTTTTTTTATTTCCATGAGTGGGCCCTGGGCGAGAGATTAAATTTATCATCCGAATCACTGAAGTAGTTTTAGGATACACTGATGTACAGAGACAGTAGTGGCAGCGCTCGATGCTGCAGCCCCCCCGAAGGATGAAAGATACAGAGAGAATATACTGGATTCTTTAACAGACAGTGACTTTGATCTATAACTTCGGACTCTCCACAGATTAAGTAAGAGTTCCCCCTGATTTCCATTTTCTGTGTCTCTCTAACAGACATTTCTCATAGCTGCATAGCTGATGGCATCGTTTCACAATGTTCGGCTTACACCAGAGGCATTATGAAAGAGCTGGTTGTTTGATTGGCATATGACAGAGCCTATCTCACCACGGGGGGACATGATGTCTGACTATTTGTTTGACAGAAATTCAAAAATTCAGTTTGAAATAGAAAAAGTTTCACAATCTGGAAGAAGAATAAGAGCTTGCAGGTGAAACCTCAGCAATAACTTGGTCACTCAGGATTGAAACTGACAAAACTAGGACTGGTAAACGTAAGAACAAACATTTCTCTCCTATTCAGGATATTTAATGTGTGTTTAGGTTCAGTGCTTTCATATATAAACTTCCACTAAATGTAAAACTCATCTCTTCATCATTTATGTCCTAGTTGACATTTATTAGGTACACCTAGCTAAAACTAACGGGGCCTAATAAAACCGCTCTGTAATAAATCCCTCGTGAAGGTTATAAAGTTTTTGCCTCAACTGTTTTTAAAAAGGTGGCGGATGTAGTTTGTTGTTATACTGAGAGGTGTTTCTAATGCTTATTTGGTCTATAAAACATCAGAATATAGTGAAAAATGCCATTCATAATTTCCTAAAAACCACAATGTTTTATAAGACCAACCGTCCCACAGTCATTTGACAAGTTAAAAACCAGGAAATGTTTGTCTGTTTTGATTAATAAATGACTAAAGACTATTAAATAATTATCAAAATAGTTGCCGAATCATTTTCTGACCATCAACACATTGACAAAAGTCTAATAATGTCCGCTCTAAACAGCAGCACAAACTAAAGCCTCCTCAAAATGAGCTCAAAGTTGAGTCAACACCTCTCTAATACTGTTAATATAACCTTCATGTGTTGGTTTTATCTCGCTGTACACAATACACTGAACATCTACTGTCCGTACGCTGTGGGTCTGCTACTCGCTGTCCCTTTTATCTTTATTCTAATTTAAACCCAACCAATAAATCCGCCGGGCTGATATCAACTGAGATGAGTTCACTGCAGATATATTGGTGCAGCGTCGATGTCGGCCAATAAATAACAATAAATGGCAAAAGATGTCTACGGTACTTAAGAAACAGCATCCTAATTACAGTTTAAGAAGAATTTAAGGAATCTGTATCAAACACATCTGTTTACATTTTGTGTTTCTTTAGAAAAAAATAAAAAGAATATTGTTTACTACATTTTTAAAACTCTCAAACATTATCATTGGTTTCAGCCTCATGATGCTGATATAGAAAGTACCATGTATAAAACTACAAATCACAACAGTAAAGAGAAAGTGTCGGGTTTTATCAGGCGTCACGTTTTAGTTTCTGCTGCTTTATATGCTTCACCTGCAGCATTACAACAAAATCTGCAGTGACAACACGTAATGACCATTTCCCACCAGCAAAGAAAGAACTATATAAAAAAGGGTCAACACTCAAAACCTCTGGGATCTCTGAGCCAACAACAAGCCGGTCCCTGGAGAGCAGAGGGGTGTTAGCCTGGGGGAGGAGCCCCCGCAGGTTGTCATGAGTACTCCTTTGGGTGGATTAAACATTAAAGACTAGCAGGGTAAACAAAAATTCAGTCAGCGTTCCCACTCGTTCCAAATAGACATTTTTATAGTAGATAGTAGTGTAAACCCAGGTGTGGCCATTGATACTAATGAAGGCGTCGTTCCATTTAGTGTAGCAGAGCATTTCCATATTCATACTCTGTTTGACCTCAAGGAACTTAATTAGTTTCATTAGTAACACCTGTGTTTAACCTACTATTTCATTCATGCTTTAAAAAAAAGGTCTATTAACAACAGTTTTCCTCCAACTGTTAACATTAATTTGGCCACAGCACAGGATAAAATAAAGTTAAACATTTCCAGGACGACATAGATTACTTTCAGGATATTTGGTCATTTTAATCCATTTTTAAGTCAAAATACTGAAGCTGTAATATACGCTGCAATTATTTAACTGCAAGGAGCAGATAAAATGTTTGAATAAACCGCATTATAATGAAGAGCTGCAGAGCTTTAGAGAGGTGATGCTCTACAAATCTTGTTCTCCAGATTTAAGAGGACATGACTGTTTGCTACAGACTCCACTTCATCAGGATTTTAATTGTTTTATCAGTGAAAATGAAAATGAACGAATTGCAATATGATGTTTTTACCATATTGTGCAGCTCCAGTTTCCAGGTGTTCACCATGACTGGTCTCTAAAAGTTCAAGGTTTTCCAGGTTTCCCAGGACGTGTAGGAACCCCCGTCCTGTGATACAGAGCAGACTCATAGACTGAATGTCTGTCTTTAATCTCAACTATTGATCAAATTAAAACAAATATTAAAATCATTCTGCACCAAACAAACGTGTTTTGTTAAACCTGGAGATTTGTAGGTCAGTGCCTCTCTTTAGTCACACATTCACCAATAAAAACACTACAGCTTCTCTAATGAGGATATTCCACTCGTCCACATTGAGATCAACTGTGCAGCCTTTACTGTAGACTCCCAGATTGTGTGTTACATCTTCAGATATATTCACCAGACACCTCTCCAGTCTCCAGCTCCCCCAGCTGTGGGTCCCCACACTGAGCTCCACTGTCTCCTCTGAAGCTGTCAGCTCAACACAGGGCAGCTTTTCACAGCTCTCAGCTCCCCTGCTCTGAATATCAATGAAAGCGAACTCATCACAAGACAAATTCAACATCGAGACTTTCGGTGGGGTTGTTGCTTCCAGCTTTTAATTCATCCCGTGTTCCTGTGTAGTCCCCCCCCCCACCCCCCACACCCCCACCTCCACCTGGCTATCTCACCTAACACATGGATTAACCTGAAGAACCAGTCAGCCATACCTTTTTCACACTGCCAACAACAACAACACCGAGCCTCTCAGTGACAGTTAATGTGCTTACCGCGGCGTCTAATTCCTGCAATCAACGTAAACAACCAGCCACACATCCAAATAAAAAATTAAATTAAATTAAAAAAAAAGGGTAGGCAATGCTTTTAAAACAGGTGTGCGGTCATTATACACCATTAATAACAATAACGCCTGCCGTTTGCCGCAGTGACACAAGAAGAAACACGTTATTTGTTTTAGTAAGTGGTTAATTAACGTTAGCTAATGAGGGCTTCCAGGAAATACCCGGAGCCATTCTTACCGTTCTCCAGGACATCCGTCGCCAATGTAGCTGGTTTTTCCTCTTTTATCTTCTATTTATTTTTAAAAAGATGGAGGTGTCCTTCCTTTCGCCGTCGATACGTATTAAAATATATTAAGTTATTATAATAAAAAACCCAACAGAGTATCCGGTTGTTGCTGTTGAAGCCGACAGCCGTTGGAGCGTCACCGCGTCAACCCGCCGTTAACGATGACCAGCTAGCCACATAGCTAGCCACCTTAGCTTAGCACTAACTGTCAACAACAACAACTAAAAAAAAAAATACCCGCCGACTTTTTTTTTTTTTTTTTTAATCAGAGCCGTGAGAGGAGTAGAAGAGCCGGTCCTCCGCTGCTTCCATGGCAGGAAACAGGTTAACTGTTAGCTGGAGAGCGGCTTCATGAGGGGGGCCGAGGAAGACGGTGACAGCTCCCCCCGGGTCGGCGACTGAGAGTCGGCTGCGCCTGCGCGGTGAGTGGAAATGGCGTTACCCCCCTCCCGAAGCCCCGCCCCCTTTCTCTGCCTCGGTGATGATGTCATCCCTGGGCCGGATTAAAGTGGAGCAGCCAGATTTATTTAATACTCCGAGTAACGACAAGTTACTGATAATGCTGCTTATTTCTGTGGTTTTAGTAGTGTTTTAGTAGTGGATTACTTCATAATAAACCTGTGATTCTAATATCTGCTTTACCTGTAAGCTGTTTACTATTTATTTAGTTTTTTCATCGATGAAATTAAGTTTTTTTTTTAACCATCACTCCCTTACCTCATGTACACATAGAAACCTGCATGTAAATATTTATTCCAGCATCCTTTGAACTCTGCACCATTATCAACTGTCTTATTATATATATATATATATAACTGTAAATAGTAGTTTAGCTTGTTGTCCTGTTTATTTATGTGCAATGTATTTAGCAACTGCCAATACCATCACTCAAACACACCTACCCATGCGATGCATATTGTATATACTGTCATATACGCTGGCTATTAATCAATTACTTATTTGGTCTATAAAAGATCTGAAAATAGTGAAAAATGCCGTTCATAATTTCCTAAAAACCACAATGTTTTATCAGACCAACCGTCCCAAAGTCAAAGCCGTTCAGTTTATAATATCAAACACAAGAAGGCAGGAAAATGATCCCATTTGACAAGTTAAAACCTGGAAATGTCTTTTTTGCTTGATAAATAACTAAGTTAAGACAATTAATCAATAATATGATCATCAACAAATTGATAAGTCTAATCATGTCAGCTCTAAACAATAAATATACATATATATAGATAAAAAAATAATACCTCACCATTTATTATTTTAATTACTATATATGAATGACTTATTAACATATTGACACTTATATGATTTTAAAAATCATATTTTGTGAGCTAATATGATATTTAGTGTAAAAAAACCTCTTAATCTGCTTCAGTCTATCTCCAGCAGCAGTGGAGGAAGTATTCCTTTAGTAAAAGTCCTGAATTTAAACCCTCATTTAAGTAACAGTGTCAGTTTCTCTGCTGTCTGCAGATATTAACGCAACGCTGCTACAGGATAAAGTTAAACACACACCTCTGCAAATCAATTACTGAATTAATCAGAGATCCTGAGCATCCAGTAAATGCAGACAGGTTGTTAGACATGAATTTCAGGCCGGTCTTAATAGCCTAGCTCCATTTATTTAATTGATGTTTGTAGCGAACAGCCCTGCTGATGTGAAGCTCCTTAAGGTTTCTGACAGTTTTTCAATGTAATGCGATTATAAGAACAGCTCATCTTCTTCTTTGTCTCCAAGCGAGCGGCGTAAACATATTCCAGGAGCTGAGGGGGGATCTGATCGAGTCAACCACGCACCAGAAACAGAAGCAGAAAAGAGACAAATCGCCCATCAGATCAGATAAAACAGCAGTTTAAATCAAAGAGCGGAGTGTGGGTGAATGTTTTATTTCTCATCAGGAGGTTGGAGCTTGTTTTTCCTGCCGCTGCGTCGATCAGTAACCGTCTTCCACATGTTGTTCAGGGCGACTCGGCCCATGAGCAGAGTGATGGTGAAGTTTCGTCGGTACCATTCGCTGGAGGTGAAAAGGAGGGAAAAGAGAGAGAGAAGAGTAAAAACTTTATAATTACACGAGTATATTCCTGTTTACTCACACTTAAACTCTTTTGGACCAACAATCTGGGGACACTATCACCTTTTTGGTGCCATATGAAAGCAGATGTTATTATTTTAGGCGCTGTTAGAGAGAGCAGAGAGAAATAATACTCATCACACTGAGAAATAAATTATTTATGATTAATATGCTAATAATGTATTAACAAACCCCCACAGATGTATAATTTCACTGCTTTCATGGGAGCTCAGCTCACACTGGATATTACACTATATTGTACTTACACATTCTGCTGTATAAATACGACATCGACACACGATACAGATATTTTTATATTGAGTTATATTATGATTTTTCCTCCAAATACAGAACATTTTATAGTATTTCATCTAATGGTGACATCATTTAAAGAGTAAATAAAACCCCCCAAACCAATATTTACAGCTGGAAACTAATTCAGGTCCAAATTTTGACATTTTAGTGCAAATGTTAGTGTAAATATGCACAATGAGCGCCCTCTACTGGTTGAAACCAGCTATTACAAATTACGTTACAACACGAGTGCCACACAGAAGCGTCTACAAACGGCCATGAATGTGCTTCTAGTGACCATCAAAGCTCGAGCCACAGTAGCTGCTAACCTTAAAAACATGAACAAAACTGGAAAAAAACGTGGGAATAAATGTAGATCAACAGCAATATTTCACTGCACAGGACAAAGATATAAAATCATTTGTACAGTATGCAGATTAGAAATGAACTGAGCCAAGAAAGCAGTAACACCTGGGGAGAAGACATGTTGTTATTCCTTTTGATTTACTCTCACCTGAGACAATAAGAGTTTAAAGCCCCACTCACTAAAAATAAAAACCTAAAAGCAGCAGGAGAGGGGCTGGAAACCTAAAAGTCAGCCACTTTGCAATGCTAATTCACAGAAAGCTCTTCAAAGCGGGCGATGTTTGTTGTTCCCTTAATACACAAGGTACAGTATACAACAGCGTCGGTCGAAAGCCCACAGCTCCCCCGCGGAGGGACGGGGGACGGGGGGGGGACACCGAGCTACAAAACAACTCACTTGTTGTAATTTGCATGTCGTACTCTGTTTTTGTCCAAGAAGCTTTTGTAAAACACGGCCATTTCTTCGCTGTTCAGGGTCCGCCGCCGTCCTGAAGGGGAGGGAGAAGACAAACATTATATTCTCATTAAGATACGTTTCCTATTTAAATCTCCTGCTGTTACATAAAATCCCTTCAGCTCACTGTGGTTGTGTCAGTTTTAAGTCTGTCAGGCTTCATTTATAACGTCGTCTGACACGTATTATGAGTTTTTAATCATATTCAAGGGTTTAATCTTCTTTTCTGAGTAAAGCCTTTGCACCGGAGAGCGTTTGCTGTGCACCAGAGTCTTAACCTGCGAGTGAGACATTAAACACTTATGTGGAGAAGCTCACCTTGCTCGTCACGCACAGTCAGGCCTTTAGCGTTCAGTTGTGAAATGATGAAAGCCTCCTTTTGCTGCAGGGAGCAATAAAAATATGCTGTTATTTTTCATTCTCTCTTTAGATTTTATAACATAACTGCTGCAGAGACATCTCAAACAATTCAAAATGAAATAAATGAGGCAAACCGAGTGGTCTAAGCCAGTTAGAAAACATATATAACAAACGGATGCACACAATTAGAATCCGACACGTTTTTTTGTACCGTATAGCAAACGCTATAGACAGTCTGAATCAGAACCCTGATTATCTATAAAAAGGTTCCCAAAACATTTTAATAGTAACACATTCAATTAAAAAATGTCTTTAAATATCTCTGCCGTTTAATATCAAACTCAAGGTATTTATTTCCATGTTAGAGTCTGAACATAAATCCTTGAACAAGAAAGGGAATCAGTCCATTCTGACATATATATATAATTATATTTTATTTATATATATATATTTATATATATATATATATATATAAATAAAATATAATTATATATATGTACAGGTAGCAAACATACACATACACTGAGCTCTGTTGTGCGATGCTTCCCCCTGCTGGTGAAAATAAAGACTTTCCTCCTTTCCTAAGAGCTACGCTTCATTAATAATGTCAATGATGATCTGCTCTGCCTCCGGTCAGAGGTCAGAGGTCAGAGGTCAGCTGTAGGGTCAGCTGTCGGGGGCCTGCAGGGACTCAGAGGCTCAGATCAGATCGGACTGTGCCGTTCTGCTGCGATCGCAGTAAACCTGGTATTTATTTATGTAACTGCTGAAACAATCAATGGATCAACTGAATTATAAACAACTAATTGATCATCTATTGATCGTTTACATCATTTATCCAAACAAGAACTGGGTCCAGATTCTGTTTTTATTAACAGTGTAAATTCAAAATGCTATAAATAATATTTTAGATTTTGGACAAAAAGATCTCGGGAACCTTTTTACCTGCACTTCATAGACTAATATATGCTACTAATAAATATATTATATAATGAAGAGATTAATGGAAATAACTATTACCTGCAGTCTGACCTGAAACATACTTTAGTTAGTTGCAGTTAATTTCAATTATATTTAACTTTTTTGAGTGGATTTTAGTTCATCTCTGCTTCCATTGATGAGCATTATTCTGGTTATTATGTAAATTATTATCATTAACTGTGAAATATTAGCAATACAAAAGGACACAGAGGCTGTTTTAAAACCCAAATAATGCTCAACTAGTACTACAAATATAAGGATTCATTAGTTAATCTTACATTTCTTGATTTTAGCAATATATTTTATTATCCTTTGAGTATAAAAGAAAGTATAGAACTTAAAGTTTATTGAACATAAATCTTTATCAGGCATCTCAGGGTGAACAAAACATAAACATATTTGGTCTTTCCCTCCCCGTGAACGATAAAAAAAAGCTCTTAAAATGACTTTCATGACATAAAATACTGACCTTGCTGAAGGTGATGTTCTGATTGGTCCAGAAGTCGTGGTTCCAGTCCTCGGTCTCCTGCCTCAGGTGCCGCAGACGTTTCTCCAGCTCTGTCTCGTTCTCGGGGACGTGGTAAACGATCGGCCGCAGGTTGGAGAGAGGGTTTGGTGGACCGATCCAGTCGTGCGTGGAGCTGGGAGCCGGTCTGACGGCAGATCTCTAAAAACACAGAAACAGAAACAATGAAAGTAAGGAAGCTTTTAAACCGGATTGGGAGGCTGAAGGTCCGGGTGCCACTCTGCAGCTTTAATATGAATAAAGTGAGTAAACAGTTTGTACACAGATACAGATACAGGACGTCACGTGGTTTTTAAATAAACAGCTGATTTACAGGAACCTGCTTATCATTTCTAACCAGACGGCGAGATGAGACGAGCAGCGAGACGCAGACCTCCAAAACCAGAAAACAGGTAAATACATAAACTGTAGATAACACAGATGTTTGTTTATTCATAAAAAAAGATCAATAAATACAAAATATGATGCATTGCTATAGATTAAACAACCCTTTCGCTGCAGTTACAGGATCCAAATGCTACTTAATGCATCAATAATAACAATTTAATAATATAATAGTGAATTAAACCACTTTGCATAATGTGTATTTTTACTTTTCAGAGATTCAAGGTTATTTTATTGTCATTTACAATGCGAAGTTGTAGAATAATATGCAGATATAGCTAACTCTATGCTACTTAAAACATAATAATAATAATAATTCAGTACATTTACTCATGTACTGTACTTAAGTACAAATTTAAGGGTACTTGTACTTTTTTATGACACAAATATTGCACTTTTTATTGCACTTCGGTTATTACTAGTTGCTAGCTACTTTTCAGATTTAAATTAATAATACAAAATATAATCAACTAATAAATTATGATGCATATTTATGGATTAAGCTACTCTGCAGTACATAAAGAAGGTGAAATAAGCTCCACCAGGTTAAAGTAATGAACCCATTAAAGAACCAGTGTGTCGGGTTTATTAGTTTAGTAGAAGCTTTAATTAACTAAAACACAATTATTCTTATTTTTTCAGGTGATTATACACAAATAAAAACAAACCTATGATTATAATATATAATTCCTGCCGATAGATCCTCCTAAATGTTACACACGGGAGCTTTAATGCATCAATAATGACGATACGATAATATAATGCACATTATTCTGAAATATACTAAAATTATTTAAAAAAAACATTTCAAAATAAAAGAGGGCAACAGTATCATAGCAACACAGAGAGAGAGAGAGAGAGAGAGAGAGAGAGAGAGAGAGAGAGAGAGAACTGTAAACAAGTGCCTGTAACAGCCGCCATTACCGCTGCCTGTGAGTCTGACATTCAACCTATAAACCGTCGGTAGCCGTTAGATTCACTGTCCGTTGTAAGTTATTTGCTTTGGAGTTCAAACCTGTGGCTTGTTGTCCCGCTGTGTTTCCCGTGTGGAGCTGCACCGCCGACTGTGGACCGCCGGTAACCGGTGAGACCGCAGAGCCGAACCGAACCTCCTCCAGGTCAAACTTCCCGCCGCCGCTGTTACCGTTGACGTTGTTACAGCCGCCATTTTAATTAACTGACAGTAAAACGGCTGTTTGGAGGAGAACAATGAGCGACGGTTACAGTACAGACAGCCCCGGTCGGTTCACGTTAACCTACAGCTCGTCCTCACGTCGGTGCCCTTCCACAACCGACCGTTTGGTCACGTGAGGACCGCAGTTCAAGGGCGGGGCTCCAAATGGTCACCGGGTTGAGCCAGCCGGGCGGGGTTTCCCCCTCCCCAACTACACTGGTGGTGAGGACCCAAAAGTAAATAATTTAAATAGTTTATTACAAGTTTAATATAATATAATAAAATATAATAACATAAAATATAATAAAATATAATAAAATATAATATAATATAATATAATATAATAAAATATAATAAAATACAATAAAATATAATATAATATAATATAATAAAATATAATATAATATAATAAAATATAATATAATAAAATATAATATAATATAATATAATATAATATAATATATAAACTACATTGTGTATATAATATAATAATTATAAAACAAATACATTAATTACAGTTACATTCATTATTAATTAAATATTTAAATAGTTTATTACAAGTTTAATATAATATAATATAATATATAAACTACATTGTGTATATTATATAGTAATTATAAAACAAATACATTAATTATAGTTACATTCATTATTAATTAAATATTTAAATTTACAAAAACTTATCTTATTGTGCCCGAACCCGAATTTCTGCTTAAAATAAACAATTTGAATAGTTTATTACAAGCCTAATAAAAAACTACATGGTGCATATATTATAGTACATGTGACAAATAAAACTAATAAATGACAAATTAATTAATTATAGTCACGTGCATTATTAATAAAATATTAAATAGCCTGTATATACATTTAAAAAAATAACCTACAACCGACCTACGACAGCAGTTTTGGGCCTGAACCCGACAGGTTTGGGTCAAATTATTGTATAAGTAGATTTTATACATCGATCAATGATTATTGTTTTATAAACTGATCAAAGATTTTGTCTGTAAATCTTAAAATAAGTCTTTATTCATCCTCAGAGGGGAAATTCAGGTGTTGCAGCAGCACAAGGACATAAATAAGAACAGATAAAGCAAAAACTAAAATAAATAGCTCTATATTAAATAAGATGTATGACAGACAACCAGTGTTAAAAGTGCAGTAATTGTTTATTATTGTAGGAATGATATGATTAAGTAATTATACTTGTCTGTGTGTGTCTGTACTAATATAGAATAAAGAATTAATAATAAGTATAGTATAATATATGAGAAAATATACGGGCTGTTATGTAAATTCTGTGAGTAAAAGGTACAATTTTTACCAAATATGTAGAAAAATAACATTTATTTTAATTAAAAAGTGTCCTGATGGCTTTAGTACTGTTTCATTTCATACTTGCAGTGGCGAATATTCAGGGTTTCCCTTCAGACCGTTTGTGTCCATGGATAAAACGTACAATATAAAATTAGAAGATTTAAATAATATAATAATAAAAAACTAATTTAAATATATTTTCTGTCCCAAATAACAACAAACCAAAGGAATTGAACTGAATACCATAAGATACATGTAGCATTGTGAGTGTTAATTCATTTAATTTAGTGTTTTAAATGTATAATTTAAAAATAAACTTTATTTACTATCATTGAAGAAGTATTTGTTCAGTATATCCCCGCCCTTGCCGCCACGTTACAAACGGCACGACGGCACCGCCAAATGGAGCGCCACCAACATCGGACAACCAAAACTAACACTGCGTTAAAAACCCGCAACTCGCTCGGCGTCTAAACAACGCGTCCGCGCACTTCCTTCTCTGTCGATGTGGATTTGACTTTACGTTCATCAAACCTCGACTCCCTCCTCGTGTTCGTCGAGGGGCGCCAACTCGGAGGAAACAGTTTTATTTCCTCCGCAGATGAGCGAAGACTAAACTCCGCGTTAGTTCATCCGGCGGGAGCCCCTCGGACGGTAACGGAGGTAGCTAGGTGGGCTAATGTGTAGCTTTAACCGGAGGAGGTGCGCACTTTCCCGCGACGGTTCCGATGGCGGTACGCTGGCTCTGCAGGTAAGAGTGGCGGTATCCCAGAGGCTCGGTGCCGTTAACGTGTGAGACATTAAAACATAAAGAAAGACTGGACCGGGAGGGAGGGGGAGGGGGGGGCGGTCAGGTGATCAGCGGCAGCTAGCTTAACGGCAGACAATAGCATCCACACAGCGCCGGCTCCGGTTCGGCTCACCGACGTCACAGCAGCCGGTACCCGACCGCGGGAGGACAGACACAGTCCGGGGGTTGTTTATTAACTGTGTGTGTGTGTGTGTGTGTGTGTGTGTGTGTGTGTGTGGGGAGGGGCGACACCAGCCCGACCGCAGTCAGTCAGTCAGTCTGTCAGTCAGTCGGTCGGTCGGTAGGAAGCTGACCGGAGCTCCACCATCGATACCTCCTCCTCTTCATTTTATCTCACTGCTGCTGGTGGAGGAGGAAGAGGAGGAAGAGGAGGAGGAAGAGGTGGGGGGGGATTTGGACGCCCTGCGTTGGCTGATGGAAACAGACATCCGCAAAAATGTGCGCGAATGTGTTCGGAGTTTTGAAAAGGTGAGAAATATGTGTGTGTGTGTGTGTGTGTGTGTGTGTGTGTGTGTGTGTGTGTGTGTGTGTGTGTGTGTGTGTGTGTGTGTGTGTGTGTGTGTGTGTGTGGAGGGGTGTGTGTGTGTGTGTGTGTGGAGGGGTGTGTGTGTGTGTGTGTGTGTGTGTGTGTGTGTGTGGTGTGTGTGTGTGTGTGTGTGTGGAGGTGTGTGTGTGTGTGTGTGTGTGTGGAGGTGTGTGTGTGTGTGTGTGTTGGTTTTCTGCTTGTATGATTTTACCTTCTCCCTTTTTTTTTTTTGTGGTGACATAATGCGCAAAAAAAAAAAAAAGCTGTGCAGGACCGGTGCATGCAGCCTGGAGGGAAGCGGTGTGTGGTGGTTGGGGTGGTTGGGGTGGGGTTTTTTTGGGGGCGGGGGGTGAAGGTGCATATGGTTAAACGGGTGGGGGGGGTGGGTGGAGATTTTGGTTGCATGTTGCATGCTGTGTGACTCATGGGAGGGAAGACTGATTCCTACTAGCAAACCCTATTCTTAGCCTTTAAATCCATCACATCAGGCTGGAGCCGTCCCCCCCTCCCTCCCTCCCTCCCTCCCTCACCCTCCTCCTCCCCCCCATCCATTTTTTTCCTCCTCCTTGTCTCTCTTGGATCAAATTAAGGGACGAGGTGTTTGCCAGGCCGGGGCGGATTTTGCTGAGATTATCCTAATAAATACTCTCTTGGCTCTCGGCGTGCGTTCTGGAAATGCCCATCCCCTCGCCGCCACCACCGCCACCGCCACCCTTACATAAAAGTACTTTAGGGAATGCTGATACATAATCCCGTCTGCTCTAATAATTGTTATTGATGCTGCGAATAACCAAACATCGTATGTGCAACCGTATCTCATCACGCCGATAATGACAGCCTGTCCTCGTGATGCAGCCTCTCTCCCCTGAGCCGTGTTCCTGTGCTGAAACTAAAATCTTTCCCCCTTATCTTAATCCGGTTGTATTAGCCTGCAGATGTAGAAAGTTCACTTTGATGTCGGCTGGGCGTTTGTGGAAGAGGAATGTATAAATATATATGTCCTCAGTTTGCTTCTCGCTCTTTCCTCGTCTTTGTCTCCGTCAAAATCTAAAGTAGAATTTGTTTTAATGCTGGAGTTTCTTCGGTTCAGTAGGTTAAAGGTTTGCATTGTGATTGGGGGGGGGTGTAAAGTCACAGAGCTGAGTTAAAAGTATGGATCGCATTGTTTTTGCTCCTGATCAGAAGTATTATGACGTTACCTGCCAACCAATCCACTTCAGAGTAAAGCTGCACAGGATACGGAGGCTTTGATTCAAATACAGTGAAGGAATTTAAAGCAGAATTTTCTTCCATTTTAAGAAAACAGAACCTGCGTCTCAGGCTTTGTTTCTTCTTTGATGGCTTCCCACAACACTTTGTGTGTAGTGCGCTGTAGGATTTTGTGGATCTGCGGTGGCAAGAAGCTTTGGACAGGAGTCAGACAGTCGCTCTTCATCTCCAGTGTGAAGTAAATACCTGGTTCGCCTCCAAAATGTTGCCAAAAGAGACTCGTAACGACCGTAAAGACACAAAAAGTGACCAAGAATAGCTGCAACGACGACTACAAAGGGATGCAAAACAACTGCAGAGACGCAAATTTACTTCAATGAGACAACTACGTGTGAAAAAAACTACAAAGAAACGCACAACTGCAATAACACAAAATAGACGACTATTAAAAGATACAAAATGACTACAAAGATACACTAAATGACTACAAAGACACAAAATGACTACAGAGAGACAAAACAGCCTCAAAGAGACACAAAATGACTACAAACAGACACTAAATGACTACAGAGCGATACAATGACTACAAAGAGACACAAAATGACTATATAGAGACATAAAATGACTACAAAGACACAAAATGACTACAAACAGACATATAACGACCTCAGAGAGACACAAAATGACTACAAGACACACTGACTACAGAACGTGTCGTCCTCTTTTAAAACCTTTGGAGAACGACACTGAGGCTCGATAAGAGAAGAAATTGGAGGACGGTTTTTGGTTTAAGAGCCGTTTTCAGTCGGACGGTGAATTTTGTGCTGATGACATATTTGTCGGCGGCGTTGAGTCGGGAACACGTTCCACAGCTCGAGGCACCTGTGACACACTTTACGAGACGAAGGAGTGAGGAGATCTCACCGTACCGGTGTCTGTGTGTGTGATAGTTTGGGGTGTTGGTCAGCTGTTATGTTTCCTCCTCAGTATCTATTAAAGCTCGACGTGCAGCCAGAAATCCTTGTTAATGTGGATTAAAGAGCCGCCGACCGCCAGCCACCGAGCCCGATGGGAAAGCACAGCGACACTGTGAATGGTCGTCACGTTCTTCATGTGGAGAGCGAATGTAGGTTAACCTCATTCATTTTCTTGCACGGTTGTAACGACGGAGATCTCCTGTGAATATATATACGATGTGGGCATTTGTTCTGGTCTCGCCTGTAGCCGGGTCGTCACACAGAGTTTGTGTCTAACGAGGAGTCGACTCAACAAAGGAGGTCAAGGTCGGGGAAAAGATCTCTCTGTTTGATGGTTTCTGTACATTTTTGTACTCAAATGTGAGACAATTGTTATGTTCTGAGAGCACCTAGAGGGACATATTTACAGTATCTGACTCTGTTTATAACTCTGTTTATGTTTTGTTATGATTTTCTGCTCATTAATACATTAATTAAAGAGGTCAGTGGCTCTAAAACCAATTAAACCCTGCACATGTCATTGATATTAAAGAGAAACTCTTCTTTACCTCTTCTGGTTAAAGTCTGTTTGCCACTTTACAGTAAAAAAAAATACATTTTTAATCTCTGGTTAGACATTTCCTCGTTAAATAAAGTTATAATTACAACAACTGGGTGAAACCTTAATTAATGGAGGTCAGCAGAAGATTTTTTTTTATCTTAAACTCTTAAAACCTTTTGGATTTTTTGCCGGAATGGATGATATTCTCTTCATATTGGCCGATAATTAACAAGAACTTAATTATTGGGGTGTAATTTAGAAAAGACGTCACCTTTAGTTCGTCCTCCAGAGAAAACTGACGAGTTTATTTTTAAAGCTTCTTAATACTTCTAATAAATTCAAGACTCCTCATCAAAGATGAATATTGATGGACGTATTGGTATCAGATATTTCAGACACTGATCCAAGTACCAGCTTCCAGACCTCAGATACAGATCGACCAAAAAAAAGGCTTGAAGGAAATGAGACAAATCGTACATTTGAGCTTCAGTTTGTGTCTGATGGATAAAGCGGGGAACATTTCTGGAGACAGAGTCAGGATTGCTCACACATAAGATGGATTATGTTCATGTTTGATGGCTCTTTAGCCCGCAGGCTGGGATTTCTGACATGTTATGTGTGTGTGTGTGACAGTATTGGCTGAACATTAGAGATGCACAACACTTTTATCCTTTAAAGTCTATGATTTATTTATTTATTTATTTTTAGTTTCAGTGGGCGACAGTCTCCAGTGCAACATAACAGCCATTGTGGTGATATCAAAAGGTCATATCTAACTGGAGATGGAGAGAAAGATGGAGAGAGAATTCTTGTTTTACACACACGACGCCACATTATTAACATATTAAGTAGCATGTGAGAACGGGGCTAATGGCGTTTAAATCCCACCATATTGTTGTAAATTCCCCAGGAGTTGGTGGAGATTTAAATGTTGGGCTGTGGTTGCAGAGTCTGTCTTTACGCCAGCAGCTTTGGCCGGGATCCAGACATTAGTTGGAGGTCCTGTTCAACCCGTGTTGGCTGTGAGCGTCTGTAAAGAAACTTTTGGAGTAATCCACCCGTTCTGGCCGGTAGACAGCAATGTGAGCTCTGCTGAGGCTCCGTTTCCGCCTGCTCTGGATTGTCGCTCATTGTTCTCTTTTCCTTTCATGCCGCCTCAGCCTGTTTGGGAAGCCCTTTGATGGCGGGAAGAGGATGGACCATGGCGGCCCGCAGCAGCAGCAGCATCCAATGGAGCAGCAGCAGCAGCCGTATCATCCGCAGCACCCTGCCATGATGCGGCTGTACGAGGTCCAGAAGGAGGTGGCGTCTCTGGGGCCTCAGGTCTGCACCTTCAGCGGCCTGCAGAACGACCGAGACTATAAGCGTCTGGAGCGCGAGCTGACGCGGCTGCTGCTGGACGTGGACCAGGTGGACACGGAGGGCAAACCGGAGCTGCAGGGCGCACGGAAGAGGGCGGCGCAGGAGGTGGAGGGCCTGCTGCGCTACCTGGAGGAGAACGCCACTCATCCATCCCGTCAGGCCATCGAGGAGCTGAGCAACGAGGCGCGGCGGCTGGTGGACGAACGCGTGGTGGCACCTCAACGATCCGGCGGGGTGGCGGAAATAAACGACGAGCTGGTGGACGCTCTGCAGGAGCTCGTGCTGAGGCTCACACAGGTCAAGACCGAGGGGAGGGTGCCGCTCCGCAAGGCGCGCTACCGGGCGCTGACGCGTCTGTGCGCCGTGCAGGACGTGATCGAAGGGCGCACGCAGCAGCAGACGCTCTCCCTGCCGCTCTCGGGGGACACCCACGAGGCCGTGCACCACATCAACCAGGTGATGGTGAAGGTGAGCGTGGCGCGCAGTCAGCTGGTGGCGCTGCTGATGGGTCTGAGTGGGAGGGACAGCTGCGCGCACCTGTCACGAATCCTGACGGAGATGCAGGTGGAGCTGGACGCTCTGGACGTTTCCGGGAACGCGGCGATCAGAAATTACCGGAAACAAGTGGTGGAGGAGATAAACGGGCTGCTGAAGCACCTGGACCTGGAGGGGGAGGGAGAGGACACACGCAGGTAGGTCACCAATAACGATTATTATCCATTAATCTGCACATTATTTCCATTTAATGTCAGAAAAATCCAGAAGGTGAAGTCTTCAGGTGTCAAGTTTTGTTCAACCAACAGTTTAAAACCAAAGAAATTAAAGAGAGTCTCTGAATTTTGCTTAAAAATGACTTAATGACGATTCATTTTACTTCCTCCCACCAGCAAGTACCACTTAAACAATATCTATACCTCAGAGTCCTCACAGAGCACACGAGCTGATGCCACTGTCGGAGGAGGGACCGGCGATTGTTGTTGAGTTTTGATTTGAATCACGCTGCGCTGTCGGGAGTGAGTTAGACTCACATCAGCAGAGAAGCACTCATAGCAACAATACGCCTACCAGGTCCTTCATTATGTAGAACAGCAGACTCGAGCACTGATTTAAGCACCAACTCCATTCACATGTTTTTATTTGTTCTGCCTAGTTTTTGACCTTCAACTAAGAGTTACAAAAAAAAAAAAGGTTGTTTTAATACAGTATGAAAATAATAAACATATCTTAATGGAGTAGAAAATGTGTTTGTGCTTTTGGCACAGATGGTTAAAATCTCAGCATTTAAATGTTTATTTGCTCGCAGCTTTCAGACCGGATTAAATAAAAAATACTGCCTGACTAAAATAGGATTCAAGATTAAACATATATTAGTTATACAGCAGAGTTTTATGAGTAAAATAAGGTCCCTACCTAAATTAATACATTTTAAGGGTTAAAGGGCGACCTCAGGTAGATTTAATATGACATTACTTGACAGATGCTTTTATTTCAGTGGTATTAATTGTGATTCTCGTTGGTGTTGTTGTCCTCCGCTCTCAGACGCCTCAGTCTGGGGCAGGGAAGTAAAAATATCTTGCCAGAAAATTACTTAGAAGAAGTAGAAGTTAAAGTGTCTAATATTTACTGTACTTAAGTATTATTTTCTGATATGAAATGTGAAAACTGTGTCGTATTAAGTGTTGTAAGTACAAGTAAATGCTGTTCATTTTGAGAATTATGAAGCATTTTAAACATGTACAGCTCTTTCTAAATAGAGTCTACATTACACTCAGAGAAAAACCAGGTCTTCTTCAGCATAAAGAACAACTTTAACTATCTAACTTGGACCAAACTGATTCACAAAATCTGCTTGCTTTCAGTTTGTGTTAAGTTCACAAATTAATTCCTATTTGATTTTGTGTTAAGTTACGAAGATGCTTACGGGAAATACATCGTAAAATGGACATTTTATTAGTTAAATTATTCTTACTTTGTCACATTACACCGCTGGTTTCCTGCTGCAAAAGCATTTTACTGTAACAAAAGGAACCCACATTAATATAACATTAATATAATAAGACTTTATACTATATATAAATGCTTCTGGTGCTTCATTGGTGCTGATTCTGATATTATTTCCGGGTTGATCATCGCCAGTTTTCTCGGTTTGTTTCCTCAGATACGACTTGGCGCAGAACAACTCCATCCGCGAGATCGAGGCGGTGCGAGCTCACGTCTCCCACCTGCGAGAGGGCGTCCTGCGGCACTGCGTGATGGGAGATCTTAGCTTCAGGCCCAAAGCCGAGCTGCAGAGCCTCCTCACCCACCTGGACCAGGTGGACACGGCCAAGAACCCGTGCATCAGAGAGGCCCGCCGCCGCGCCGTGGTGGAGGTCCAAGCCATCATCACCTTCCTGGACCTCCGCGAGGCCCTGGCCCGCCGCCAGCCGGGCCCCAGCGAGCACCCGTCGCACCGGGCCGTGTGGCTGGTCCTGGGGAGCCTGTCGGACCTCCAGGCCCAGGTTCTGGGCTTCGACGGCAAGCGGGCCGACAAGAGCTACATGATGCTGGAGGAGCTGCTGACCAAACAGCTGCTGACGCTGGACGCCGTGGACCCGCAGGGCGACGAGACCACCAAGATGGCGCGGAAGCAGGCGGTGAAGTTCGCCCAGAACATTCTCAACTACCTGGACATGAAGACAGACGAGTGGGAGTATTGATCGATCGATTGATCGGTTGGTTTAAAAACACGGATCACGGCGTTGCTAGCCGCGTTGCTAGGCGGGGACACCGGATGGGACGACGCTGCAGGAACGAAAGGAGCTGATAATGTGTGTAAATAAAAAAAAAAAAAAAAAAAAGAAGAAGAACAAAACAAACTCGTACGTTATCATTCCACGGGCTGTAAATATTGACTCAAATCCCCAGAATGCACTGCAGCAGCGCTTATCTTTTGTCTGTTTGTGGAAGTTGTGGCCGACCCTGCTGAGAAGAACACAGAACTCCTTTTGTGAAGACACACTTTTACATTTTTATTTTTTATTTTGGTGCTTTTTGGAAGATTTTTTTTCTTTTTAACTCTCCCGTACGTGAACGTGTGTGTGTGTGTGTGTGTGTGTGTGTGTGTTGTCGTCTGTTGTCGTCGTATTTGGTGTGTGTGTGTGTGTGTGTGTGTTTGAAGCCTGCTGCCAAAGCTCTAAATAATGCCTGTTCTAGTGGTCGTATCCTCCTGACTGCTCTTGATATCGATGAATTAGCGGAGTGTGATGGATTGCTGAGCGGTGGCTTACCCGTCCGATCTGATGAATCCGAGAGTCAGTTTGTTTAATGGAGATGTTTTAAATACAGAGACCTAACTGGGGGGGAGAGCCGCCCTGCTGCCACCGTGAGACTAAAGCTCGGTCCAGATTGCGATACCTGTTGGTACTGTGCCGATTTAGGGCGTTAAAATATCCCCAAATAAGTGTTTTTCTTGTTTTTGTTTTTTTTTGCATTGAAATCAAATTTTGGTCGGATTCTCTTTGGCGAAGCAGATGGCGTGAACAAATGTTAAATGGGAAATTCATTTTAATCCGTAGTGAAAATGTGCTTTGTTGCACAATTGAGAAAAGATTTTTAGCATCAAAAGGTGAAACATTGGAGGCAGTGCTGTGGCTGGTATGAAGCCGGGCAATCTGTGTTTAAACAGAGATGTAATTAGAGAGAGAACAGTTTTGCATTATTGATGTTAAGGTCACTCTCCACTCCCGCGTGACCCCTGTTTATCCCCTCAGCATTTGGTCCGTGTCTTTGGTAGCGCTCCAATTCACACGACTGTGGCAAACTCTCCTAAAACCCTGCACGCCACAGCTGTCGCGGGCAACCGGTCAAATGACGACAGGACAAAAAAAACACCAAAAAAAGAGCAAGCTGAGGTTCGGAGGACGAGGGATGCACCGATATTCACATTGTTGACTCACATAAGACGCCGTTCGTCTACGTCAGTGGCAGATTTTGTGTCCGGACCGATGTGGGTTGTTTGAGGTCGGTACTGATCAGTGATTTAAAAGTAACAGATATAACAGACAATATAGTGAGTGATTAGACGATGCAACTCAGAAAGCTGCTTTCTTAAACAAATAATTGAATTAAAGAATGTTTTAAATTAAATATTCTTCAACCTGTGAAATAATTTAACATCGACAACAGATTCTGGAAATTAACTGAGAAAAGAATAAATAAAAAGAGAAATCATCAGTACTGTGAAAACTACGAACCTTAATGCATTAAATACCGGAAAAAAACTGTTTTCGTATCGGCGCAAATCGGATGACACAAACGCCAACGCGATACCAATATGTCCGCCAGTATCGGCACCGACCTCTTGTTGTTGTAAATAAATAACTTCAGTTAGTTCAAACAGTCAAATGTCTGATTTCATTCTTCTTTTGCAATTAAAGTAAGAAAGTGATTCGTAACAAAAATCAAGTATCGGTATCGACCCTGAATCTCCCGATCGGTGCATCCCTAACGGAGGCGTCGATGTTGTTTTGTGAGGCGGCCTGCTAACAGTACCCCCCCCGCTGCTTGTGTAGCTGTTAGTCTGTAATACGCTTCAGATGTTTGTTGTGACTTTGTACGATTGCGCTCGGCTATAAATGGACCCGGTCGGAGCTCAGAGACGGAGGAGAGGAGGGCGGTGGCTGCTGCTGCTGCTGCTGCTTTAGCTTTTTGTTTTCTAACCCACTGCTTTCTCCTGATGGAGGAGTGCGACAGTGAGAGAGGTCCCCGGGGAGAGGAAGAGGAAGAGGAAGGGAGGCGGCGATATCCGCTGGATTGACGCATCAAGGCTGAAGCTCACAGGGTCCAGCAGTCGGGTCCTGTGTGCGGCGGAGAGAGTATTGATGGTGATCGCGGTCGACAGAGCCTTCTAGAAACTTCTCGAAGCTGCCGCCCCAAGAGACGTTGGGAGGGAGGGAGGGAGGGAGGGAGGGGGGAGGACTGGGAGAGAAGTCCAAATCTCTGTGCCTTTATTTTCTCCCCCTTTGAACCAGTTTGTGTGAAATATAAAAGCAGCATTGTAGTGCGGCTGAGGAGCGAGCGGCTGCTCATTTCGATATTGATCAACGCTGAAGCACTGAATGTGTTGATGAGGAGGCACCTTTGAACATTTGCACTAACTTGTCAAGAAATTGAAGCTTTTTTCCTTTTCTTTCTTTCTTTCCCCCCCGAATCAGTGTTTGTTCCCTGATGAAGACTTAAAGGTGGTTGCGGTCAGTAATTAGTGGATAAAGGAGGCAATAAAAGAAATGAGTCACGTTGTGCTTTCACACTGCGAACAGCCTCGCTGACGGAGGAACGCAATCGGGGCGACAGGAGACGAAATTCAACTGACAAAACAGAATAACTCCCCGACTTCACAGCTTCCTGCTGACCTAAAAAAAATACACGAAAAGATGTTTGTTTTTTCTGCAGAAGATTTATTTTATTATTTCAAATCATTCTTGACCTCGAAATTGGACAATCGCACCTCATTTAGTAGCTCCACTTCCAGAGCTTTCAATCATATCACATCATCTTTATAGCTTTTAAATGACGTCTTTAGCTCTATAATCACCTGACAGTAAGAATCAACGCCATGTTCAACCACCATGTTTCTACGGTAGCCAGTTACAGTTAAAGCTAAGAGAGCTTCCTCAGCTTTACGCAGCATTGTAGCATCTTTCAGCTCGTTGTTTTGGTTCAGTCTCATTAGTGTTGTTTTATAGCAGCAAAACAAACTCCACTGAACGCAACCTGCTCAGCTGCAAACAGCAGACAGACGCCGTTAGAGACCAGCTGGTGGAGCGTTTAACAGATGAAGAGACATTTTTTCTCTGGAGAAAACGGAGCTAAAAGAGAATAAATATAGGTTTTATATTCATCAGGTGGACACAAACATGATGCTAATGATCTTCTATATCTGGATTTGTAAACCGTTCTCTAACTCATTCGTCAATCTACTTTATAAAGGTCATAATATGTCAATTTATTTACCTCAAGTGGCAAAAAAAAAAAAAGGAGTACGGTCTGTAGTGTCTCTCTGAAAAGTGTCCTGAGGTAACTTGTTATGATTTGGTTCGATATATTGAATTAAATCACCATAATAAAGGTTTAAAGACAAGATTTTAGGCAATTTTAAGAGTTAAAAACCTTCAGTCCAACATTGGATTGAACAACAATTACAACAATTGGGCAAACTTACCAGATGTTAAGATTATATTATACAATTAAGATGAAAGTTCAGTAATATTAGCTATATATTAGTATATTTATATAGTTATTAGTTAGAAAAAAAATGTTCATTTTCACTGAAAAAAGGTTTAAAATCATGGTGATGATGTGACTTTTGTTGGTGTTTCTACCAAACAAACATGATTCATTCAATCTGTAGAACAATAACTGTTGGCCAGAGCATCTTTTCATTATAATATCACATTTTATCTTTATCACAAAGATAGATTAGATCCTATTTTGCAGCTTTATGTATAAGAATAAACATTCAATCCACTTTTAAATCCTTTTAAGTGCTCAGAGAAATGTGACATGATAGAAAGCTCCGTAACTAACAGCTACTTAATGGACCCTGAAGGTGTCAAGAAGTGGAAGATTTGTTCGTCTCTAATCAGTTTCCGTTTGCTCGCCAACCCGCTCATGAGGTGAAAATACCTCAGTAGGCAAACGGGAAGGCTCTGGCTCGTATCTGATCGACCGCTAACAGCTGACGATGGCGAGAGCCGAGGCCAACCTTTCTTTTTTCATCAGAGTCCCTGTGCTCTCGGCTCTGTTGTGTTGGGCGGGGGGGGATGGTTCTCCTCTGACTCGCTGGTTTGCTCGCAGTGTGAACGCAAACTTTTACAAATAAATAAAGGGTCAAACGTCTGAACCGACAACAAATCTCTCTCACACACGTTAATTAAAGCAACAAAGCTGAAGCAGATCTTTGTTGTTCAACCACAACAAAACCGCGTCCCAGTGAACTCCCACAGACCCTTTTTATGTGCATTAAGCTGCTGTTGGAAGGCATTTTCTGGCACGTCGCCTGCAGCTCGGCCTCCTGGGTATGGCGCTGACTCATACGGGGGCGGGTGGTGGTGAGGAGAGGGGGGGGAAATTAGATTAAACATCGTCAGCCTGCCTGGCTGTTGTTGCAACAGATGCTTCCTCACAGCGAAACCTTATGCTCTCTCAGACCAAACCAACCCGAACACACCTTAAGTTCACATGCTCTGTTTTTTTGTATGCAGTAATTATATATATATATATATATAAAGATGTACATTTAATCCTCGCAACTTCTGTACATTGCTTCCTTTTATTTTTAAATAAGTTTTTACACTATGTTGAAGAAAAATGTCGCTTAGAAATGTTTCTGTCCATCATAGCGTCTCGAAGCCTCTGTTTTTTTTATTTTTAATTGGCGCCTGAATGAGTCGGCGTCCTGGCAACCGTACACATTTATACTCTGTGGTTCCTAAGTACAAACTTAACAAAGGTAAAGCACCATTTTATAACTGTTGCTGGAGTTCGAGTCTACGCCAGCGAGATGGAGCAAGTCCGAAATCCCCCAAAAATCACCGCTGCTCCTTTTTATTCTGTGCTGTGTGTGTATATATATATATACGGACTCTGGTTCCCCCCTAAAGTACACTAACAAACCAATTTTACTTCTGGAATTTGAGTCGATAAAAGTGTTTTTGATGCGTTTTTTGCAGCCGTGTGTGTTCACCAGAAGAGAGGACGCTGGGTTTTATAGGTCTAAAAGAAGGCGTTAACGTCCCTGCATGAGTGTGAAAGTCTGTCGGATGATTGGTTTATGAGATTTGATGGTTTGTACTAAAGTGAAAGTCAAGGAGCCGCATTTTTAAAAAGGACGAGGCAGACGATCGTTGTGTCTCTTATTTTTGTTTTTTGTCGAGAAAATCTCATGAAAAGACCAAAACCAAGAATCTGCCAACAAATCAATGCAGATCTTTAAAAAAAAGGCTCAGTTATTTCCTAAAATCAGCTGGACGCTGGAGGAAACGGTGCATTTGTTGGGGACTATTTTGTGCAGCGCATTAATCCACATTTGGTGCTCTAGTGAGTGTAGGCAGGATGGAAAATCTAGAGGTTTAGATATCAGTTTTCCAGTCGTGGAAACAACTGGAAATTAATCAAAATGACCAAAGGTTCTGGAAATAATCTCTGTTGTCCTGGAAATGTTTAATTGTGTTTAAGCTCCTCACTCAGATCGGCCACCTGAAGTAAAACCAAACATGAATTAGACTCAAAGCTATAAATTGTTGTTTCGGATGATAAATACATGCACAGTGATGTTAACTGTACGTGCAACAAACACTTTCCCTTTCTAGAAGATGAATTTTTATGTAAAATAAAGGAAATCCTACTTGATTTGTGTAAAATGTAGTAAATAAAAAAGTTAATCAGCTACGTGCGGCGTGTGCAGTGAACGCTGACTCCCTACGCGGCCTACCTGTAAATTATATAACCATTTCTCGTCCTATACTGAAGAAAGAAAAGAAAACTCCTGGAAAACGTCCTGGAAATTGGTCTTTTTATGGGATTTGTTGACAAGTCTTAAAGCTCCTCTTGGACCTTTTTGTTTAAATACTATTTTTAAAAAGAAGAGGAGGTCGTGTATTTTCTGGGAAATATGTCGATAGTCTTTAAAAAAACGGATGGAAATTGAATTGAAAGGTGGTTTTTATTTGATGAATCTGAATCAGTAAACATCTCCCTCCTGTGTTCAGTCCTCTGTATCTCTCCCCCCCAACAAACAGCTGGACCGCTAAAAGCAGCTCGGGGTCATGTGGAGTGTCTGAACCTGGTGGCGCAGGAGTCCATTAGTCGGAGAGTTTAAAAGATTCAGATCCGGTGGGGACTGAACGGCGGCTCTCGGACTTCTGTCGGCCCGATGCATTTACACCGAAGGTCGAACGGAGCGAGAGACGTAGAGGTTGAGAGGTTTTCATTTTCCTGCCCTCGATTTGAATGTAGTCATTGAGGAATGTTTTGTATTTCACTGCACCAAAGTTCATTTCAGTGAGGAGAGACTTTTTCCACCATCTGTACTTCAACTACAACAGTTATCTAAACTCTGATACATCGTGTTATATCAAGTTATATTCAGCCAACACGTGTTATTACACAGACTTTCTGTCCGTCACTAGTAAATCAACGCCTCTAAATTTGTCACATAACGCAAAAACTAAAACACTAAAATGTCTCTAAAGACTAAAAAAAGTTTCCTGCTGTTTCCAGTCTTTATGCTAAGCTAAGTTAGCCAATCACTAGTGATTTCCTAATGTAGATGAGAGAGTTGTTAATCTCATCAATGTCCAATTTTAGCACATTTAATTACACCTAAAGTCTGTGTAACAAACACTACGCTGAAGCTACGGTTGAACTGACAGATCGTACACAGCGCAGAGGTTTATTATGTGACCTATGAACGGATGTTAGAAAGTAAAACTGATGTTGGATCCACCAGGAGAGAAAAGATCTTCCTCATCGAGCTTTATTTTCTCTTTTAATCTGTTCCTCGCTGTTTGTTGCTGCTTTGCCTTTTTCTTTCTGCAAACGACAGGAATGTGTTCTGTGACTGAAACAAAGGTATCGCATCTCTCTCTTTTCTTTCTCCAAAATATGGTTTTCTTAAGTCGCCTTTAACTGCATTGATTGTGACGGGCTTTCGCTGTTTCTCCTCCGAGACGCGCTTGTACAAAAAGCACACTGAGACTGGATTTAAAAACCCCAAGCTGTGTGAATGCTCCCATGGATGGTTGTGTTTTGAATTTGTATTCCCACTGCAAAATAAAGACAGCGTGTCTTGATTAGTGTTATGCTAATGCGTTTTTATTTATTTATTTATCTGTTATTGTTCCTGAGTCTCGCAGCTCTCTAGGGAAGACGTGAGGACCTGACAGGTTTCTTTTTAAAAAGGTGATCACAAGCTTTGCAAACTTTTTAAAAAATGCCTACTCGGGGTTATTTTAAGAAAGCGTACAGTAGCGCCGAGGGAGGCTGGGAATAAAAAAAGAGACATTTCATGCATCACAAACTCCCCGCTGGAGACGGGCATTAAAATTTAAGCTCTCATCCGGAGTAAGTGTCTCTCTCTCGCTCTCACACACACGTCTGCTGCAGGAATCAAACCTGTGATCTGACAGTTACAGGACAGCTTTCCCTAACATCTGCCCAAAGATTAAATGTGTGACTGAGGTTTTTGTCAGTTTAATCATGAAGAGTTTTTCCGTAAAGAGACCAGAATAAGTCTGAATACAGCCAATGAGCTGCTGAGGAAGACTGTGAGATACAATAGAAAGTTCCAGAGGAAGGTGAATGCTAAAAATGTTACCTGCAGAAGCTCAAGTCACTACAATTAGTCGGGCCGATATCAGATTTTGTTTATTTCTGTGAAGAAAAACCAAATGAAATTGTTATTTTTAAAGTTTAGATTATTAATTTAACATATAAACTTGAATATTGAATAAATGAACATATACATTCACTGAGCTTTCACTCTCACATAAACCGCCTCGTCCTGTGTTAACTGTTTCAGGGAGAATAAAAACTGAATTTATCAACAACAACAAAAAAAGACGCCTATTAAATCTGTATGGTTGATAGACAACAAAAACATAATACAGACAAAACTAATAAAAAATGGTTCATATCGGATGCTCACAAGAAATAATCTGCTCAAAATCCACCCTAATCCCCCCATTTGATTTAAATATGTTAAGGATAGAGGTTGGGAACCAAGACGGAGTATTAGAGCCAGACTAAGAAAAAAAATATATTTTATTTTTTTGGGAAATTACGAGAATAAATTCGTAATAATACAACTGTTTGTCTCAGTCGTACCGTGCAGCAGCATAATTTCGTTGTTAAACAGTTTTGCTGGCTGAGCCAACAGGCTGACATGACTCCATCGAAGGGAACCACTAAATAACCATCATATAACAGTTTAATCTATAATAAATAACATTGACTGTTCCCTCTGGATAATAAAAAGTAAACTTTTACTGAAGTGAGATTTTAAATGTACCTGCTGCCTCTGTAAACATTCTGAGGTAACAAAAACACAATGATTCTTATTTTCCAGGTGATTATACACTAATGTAAACATACCTATTAATAATATATCATATTTCTGACAATTGATCCTCCTAAATGTTTCACACTGGACCTTGAAAGCAGTCGTCTATATTTAGTAACTTGTAGTAAATTGTCTAATAGAACAACGGTCAGACATCAGGGACAAGAAAACTGTATGATGGTTAAAAAAGATTAAAAATACATAATAAAGTTTCCTAAAGAGGAAATAATCTGCTCAAAATTCATCCAAATCTCTCGTTTTACACAAACTTTATATTCACTATTTGAGTTCATTGTACTGAGTCAGTTTAATATGTGATAGAAAAAGAAAGAGCTGCTTTAAAGCATCGTCCAGCTCATCGTTTTGGCACATTTACAGTTTTGTTTCACTCTCTCTGCTTTCATCAACCTTGTTTCCAGCCTCTGCACGCAGCTGTAGTGGAGCAGGTAAAGTTAGGAACCAGCAGGTGAACCAAGTGGAGCTTTTAGTAGCTTAAGAGCAGAGATATTTCTCTCAGGGGTTGGTGGAAGACTGAACAACAGTTCAGCACTACAGCGTCTAAACCTAAAGCAGTTGCACAGATGTGATTGGATGGTTGGTTGAACAGGATTTTAAATCTATTGGACACAAACCTCTCTTTAAAGTTATAAAGATTAAACTGCAAACATCCATTAAAGTGACAAATTAAGTTCTTTATTAAAGGTCCAGTGTGAAACATTGAGGAGGATCTATTGTCAGACATTGAATTTAATATTTATAGGTTTGTTTTATGTTTTTGTTTCCTAGAATGAGCGTAGTTTATTTCCAGGTCATCAGGTATTAACACGAGCGCTGTTCAGTTAGTTGCAGTCTGAAACTTCACCACTAGATGCCACTAAATCCTACACACTAGAGCTTTAACTTTATTTATTATAAACACAAAACCCTCCATCACATTCCCTCAGATCAACAACAAAAAACCTTCAACAGGAAGAAAGCCGGAGCGAGTTCAGTCAAATAAAACTTTAATGTCCGTCTGCAGTCAGTTATATTCAGCGGTGCTCTTCCAGAGAGAGCAGCAGCAAACACGTTGAGCAAAGTGACATTGATTAAGTCGGACACGGGAGGCCAGAGAGGGTAAGAAAGGTTAAAGGTTAAATACGGCGCTCTGTACGAGGTTTGGCCAATTGGACGCACAGAGAGGAGTCAGCTGACGTGGGCTGGCTTTAAGATCAGCTGATGAAGGCTGGGATTGTGAGCTGAGGTTGGAACTTATAGACCTTATAGATGAAGACTTGTGGCTCAACATGAGAGTGTGAAATGTCCTAAAAGGGCCACCATACAGAGGAAAACCCCCCCACTTACAAAAACAACTCTCTCAGGCCAGTTTTAGCTCTTTAGTTGTAAATAATAATCTGGTGTTTGAAGCTAAACCGGAAGCATTCTGCAGAGGAAGAGACTCTATAACGATCAATAGAAATCAATCAGACACACTTTGATGGAAGAGACAATATGCTGATTTATCCACAGAGGTCTCCTCCTCTCAAAAACAAACGCACCCGCTGATTTAAACCGCTAAAAAACACTGAATAAAGCAGTTCCACCTTAACAATCACTGCTTCTCCCACGCTGTTGGACAGACGAAGGACGTCCCGGAGGGGCTGCGAGCCGAGCTGCTGCTAACATTAGCTCAGCTTGTTTCTCTGATAACTTAAGATCCAGACGTCCGATGACTAAAATCCTTAAAAGAGTTAAAAAGCACCAAGATCTAAACCGTGGATGGTAAAAATGTGGCTTCAGACTGGATAAACAGTCAATGTGCGACTGGTGAAACGCAGCGTTACCGGAATAAAATGACAGATTTCTCTGAGTTTGAACATTGTTGGAAACATTTGGGATAAAGTAAGAACACAACTCAACATATATAGAACATAAAACTAGAGTTTATACAATGTTTAATCCAGTTAATTTAAATGAATCCTTTAAGTTGACTTTATATTACCACTGTGTTATAATGCTTCAGATCTTTTAGTTATTGTCCTTATTTCTGTTTATAAATTATCATATTTACTGAATATGCATCAATTTATCGATGTTCAAAGTGCAAAGATTTGATTTTAATCACAGAAATTCCCCAAAAATATATTGCACTTTAATTAACTTAATTTACTCAAGGTAGCCCCGCCCTAAAGCATACCCTGCTTTATGGTCTATTTTACTCTAAATAAGAACCATCAGTTACTAAATGAACATCATGCTGGATGGAAGAAGACTGAAACTAGAGATTGAGACCAGAAATTCATCAGGAAACTGTTTACTGAGCTCATAAATCACCTGAGAAGTCGGATTATTTCTCCTTAAGACTGAATGGTATCAGTCAATAGAGCTCCCCCTGCTGGCCGTTACACAGACTGCAGGTTTAAGACACGTCACAGACCCGGAAACTGAAATTTTCCAACCAGAAAGCTAAAGATTGATGTTAAACTCTTCTTTTAAGTGTCCAGCTGTGTTGGACGTACTCCCTGCGGATGTCGGGACTCAGAGGTTTGTGGGGGGTTTCCAGTGATGATAACACCGGGGGGAGAAAACTGGGACCGGGACAAGACCACAGTCACGTTTCCCAGCGTCTGACCGCCAGGCCGCCTCCACACGGAGACTCTCCATGTGTGGGATGAGGTGACCTTTAACACCGAGAGTGGCCGACACTCGAGTTCCTCTCAGCTCGAGCTCACGTCCGCCCTCCATCAGCAGCACTGACAGACTGCAGTTGCACTTTATACTGCTCATTTGAACTACTTTATGTTCTGTTGGGTGTTTTAATCTGTCGTATTCTATAAGATCATCACATGTAGGTAGCACCACTGTCCTGTGAGAACTATAAACAGCCTATAAAACAGCCTGTTTTCAGCTGTGTGACGATGTATTTTTCAGATAATCGAGGATTTTGCAGGATTTCTTTCTTTTTGGGGACCGTTGAAGCCTAAAACGTCTGATTTCACTGCAGCTTTTGTGAAAAATAGCAATGTTTGTGAAGTTTTTACACATTTTTTTGCAATTAAATTGTGGAAGAAAGTCAAAATTAAAAGAAATACTTGTTAAATGAATAATTAATTGATAAAAAAAACTATGTTTTAGTTTAGTTCTTTGCAATTAAATAGTGAAAATGGCTAAAATAGTTAAAATTTTCTTTGTGTAATTCATAAAATATTAAATCAAAGGCAACTTGTTGCAGTGAGAATAAACTTTATAGTAGTTCGATGATGTTTGGTTCGATTTGTGCGAGAAATTACAACGATTGGACAAACTTTACAGAGAATTTACGTTAATTATTTAAACTTCCAGTTAATCCAAGAGGGGTTTTATAAATAGTTTATTTATCTTAAGAACACATGTCTTCCTCCAGTTCATCACAAACATTAAAAATCAACACATCTGGAGATTCGTGGTTGCAGGAAGGGTTTGAAACATCTGTAAAGAAGCCTTTAAGATGTTTGTTTAAGATGCAAACATTATGTAGGCCTACTTTATATAATTTGTAACAACCTGTTATTTTACTCTGATCCAGCTGCTCACTGTGAAGTTATTTTGGGCTGAGCAGCTCGTCAGAGCTTCGAGGGCACTGTGTGTCTTCTGCAGAGGGAACCTGTAATTTTCCTGCAGCATAAAGGAGATAATGAAGAAGCTTATTTTGGTTCCCCAGAACAGAGCGAACCAGAGACGTCTGTTACACAACACAATGTATGCTTTGTCAGATTTTTCTTT